CACTAGAAAGAGCAGGAAATTTCCGATAAGATAGATATGGTTCTAGAGTTTTCTCCTGCTCATATAAGAAAGTTATCGACCCGAACAGGGTTTAAGAATGGCTAAAACGTGTGAGTTTAGCAGTTTTTGGAAAAAAATGTACGTGTGCAAGCGCGTGATCGCCGCGTGTTATACATCACTAGAAAGAGCAGGAAATTTCCCATAAGATAGATATGGTTCTAGAGTTTTCTCCTGCTCATATAAGAAAGTTGTTTAGAGGAAGAGTACTTAAGCGTTTCTGCGTGTAGGGATGGAAATTAAGAGTGATTTAAGCATGACGCTGATAGATATTGACCGACGAAAACCCGGATTAAGATAGCTGAAGGAGCGCCCTTTCTGACTGTGATAACAGTTTTTTAAAATTCGGTTTCGTAACAATTGCACAAGGCCTTGAAGTTTGGTAATTTTGAGCTATTTTAGATAGAGAAAGATTCAAGCTTTCAAGTGGTGCATTTAGTTTTTCGCTATCCCTAATTATAAGGAAGATATCAGCTAAGAAAGTAAATAGGAAATTACGGGTAAAAGTTTGTTGCTATCGTCGCACGGGTAATTTAAACAATTTTGTAACTAATAATAAACGACGTTCAATTTATAAGCACCTCTTTGGGGGGAATTGCCAAAAGTTGTAAAACGAAACAAAAATAATAATAAAAGGGGAAAATAAAAAAGAGAAAATGAGCACATTATTGAATTATGGCCAGCGAAAATCACCTCTGAAACTGAACGGGCTCGTACGAACAATATCCGGTGGTATTTATGTTGAGAACGAACGACGGTGGAGAGAAGAAAATAACGGTTTTAGAAAACGACAGCGTGACCGAAGGCGTCTAGGGACACAGATGAACCAACCCGAACCAACTGGGAAAACATAGCTTTGCCGCGAGCTTTTACCACTATTAAAAGTAAACACTGAGTGGATATGGCTTCGAGGAAAAAGCCAACAAGCTAAAAAACCTTATTAGTTTGTATTCTTAAAGAGTAATCAAATATTGAACTTAAAAAAATAAAAATATATACAGTGTGTTAATTAATTATCGCAAATCGCGTATTGCAATACCAATACTGTGATATTGGTTGCATACTTGCAAAGTTGACATCAGGTGCGATAATTAATTAACACAGTGTATATTAACGTTTTATTTAATCTAATTATTGATTATATCACCAATAAATAATAACATTTAAGTGATATAACTTGCGGATTGAACTACTTCGAAACTTGGAAACTCCACAAAGCTCGTTAAGTTATAGAGCAATTATAACAGCTTGGAGAAATAAACCCCAAAGAGCTAAATACCAACTGTTTCAAATAGTTTACAAACTATCTATTCTCACTTCTCAACTTATTACTCAACATTAATAATCACACTTTGATCATAATACAAAGAAATATATTTCATTTCATTTCCCTTTATTTTAATAAAATAGCACGTACAATTTTTTTTTTATAAATTTCATTTAGATTCGGGTCAATTTTAAAGTTACTCAGTTACAACAAAATCTGCGAGTGAGAAATATTCGCTTTCATTAATACAAAAAGAATTTAATTTTAGGAAATTTTTGTATCACCAAAAGTGAGTTATTTGTTTTTGTGCAACCGATCATAAATTATAAATAAATATAATCTACCCCATAAATTAATCACCAATTTACTAATACATTATATTTTTAATATTATTATCACTTCAACATATGGCACTATTTTATCAAAACATCTCTTATTTTACTCATTTCACTTATTTAAAATGCATTTTGGTTTATTATTTTACCCTGATGAATTGTTTTAAAAGCTTACTCACACTTCCTCGAAATTTTATCGTTAGTTTACACCAACCGTCGTCGATAAATTGTGTTCCCCAAAAAAGACATTTCAGTTTGATTCCGATTCAGTTTGAATCGCATTTCGTATTTTCCTTGCGTTTCAGAATGCTGCAAAGGGCGGAGGAAACAGGGTACATAAACATCAATTGCGTTGATCCGCTCGGCAGGAGCGCTCTGCTAATGGCCATAGACAACGAGAACCTCGAAATGGTTGAACTTCTCATCGAGCACAAAGTTGAAACTAAGGATGCCCTACTTCATGCGATATCGGAAGAATTTGTGGAAGCCGTTGAGGTTTTACTTGATCACGAAGAAACGATACATAAACCAGGTGAACCTCATGTAAGTAAAATATAAATTTAAAATTGTTTGTTGTAACATAATATAATTTTACTAGTTTAAAAAAATTTGTTTATTCATGCGAAATAAATCAAAATTGAAATAAATCGAAACAAACAGCTGAGATTAAACGATTAAAGGTTTAACGAAATAAATTTTCTCTCTGTGTTTAAGGATTGGTTTGATTTATTATTAATCAGGATTTAGAAATAAAATTGATATAAAGTTTGTAAATCAATCTTTAGGATATAATGAGTGTTGCAGATCTCCATTACATTGCATCGGTTATATTTGTAGAATTTAAGGACTTTATTAATTTAAGAAAATTTTAGAGGACTTCTATAAGATTATCAAGGCAAATTTAAGCATAAGTTTCCTATACCAAGAAGCCATACCCAAGATACAACGAATATCACGCATAAATTTCAAAGGTAGGAGAGTTACCTTTCTTGCTGATTATTGCACAGACATACTGCAACACACACTGAAACATTATTGTTGCAGTTAACAAAAATGACATTTATTCCCACCAACGTTAAAATATTTTGCGAAAGATTTCTAAGTGTTAATAATAATCTTAGGGAACGATAATAATATCATCCAAACAGTAAAATAAGTTCCAAATTTACATCTAACACAAAATACATTATGCCGCCAAGATGTAGTGATATTAAAAACTCTGAATACCACGATCTGAAACCGTAAACGCAGAGATGGTATTGATTCTTCAGTAATAAGAAAGAAAATAAATAAGGAAAATAATAAGGGGTTAAGATGCTTAATTTTTATTAAGCCTTAACTTAACTCTTCATTTTGGCCAAGACATGTATTGACAATGAAACCAACTTTGAAGCAACAACAACAGATTTAGTACAAGCACGCCATAATACTAGGTGATTTGATTGTCTCTCATTCGCATGACGTGTCTGTACCATATCAATTGTGTGGTCCACTGCAGTGTAGACTCTATTTGTGTATCTTCTAATCTTTTCATTCGGGATATGCTCTAGCTGTAATAATTTAGTGTTTCTGTTTGATAAATGTCAATAAACTGCCTCGTTTGTCAATATAGGCTCCACGAAGAAAATTTTTGGGATTTATTACATTTTTCTTAGCTGCAGTTTTGCATCTTTCTCGGTTTTGTGTCTCGCGGTGTTTGCAATAATCATTTCATCATCGACCAAGAAGAAAATGAACCCAATCACTATCACCAATCATGCGTATTTTTATCTACAGTTCTTCAAAGTTTCTTGAACCCAGATTTTAAACAAAGTTGGCAACAAGGAGCATCCATGTTTTGACTCTTTCGTTACTAAGAATGGCTTGGAAATTCAGGTTGGGGATTCCTCGATTTGCATTTCAAGGCTATTCTGGCACATTCGCTCTGCCTTCTTTATGATTATAGTGTTTACTTTCTCCCCATTCATGCGCATTTTTATCTCCTGTTCTTGAAAGTTTCTTGAATGCAATTTTAAACAAGGTAACAACAGGGAGGTCTTTGCCTTGATTCTTTCGTCACTAAGAATGGTTTGGAAATTTAGGTTGGGTTGGGTTGAGATTTCCTGATTTTGCATTTCAAGGCTATTCTGGCACATTTGGTCCGCTTTCTTTATGGTTATTGTGTCTACTTTACCCCCATTCATGCGCATTTTTATCTCCAGTTCTTCAGAGTTTCTTGGTCCTAGATATTAAACAAAGTTGGTAACAGGGAGCATCCTTGCTTTGTCTCTTTCGTTACTTAGAATGGTTTGGAAATTCAGGTTGGGTTGGAATTCCTTGATTTGCATTTCTAGGCTATTTTGGCACCTTTGTTCTGCGTTCTTTATGGTTGTGTGTTTAATTTCTCCCCATTTGTGCGCATTTTTATCTCCAGTTCTTCAGAGTTTCTTGATCCCAGATTTTAAACAAAGTAACAACAGCGAGCGTCCTTGCCTTGATTCTTTCGTCACTAAGAATGGTTTGGAAACTTAGGTTGGGTGTCTTCTTTATGCTTATAGTGTTTACTTTCTCCCAATCGGAATTAGATAAAGAATTTGTAAGTTTGAGATGTAGTCGTAGTTGTTGGATTCTTCTCAAGATAACAATTATATTAGGCGAATACTAGCTTTAATTTGCTGAACTGGACGATAGATAAGCGGAAGAATCTTTTCATTAAGTCTAAGCTATTAATGGTCGAACATAGTTCGATGTCTTAATTGTCTACAGATTATTTACATATTTGGCAGATAGTTATACTTGATAGAGCAGTTACCACGTTGAGATCTATTCAGATTCAAACTGCTTGTGGATATGTTTTGTCCGCTAAACGAAGTCCTTATAAATATTAGATGTATTACGACCTAATCATAAAATCAGATCAAGATCGATTAGGTAAATCATAACATCTGGGAACGACGTAATGTCCAGAAACATGCTCAGATCAAACTTTTATTACTGTTATGAAGCATTGAAAGCAACGATGATAGGTGGAAGGAAGGAAACAACGAAGACTTTTCAATTTGGAAACAACAGTAAATCTTTTTGGAACTAATTTGAATTTTCTGCATGTAACAACTGCATGTTTCAAGTCTCCATTTCCAGAATATTCCAGAGATACGAAGAGATACAGATATGAAGTCAATCAATGTGATGAAACTTTTTTGCAAAGATGTTTGTTGCAATAAGTTTCTGATAATGTGATAAAATTGAAAAATGTGAGATAAGTAGCAGATAAAGTGTTTAGCAATAATTTAGCTTAGAACCATGCTATGTAGACCAATCCAACACCTTAGAATTATCAAAATTAAGACTCAACGTAGCATCTTCAGATCATCTTTGCCAACTAATCAGCATTTGCGTTGTTTTTAGCATTCACATTTAATGTCAAAAGCAGTCAAGAGCAATTTTCCAAGTAGTTGAATCAATTTGAGGTTAATTCAAAATGGATTTAAAGTAATAAAGTAAATCCAGGAACTCGTTAAAACCTTTATCATTTACTTTGAATCATTGCTATAAATATCGTGCATAACTAGACCATTAGAGAATCATTTAATGGAATTATTCGAATTGAAAATTACTTCCGTGCAATGTTTTTTGGAGTATCAAAAAAGTCTCGAGTTTACGACGCCCGACCGAGTCTCATAAAGTTGTATATCCGCAGTTTTATGGTAAAATGCAAATTGCACAATACGTTCTAAACATTAGTTATTCATTATCATAACAGTTAATGATTTTTACTTTTAGTCTTTATATTTTTTGTAACATTCCAAATTCTCTATTTATTCATTTTGCTTTGTTTTATTATATGAATGTTTTTAAAGCAACGTTTCATTCACCAATCCTTAAAATAAATCCATAATGTCTTTGTTAACACCCAATTTATAAACATTATTATTTTAAGTCTGGTTATATTTACAATTTTACTGTCGACGTATTAATTTGAGGGGCAATTATCGCTTTTACGCCTTTTTCCGATTTATTAAATTGAAATAAACTAATTTATTTTAACGATCTTATTTTCTATTTTTGTGTTTGTTTTAGAGTTGGGAAGCTCTTCCACCCGACACAGCAACTTTTACCCCCGATATCACGCCATTAATATTATCAGCGCACAGAGATAATTACGAAATCATCAAAATTCTATTAGATAGAGGAGCCACTTTGCCAATGCCGCATGATGTCAGGTAAGTAGAGAATTTTATGTAAATTAACTACTTCGCGATAAAACCTCTTTGTTCTTGTAAGGAAAGTTTTAAGCCCATCCAGGATTAAATTAAATCCTTGGGGAGAAAACGTCTTACTTTTATATCTTTTATAAATAATTTATTTTTATCTTTAATAAAATAAAAATAAATATAAAACAAATATAGATGGTTTTGCTTAATAAAACGGGTACTTAAATTTTTCTTTTTTTACACCAACGTTTTTATTACTACTAAAACCTACTATCTTCTGAAAACAGCAGCGCACGCGTTCTTATCCAATCATTGAACAACGTAGGTCATAAATAGTGTCGTAAAACTTGAGGGAAAACACGCATTTTGCGGTGTACATGAATTTCTATTAAAGAAAAATGTACATACTACCTGAACGGTGGAAAATATAAATCTCAATTTTGTATGCTGAAATAAATTTGAATGAAATTCATAAATTATATTAAATTCTGTTGTAATGAAAATAGTCAACGAATGAATATGTAACCTTTCATTTTACCATTAGTGAACAAGAAAAGGGTAGAAGTTACTCAAACTAGAATAATGTTGGCTATTAACGTTTGAAGAGAAGGGTTTTGGGTTCGTAGTAAATTTTCGGTAAACATGGGACGTTTTAAATCGTGGAGATTTCACGCTCCAAATACATTCGATTTAAGAACGTATACTCATTAAAATTGATTTCATGGTAATTTTCTCTCACATCGATGATTACATAACAAAAATCTTATAACCAAAATACCCTAATCGATTTATACCGAAAAACATATGGAAAATTTTATAAAAAGTTTCAAAAGTGATTTTGTTTTTTGAAAACAATTCGCATTTTGCGGAACTTTATGAGAACAATAACTGCCGCTGCTAACGCAGTTTATAATAAATCTTTTGCTCTTGACATATGCTCGCCCAGTGGAACGAACACGTGGCCAGCCCAAAACAAATAGGTGGCACTATTTTCATTTAACGTACCATTTTTACGAATTTATTGTTGAGTCAAATTAATTTACATTTAAACTTCCTACAATTAAATTTACATCAAATAAAAATTTTTTCTTTATAATTTCAGATGTGGCTGTGATGAATGCGTCACTTCAAGATTAGAAGATTCACTTCGGCATTCAAGATCGCGAATAAACGCGTACAGAGCCTTAGCTTCGCCCTCTCTTATCGCCCTTTCTTCAAAAGATCCCATTTTAACAGCGTTCGAACTTTCCTGGGAGTTAAGAAGGTAATCAAAATCTTGAAAGAATTCGTTTACTTTTAACAAATCTTTTTGAAATCAATTCGAATTTGGCACCGAAACGATTTCTTTGATGTTCGTACGACAAAATATGCGTGTCAGCGTATTGTTTTCGCGTCCCGTAATAAACCCTTTATTGATTCGTCCGTTGAAATCACAAGCCGGGAATCGAACTGTTTATTTGATTTTCGCACCCTTCGTTATGAGGATTTGGATGTGGTCAACAGGAAAATCCAATCAAACGTTTCATTTTAGTAATAGGAATATATATTCTATACTTGGTCAAATTTAAACGTGTCGCATTGATTATTTATTCATTGTTAGAACAAAATACGGCGAAATCCTATTGATTTTATAACAAATTTGGAAGATAACAACATTAAAATTGATGATTTCCGCGTGATTTGCATAGTAATAAAGCAATTTCGCTCTCGGAATTAGGAATTAAAAATCGTTGTGGATTTCGCTTTTATTTTATATAAAATAAAGGCTGTAATGGTTATATTTCTAACTCCATCAATACTTAAATATTTTCTTAAATAATTTCCTTTTTAAATTAATTAAATGTTAAATTAATCGCTTTTTATTCCTGGAATTATTCCGATAATTTCCATATTCCTGGAATTCATCGATTGCAATTTCGATGATACAACAACACCTTCCAATTAATAATTTGTGTTTTTTTTTCTTGTTTATTTAGATTAAGTTTTATGGAACACGAATTCAAGTTAGAATATTTAGAATTAAGAAAACAATGTCAAGATTTCGCTACGGCCCTTTTGGACCATACAAGAAGTTCCTATGAATTAGAAGTGTTGCTGAATCACGATCCTACAGGACCTGCTTTCGAACATGGCGAAAGAATGCATCTTAACCGTTTAAAGTTGGCGATAAAGTTGCGGCAAAAAAAGGTAAGTGAAGAATATAAATATGTCTTAAAAATAAAAACTGCTATTAAATTGTGATAAAGATATTAGTTAAAATAGAATTAAAATGTATATGAAAATATTCAACAATTCGAATATCTCGGAATAAATACCCGATTGCATGTTAACTAACAATACGTTAAAACATATCGCGTAGAAACCACACAGATTGATGGTTAAACATAAACTCAATTAATTTGTGTAATCCTCGAAAATCATCAATTGAAAATATTTCTGTTAGCAGTCATAGATTTTCATAGATGGCGCTAATTAAAACAGAAATATTAGGCATACAAATTATTATTTTTATCTTATTTATTTACTTAATAAGATTTCGAAACTTACATATTATTATAATTACTTACATATTGTTACGGATAAGAAATATTACAGAAACGGTGAGGATAAGGTGTTTTATGGGCGATTTAGATAGGAACTGATCTAAGATGTTTCAAATCTTACATAAATAATAATTAAGTAATCAACATTTTGAAAGATTTTATGTGAAGTCGGTAGATGCCAATAGCATTCGAAGCGGGTATCACCAGAACGCTTCATCGACCCATCTAATTGCTATATGGTGATCGGATTCCCATAATAATTGGGTAAGCTCCGTAGAAACATATGTGACCTAGTTTATTTCAGTTCATCGTTTATTAACGGTCTATGTTGCCTATATGTCTTTGATAGACGTTGAGCTAATCTTACTAGAAAGGGTTAAGTAGATAACGTAAACCCGGCTTATATAATTATAGGCTGAAATCTCCACCGATGACCGCCATCTTTGCAAGGATTGTCTTCTCTTTCCACAACCAGTACTCATCGCTGATGGGTTCACATCCTAAGACGGGGAGATTTAATCAGTACCTTCCAAATCTTCATGCTTATTGACCATCAAGGTTGCTGTTCCATATCTTGATAAACCTAGATGAAGCACTTATTAGTTCACTTAGCTGTTCCATCAACACTTTGAGATTTTTAATTAACTCTCGATTCGGAATTTCTAAGTTCTGTTATTGACTGATAAGCCTAAATCGAAACTCTTGAAGTAGCCATAATTACTGCAGTGTCAGTTGGTCCCAAGTTCATGTTAGTATTATTATTATAACAACATATATTGGGCAGAATCTACAAATCTTGCATTTAGGTTGGATTGGGTTGGGTTGTTTCCTCATCGCTTTCGTGCGCAGAAAATTCTGGTCCTCATTCAGAGGTCATGTGAACGTTTTGGGTTCTAACTACTAAATAAAAAGATTAGAAAAACTGCAAGAGCAATGCGCTCAGATATGAACAAAAGTTGTAGCAAATTTTGTATAGAGAAAAAATCGAATTGAAGAATCGAATATTATGTTCTTGGTACAATACAAGATTCGGAACGTTTTAAAAAAAGTTCTAATATAAAAGTTGTAGTAAACTTTATTCTTAAAAATAATGGCCCTTTTACATTTTTGCTCTCAGATGCTTATTCTTCTTATAATGTTTGCACTTCCCGATCTTTTTGTTAAGAAATGGTGGTGAATTTTGATATAGTTTGGCGTTCCAATTCTTATCAATAGACTATTTGTTGATTGAAGTTAAGTCATTATAACAAAACCGGGATGTTCTGCTACCACACTGAGACAAATTTCTTCGAGGAATTGAGGACCTCTTGTAAAAGCATGACGTTTTGGAAATCTATGGTCTGGTGTTTTTGATTTCAACCCAACTTAAACTATTTGACTTGGAGTTATTCTAACTTGCAAAGTTTCTGCCTCTCAATTTTCATTGTCTATGAGTGATAGGGATGAGACGAGTTAGACTATTTTACTAATAGCTAATGTTATTATGTTTGTGTTAACTGATATTTTTACGTTTTCTTTTACAAATTTCTTCCTTGTAACATTTTATTTATTTACTGTTGTCAACTTGTGTTGTGCTTATGAGACTTGGGTTGCGTAACTTAAATAAGTATAAATCATATTTAAGTAATGATGACAAATGTTGTTTTCTTCTACATAGTCTCCACATTAAGCAAGCAACATAAGTAATCTGTTTATATACGAATGATATGTAGTTGAGGACCAAACAAGTACTAACCTAACAAGTAAATTGACTGAGCATTAACGAAATTCAAATCTCGCGAAGAATTTGTATTATGCAAAAAATCAAATAGGTGACAACTTGTCATCTCCAAAAGTCCATTTGACCACTCACCTTTGAACTGAGAAGAGCTCCCATTGCTTTCAAAAATCATAGCAACGACCTTTGTGTGTATAAAGTGAAATATTATTGATGGTACATTTTATCTTCATTAAATTTGTTTTAAAATTGACTTTATTTCATCATCCTATCTCATCATTCAGGTCACTTTGTATTCCTTCATCAACTTTCTTCTGATTTTGCATTGTATGACATTCATGCTATGTACGTGTTATGTACTTATTAACTCCTTTCGATTTTTCGTTCCGTCAGGTTTCAGTCCAATCTTGATTCGCTGAATGTTGCTGTTTTGGCAGCTTTTTCATACGTTAAGTCACTTGCCAACAAGCGTTTCTTGAATGTTTTCAAGACTTGCTTTAGGGTAGAATATACAAACACAGATTTTTTTAGTTGGAAAATACTTTTGTTGAGAGCTATTGGGGTTAGGTTGGGTTGGGTTGGGTTGCTTCCTCATCATCGCCTTCCGCGCACAGAGAATCCTGGTCCTCATTCAGAGGTCATGTCGACGTTTTGGGTTCTAACGGTGCGGAACACCTGTGTACTGTTAGTTCTCCTATACAGTTCTGAAGTATGGACGATGATAGTAGAAAAAAATAAAAAGATTAGCAAAACTGCAAGAGCAATACGCTCAGAGGTCGGTGTTTTTGATTTCAACCCAACTTAAGCTATTTGACATGGTGTTATTCTAACTAGCAAAGTTTCTGCCTCTCAATTTTCATTGTCTATGAGTGATAGGGATGAGACGAGTTAGACTATTTTACCAATAGCTAATGTTATTATGTTTGTATTAACTGATATTTTTACGTTTTCTTTTACAACTTTCTCCTTGTAACATTAACCCTATTGTCTTTGCTGTTCTGCGTTGTATACACACTAGCAATCTCACTTTTGCAACATGTTTGCTAAGAATACAGACAAAACGAATGATATAGAAGCTAATATACATATAAAGGAAAGGGGCAGACGTTTCGCCAAGATCTCACCTGGCATCTTCAGTGCGTTATCGTAGTCTCCTGTCGGCAGACTGGATTTTGGGCAAACCATATAGTTTGGGACACCTGCTTGATTTTTCACGAGGGATCAGGGTTTTCTTGATCTCGGTGTCTATTGGAAATGCCTCTATTTTCGATTTGGTGGTTTTCTCCAGGTAAGTTGTAGGATTTTTTGCTGCTGGTTTGTAAGCTGTGAGCAAGACCGTGATCTTGTTCTTATAGTTCGCTGAATCCATAACCACTGTGGCGTTGCCTTTGTCTGCCGGTAGTATAATGATGTCCTGGTTATTTTTAAGACGTTTTTGGGCCTGGGTACAACAATACACTGAAGATGCCAGATGAAACATCTGCCCCTTTTCAAAGGGTACTAACAGGAAAAACGGATGAAATCTCGGATCGACCACAACATCAAGTTTCTATTATGATTTTGTTTATTTACTGTTGTTAACTTGTGTTGTGCTTATGAGACTTGGGTTGCGTAAATTCTCTTAGATAAGTATAAATCATATTTACGTTGTAATGATGGAAAATGCTGTTTTCTTCTACATAGTCTCCACATTGAGCCAACAACATAAGTAATCTCTTTATGTATGAATGATATGTAGTTGAGGACCAAACAAGTACTAACCTAACAAGTAAATTGAAGCCCAGTTACCAGCTCATCTCTGAACTGAGACGAGCTTCCATTGCTTTCAAAACGCAATAATAGACTTGCCACGAAGCATAGAAAAAGAAAGTATCAAAAATCATAATGATCTTTGTATAAACTAAGATCTTATCTTCATTAAATTTGCTTTATAATGCATTTTGTTTCATCATCCGATCTCAATTCGTTGTTGAGATACGATTTCTTCAATTTTTATTTTAACATTTTTTTAATCGCACGTTTTCATAAATCGAAAACTTCAAAAATTTCCTCGAATATTGTTACGATATTTTCAGGATGCGTAGAGATCTTTATCTATTTTATCACTGTGAAATCCAATTATGAAAATCTCATTTAAATCGTGAAATAAAAATGTCCAATCGCAATCATACAATTAGAGATAAACAATAGATTTGAAAAAATCGTTAAAAATCTATTTTTGATGAACTCGTTTTAAAAGTTGGGTAACATAAAGAAAAATGTCGGCTTTTTAATGCTAAATTTTACCTCTATACTATGTAAACGTATCTATAGTATACTATATAGAACATTGAGTGTAGTCCACTCCAATTAAATAAATTTCATGTTACTCCTTATCTAATTAATTATCTAATTAATACATCAATTACGTTTTCTTTTAATTACATCGCAAGGTCAAATTAATAAAATATCGAGACCCTGAAAAGCGCCATCTCGTGAAATCTATTACCAATAAGACTTACTTTTAGAGAATTTTTTTATATAATTCTTTTTCTTTTATACAATAAGAAATCTTTTCTTGCTATTACAATGATTTTCTTTTCTCGTTCATCGTAAAAACTTCTTTCCCTTTGCTTAATTAATCCTGTCTTGGGCTGACTTTTAATGAATAATGTTCGCCCCTCTCGGGATAGTTTGATAATTAATTAAAGATTTAACCACTCTAAGTTCACGTTATCGCGCCGTCGATAAGAGATTGCGGTACATAAGTTTGCCGAAACGACGCTTTCAACCATCACAAAACCTGGTGAAAATGTCGAAAAAGGTGGCTTTAGTTTTTCTGGCGTGTCTCGTTTTTGTTGCTAACGCGCAAAAACATGAAGGTAAGTTTCTTATTTATATTAATTTAAAATAAATCGTTGCAATTATTTTTAGACTCCATCAAAAATGGTTTTAAAAACGGGATATCATCATTTTTCCACACTAAGCAAATCTCGAAAGAATTTTTCGATTTTATGGATTCTCTAAATTTTAGAAACGCGTATAAAGAACCGGAAACTTACATCGATCCCGCGGTTTTATGCACAGCTTGCGTTGAGGTTGGCGAAGCAGCTTTGGAAGCTCGAAGAAATGGAACGTCAGCTGAAGATCTTGCAAATTTAGTTGTTGAAGCTTGCGTTTATTTGGGTTTAGATACAAGACGTGTTTGTGAAGGGCTCGTTAACATCATGGTGGTGAGTTAAATAAATTAAAATTTTGAATTACTTTTTAAATTGCTTGCAATTTTAATCTGATTCTAAATCAAAAGAAATCGATCCTATCATTAATTTATCTATAAGTGTATTGAATTGTAGTTAAAATGTTTTAAGTGCACTCATATTGTTTTTGATAAAATCTTTTAAGGACTTGAAAAATTAAAAAAAATATTTAAAAATTCTATTATTAAAGTAAATTAATTTTTTTTTAATTTTCTTAGGATACTGGTCTTTACATTGTAGATAATAGCCCAGATATTAAAGCAGATCATTTATGTGCAGTTGTAGCTCAAAGTTACGGTTGTGAAGGCGAAGTTCCAGAATGGTCGATCAATATTCCTGAAAAAGCTTCAATTCCTCCAAAAAAATCGTCAACTTATGATGAAACTCCATTAAGAATCGCACATATAACTGATATTCATTACGATCCGATGTATTTAGCTGGAAGTTTGGCAGTTTGCGATACTTATGTTTGTTGTCAATCCGATTTAGGTATTGCTGAAAATCCGGATCAAGCTGCAGGATATTGGGGGGATTACAGAAGTTGTGATTCTCCACTTAACGTAATTCAAAGTGCTTTTGAAAGCATGAAGGAACGTGGAAATTACGATGCGATTTATTTTACCGGTGATATTATTAGTCATCGTATGTTTGATACAACCCCTGAAAGAGTTAAAGAGGAGGTTCATACGATTCATAATGAATTAAGGAAAGTTTTCCCTGGAACCCCGATTTTTAGCACTTACGGTAACCATGATTCTCACCCGGTTAATTGTTATGCGCCACCTTCTGTTACTGATGAAACCGTTTCTTCTCAATGGTTGTATGATGACACAGCTGAGTTATGGGGGCAAGATTTAACTGAAGAAGCTAAAGAAACAGTTCGTAGAGGTGGTTTTTACAGCGTTTTAGTCCGTCCTGGATTTAGGGTTATTTCTATTAATGGAAACACTGGTTATTTGTTTAATTGGTGGATTTTATTCGAAACCGACCCTCTTGGACAACTCCAATGGTTGTCGGACGAACTTTACAAAGCTGAGCAAAACGGGGAAATGGTCCATCTTTTAAGTCATAACCCAAGCAGTGATGGAAGTCAATTTACAATTTGGAGCCGAGAATATCGCAGAATCATCGCTAGATTTTCTCACATTATTAAAGCAACTTTCAATGGACACACTCACCAAGATGAAATTACCTTGTATCATTCCATAGAAAACCCAACAGAACCTATTAGCGTAGCATGGAATGGCGGAAGTGTCACCACCATCAGCAATTTAAACAACAATTACAAAGTTTTTAGCGTCGACCCAACAAACTTTGAACTTTTAGATTACGAAGTTTGGTCAATGAATGTAACTGAAGCTAATCTTACCCCTGAATTAAATCCGGTTTGGTTCAAATTGTATTCGTTTAAAGAAGAGTATGGAGTTGAAGATCTTTCTCCTGCTAGCATCAGAGATTTGGCTATTCGCATGACTGAAGATCATAGTATTGCACAAAAATATTGGAGAAATCGCCATAGATTAGCCGATACTGCTTTAGCTGGTGGATGTAGCGATGGGTGCTTGAAAAACTTAGTTTGCAGAATGTTGATGAGTCAAACTTATGATAATACCCAATGTCAAGAAATTACCGGTAATTGGTAAAAACACTTCATTACAATGATTTGTAATAATAAATAATTGCTAAAAATAAAGCGATTTTAATTTCATTTTGTTTTTATTTATCTTTAAGTTATCGATTAATTAATATCGATATGAAGAAATCAGATTTTTTTAAATTTCCATTAATCAACAAAAAGAATTAAAGTATTGTTCAATACCTTGATTATAAATATAAATACCAGAAATAACTTTTTGATTAAAAAGAAAAATAGTGGGGAAATCGTTATCTTCTTAATATAAAATCGCCGTTCTAAATCACATTTTTAATCGTCTTAAAGATGTTGACGAAATTTGTAATTTTTGCCATATTGGTTCATCAAATAAACGGGGGTAAGACAACAAATTTTCTCCTCTCAATTAATTAAAAGCAATGGCACATTAGGTTTGGTGGCTAATCAATTTAAATCTGGCGTAAAAAATTATTTTAAGAATGGAAAGAACTTTACGAGTGAATTTAATAGATTTCTAACCACGATCGACTTACGCCACTCTTTTAGAACGGGAGCTGAGGAATATATCGATTCCTCTGTTATTTGCGATGCTTGCGACGGTTTGTTAGACTCGATAATTGAAGAGGTACATAATGGTTTAAATATGCAAGATGTTATCGATTTAGCTATAACTCTTTGTATCGATTTAAATATTGAACCTGAACCCGTTTGTCGAGGCGCTGTTAATCTCAATGCTGTAAGTAACAATTAAGAATTACATAAAAATTGTACAGGTAATAATGAATTTAATAAGGGAATTATAATGTACATCATTGAAAATCGCCCTGAATTAAGAGCAAATCGAATCTGTGGGATCGTGGCGCAAAGTTTCGGATGTGGTGGAAGTGTTGGTGAATGGTCTATTGATATCGCTCCCGGATCTCAAGATTTTGTAAAAGGAGTCGTAACCGATTCCACGCCTTTAAAAGTTTTGCAAGTCACCGATTTTCATTACGACCCCATGTACACACCCGGAAGTTTAGCTGCTTGTGCAGCACCTCTTTGTTGTCAATCCGATTCTGGAGTTGCTAGCACTCCCGACGAAGGTGCTGGATATTGGGGAGATTACAGAAGTTGTGATACTCCTTGGTATGGTGTCGAAGATGCTTTAGATCATATCGCAGAAACTCACGTAATACGTATATCGTTTTATAAAGCAACTTTTTTGCAAATTTATTTTTAGCCCGATATTGATTATGTTTATTATACTGGTGATACAATAAGTCATCGCATTTGGGATACATCTATTTCAGGAAATACGGAAGATATTACATTGTTATACAACACTCTTTTAGCTAAGTTTCCAAACACTCCAGTTTATCCAATTTTCGGAAATCATGAAGCACATCCTGTGGATATGTAAGTAATTAAAATTTTTCTCCAACTTACCCAGCACTCCACATAACATGTTCGAGGTTCCATTAAATTGAGTTGGCACGGGTTGGCTCAAAGTTGGGTTAATAGTCAAAGACGTTTGTGACTTAGGCTATACCTGAATTTCGTTTTTATTTTTAAGGATATCGATCAATGTAACTCAGATCGCCTCAAATCTTATCAGCGTGTTTATTTTCTGAACAACTCGAATATATATTAATCTACTACAAAAGAACGCAAGTCTTCTTAAAAGCGAAGTAATAATGTATTATCAACTACGATGATTGTTAATTTAGGAATTGAAAATTCTTTTTATAAACTTTTTGATCAGTTGGATTTAATTCTTGTCTTAACGCAACTTTGTAATCCTTTTGTTCTTCTAATTCATTTGATCTTGCTGAACTAGAACTACTTGAAGTTTTCATAACGGTAATTTATTCGAGACGGGGATTTATTTCTATTTTGGGTAGGAGATGAAGCTAAACGTGTCTAAATTTTGCTAAACTGGTTGTAATCACTGAAAACTTGTTCAAATGATTAAGAACTGGTTATTAACTAATACATAATCCTTTAGTTAAATTTTTAATGATTATTAACCAGATTGCAAATATTTTGAGCAACTTGAAATAGTGACAAATAAATTCTAAATCAATTAGACAAATTTTCAAGACAAGTTTCGATGACTATCAACTAATTCATAATCATTTAGACAAGTTGTAAACGATTTCTAGCCAGTTCCTAACTAATTTCAACAATCATAAATAAATATGAACCAATTATCAATCATTTAGACCAGTTTTTAATGATTACAACAAATTTTTAATGCTTTTGAACAACTTGCAATGATCCTAAATTAGTTAACTAACCCTTTAGATATTTGTACAATAATTCGACAGTTCCAAACCACTTATTAATGATTCAGGAAAGTTTTTAATCATTTATTCATCACTTTGACATTTTGAAAACAATTTTTGAACAATTTTCAAGTTAATTTGTTGTGAACAATCACGTTCAATCATTTGAACAATTTAAAATACTTATGAAACAGTTCTCCATCATTTAGACAAATTTGTAATGATTAGGTCCAGTTTTCTTTAGTTTTCAATGATTTTGCACAACTTGAAATAACAATAACTCACTTTTCAATCATTTAAATAAGCTTTTAATGGTTCCCAAAGAGTGATTAACAATTTTGAACAACTTGGAATATCAATAGACCAGTTCAAAATAATTTGAACTGGTTCATAATCACTTGGATAAGTTTCTAATAATTGCCTATCAGTTTGCAATCATTTTGAATACTTTTGTGTTAAAATATATATATGCAGATTTACTCCTCTTGAAATTGAAGAAGAGGAATTTTCAACTGCTTGGTTATTTGATTTGGCTGCTGATTTATGGGGATCAATTCTCGGTGAAGGAACTGCAGAAACAATCCGTAGAGGTGGTTTTTACACCGTTTTGATCCGCCCTGGATTCAGGTTAATTGCATTAAACAGCAACGTTGGTTACACATTTAATTGGTGGTTATTATACGATGATGTTGATCCTTTTGGGCAACTTCAATGGTTGGCTGATACTTTGTACCAAGCCGAACAAGACGGAGAAATCGTTCATATTATTTCACACGTTCCCTCCAGCGATGATACTTGTTACAAAACTTGGAGTCAACAATACCGAAGGATTTTGGAAAGATTTGCGGGAACTATCGCAGCAGCTTTTAACGGCCACTCTCACACTGATGAGTTTATCGTTTATCATAGTTCTGAAGAACCAACTAAAGCTATTAATGTTGCTTATAACGGTGGTAGTGTTACTACCTTCAGCAATAACAATCGTAATTATAAAATTTATCACGTTGATCAACAAAATTATGTAAGATTGATTTTAATTTTTTTAATTCCATAAATTAAATTGTTTTTTATTAAAAAATTAGGAAGTACATGATTATGATTGTTGGAGTTACAACATGACAGCAGCAAATTTAACACCTAACCAAAGACCCAATTGGTTCAAATTGTATTCATTTAAAGATGCTTATGGTTTAAGTGGCGCATCCCCTTCAGACCTTAGAGATTTAACGTTCCGAATGGTTGAAAATGAAACTTTACGACAAAAATATTGGGAATTTAGATCGCGACGAGCTGACACTGCTTTGGAAGGTGGTTGTTCTGATGAATGCCATAAAGGCAATATTTGCGATATCTTAGCGAGCTCATTCGGAGACACCACTCAATGCGATGAGGTCATGGCTGGTTGGCAATAAAGCAATAAAAAGAAATTTACAAGTGGAATAAATTTGATTGTAATTGTATTCAAATAAATTCATCTTTTTGAAATAGAAGTGTTTATTTTTTTTGTTGTTATCTTATTCGAAGTACTTGGAAACGAAATGTACTTTGTAAGCCTTTAAAGCAAAATGTTGTGCAATCCGCGGTGCTAATTGGTTAGCGATATACTCAATACCTAGAAAAATCAGGGTTTTGTGTCACACTTGCAGCTGCAGCAACTATGATTTTATTTGACCTTGCTGAACTAGAACTTGTTAAAGTTTTCATAACAATAATTTATTTGAGATATGGATTTATTTCTATTTTGGGTTGTAGGAGATATTCGTATCCATTTTCATATAGATGTAGAAGGAAATGAAGCTAAATGTGGCTAAATTGGTTGTAATCACTGAAAATTTGTCTAAATGATTAAGAACTGGTTATGAACTAGTACATAATCTTTTAGACAAGTTTTTAATGTCTACTAACCAGATTACAAACATATTGAGTCACAAATGAATTCTATATCATTTAGATTTAACGTTCCGAATGGTTGAAAATAAAACTTTACGACAAAAATATTAGGAATTTAGACGTCTGAGTTTGCTTTGGACGGTTTGTTTGGAGGTCATGGTTAGTATGCAAAAACTTAGTTNAAGTTTTCATAACAATAATTTATTTGAGATATGGATTTATTTCTATTTTGGGTTGTAGGAGATATTCGTATCCATTTTCATATAGATGTAGAAGGAAATGAAGCTAAATGTGGCTAAATTGGTTGTAATCACTGAAAATTTGTCTAAATGATTAAGAACTGGTTATGAACTAGTACATAATCTTTTAGACAAGTTTTTAATGTCTACTAACCAGATTACAAACATATTGAGTCACAAATGAATTCTATATCATTTAGATTTAACGTTCCGAATGGTTGAAAATAAAACTTTACGACAAAAATATTAGGAATTTAGACGTCAGAGTTTGCTTTGGACGGTTTGTTTGGAGGTCATGGTTAGTATGCAAAAACTTAGTTTGCAGAATGTTGATGAGCCAAACTTATGATAACACCCAATGTCAAAAAATTACTGGTAATTGGTAAAAACACTTCACTCCAATGATTTGTAATAATAAATAATTGCTAAAAATAAAGCGATTTTAATTTAATTTTGTTTTTATTTATCTTTAAGTTATCGATTAATTAATATCGATATGAAGAAATCTGATTTTTTAAATTTCCACTTTTCATTAATCAACAAAAAGAATCAAAGTATTGTTATCCAGATATTACTCAATAAACCAGAAATAAATTTTTGATTAATAAAAATAGTGGGGAAATCGTTATCTTCTTAATATAAAATCGCCGTTCTAAATCACATTTTTAATCGTCTTAAAGATGTTGACGAAATTTGTAATTTTTGCCATATTGGCACTGGTTCATCAAATAAACGGGGGTAAGACAACAAATTTTCTCCTCTCAATTAATTAAAAGCAATGGCACATTAGGTTTGGTGGCTAATCAATTTAAATCTGGCGTAAAAAATTATTTTAAGAATGGAAAGAACTTTACGGGTGAATTTAACAGATTTCTAACCACGATCGACTTACGCCACTCTTTTAGAACGGGAGCTGAGGAATATATCGATTCCTCTGTTATTTGCGATGCTTGCGACGGTCTGTTAGACTCGATAATTGAAGAGGTACATAATGGTTTAAATATGCAAGATGTTATCGATTTAGCTATAACTCTTTGTATCGATTTAAATATTGAGCCTGAACCCGTTTGTCGAGGTGCTGTTAATCTCAATGCTGTAAGTAATAATTAAGAATTATATAAAAATTGTAAAGGTAATAATGACATTAATAAGGGAATTATAATGTACATCATTGAAAATCGCCCTGAATTAAGAGCAAATCGAATCTGTGGGATTGTGGCTCAAAGTTTCGGATGTGGTGGAAGTGTTGGTGAATGGTCTATTGATATCGCTCCCGGATCTCAAGATTTTGTAAAAGGAGTCGTAACCGATTCCACGCCTTTAAAAGTTTTGCAAGTCACCGATTTTCATTACGACCCCATGTACACACCCGGAAGTTTAGCTTCTTGTGCAGCACCTGTTTGTTGTCAATCCGATTCTGGAGTTGCTAGCACTCCCGAAGAAGGTGCTGGATATTGGGGAGATTACAGAAGTTGTGATACTCCTTGGTATGGTGTCGAAGATGCTTTAGATCATATCGCAGAAACTCACGTAATACATATATTATTTTATAAAGCAATTTTTTTACAAATTCATTTTTAGCCCGATATTGATTATGTTTATTATACCGGTGATACAATAAGTCATCGCGTTTGGGATACATCTATTTCCGGAAATACGGAAGATATTAAATTGTTATATAACACTCTTTTAGCTAAGTTTCCAAACACTCCAGTTTATCCAATTTTCGGAAATCATGAAGCACATCCTTTGGATGTGTAAGTAATTAAAATTTTTCTCCATCTTACCCAGCACTCCACATAACATGTTCGAGGTTCGATTAAATTGAGTTGGCACGGGTTGGCTCGAAGTTGGGTTAATGGTCAAAGACGTAGGTTTTACCTGAATTTCGTTTTTATTTCTCGAATATATCTTAATCTACTACAAAGAAAAACGCAAGTCTTCTTAAATGTTAAGTAATAATGTGTTATCAACTCTGATGATTGTTAATTTAGGTATTGAAAATTCAATCTTTTTAATTCGACGTTTAACATAATCAGCTCGGTTCAATTCTTTAAAGCAAAATGTTGTGCTTATTTACTTACTCTGCAATACTTAGACAAATCAGCACTTTGTGTTACACTTGCAGCTGCAGCAGCTATGATTTCATTCGACTTTACTGAACTAGAACTTGTTGAAGTTTTCATAAAAGTAATTTATTCGAGACGAGTTTATCCATTTTCATACAGATGTAGAAGTAGATGAAGCTAAATTTTGCTAAATTAGTTGTAATCGGTGAAAACTTGTTTAAATGATTAAGAACGTGTTGAGATTATTGGTTATGAACTAGTACATAATCTTTTAGATAATTTTTAATGATTATTAACCAAATTTCAAACATTTTGAGCAGCTTGAAATAGTGACAAATGAATTCTAAATCAATTAGACAAATTTTCGATTACTACCAATAAGTTTTAATGCATTACTACTTAGTTTTGAATGATTTTGAACAAGGTTCGATGATTATCAACTAATTCACAATCATTTAGACAACTTGTCAAAAAGTTCCATCCAATTTCTACTCAAGTTGAAGAATCATAAATAAATATGAACCAAATATCAATGGTTTAGACTAGTTTTTAATGATTGCAACTGATTTTTAATACTTTTGAACCATTTAGATATTTGTTCAATAATTCGACAGTTCCAAAGCACTTATTAATGATTCAGCAAAGTTTTCAATCATTTAGGCATCACTTTGACATTTTGAAAACATTCTTGAACAATTATAAAGCATCGTTAATTTATTGTAAACAATTTTAGTTGCAACGTTCAATCATTTTAAACAATTTGAAATACCTATGAAACAGTTCTCCATCATTTAGACAAATTTGTAATGATTAGGTCCAATTTTCTTTGATCACCAGATAGTTTTCAATGATTTTGCACAACTTGGAATATTAATAGACCAGTTCAAAATAATTTGAACTTATTAATAATCACTTGGACAAGTTTACAATAATTATCTATCAGTTTGTAATCATTTTGAATACTTTTGTATTAAAACATATATATGCAGATTTACTCCCCCTGAAATTGAAGAAGACGAATTTTCAACTGCTTGGTTGTTTGATCTCGCCGCTGATCTTTGGGGCCCAATTCTCGGTGAAGGAACCGAAGAAACAATCCGTAGAGGTGGTTTTTATACCGTTTTGATCCGCCCTGGGTTCAGGTTGATTGCATTAAACAGCAACGTTGGTTACACATTTAATTGGTGGTTATTATACGATGATGTTGATCCTTTTGGGCAACTTCAATGGTTGGCTGATACTTTGTACCAAGCTGAACAAGATGGAGAAATCGTTCATATTATTTCACACGTTCCATCCAGCGATGATACTTGTTACAAAATTTGGAGTCAACAATACCGAAGGATTTTGGAGAGATTTGCAGGAACTATCGCAGCAGCTTTTAACGGCCACTCTCACACTGATGAGTTTATCGTTTATCATAGTTCTGAGGAACCAACTAAAGCTATTAATGTGGCTTATAATGGTGGAAGTGTTACTACTTTCAGCAATAAGAATCTTAATTATAAAATTTATCACGTCGATCAACAAAATTATGTAAGATTGATTTTAATTTTTTTTAATTCCATAAATTAAATTATCTTTTATTAAAAAATTAGGAAGTACATGATTATGATTGTTGGAGTTACAACATGACAGAAGCAAATTTAACACCTAACCAAAGACCCAATTGGTTCAAATTGTATTCATTTAAAGATGCTTATGGTTTGAGTGGCGCATCCCCTTCAGACCTTAGAGATTTAACGTTCCGAATGGTTGAAAATGAAACTTTACGACAAAAATATTGGGAATTTAGATCGAGACGAGCTGACTCTGCTTTGGAAGGTGGTTGTTCTGATGGATGCCATAAAGGCAATATTTGCGATATCTTAGCGAGCTCATTCGGAGACACCACTCAATGCGATGAGGTCATGGCTGGTTGGCAATAAGGCAATAAAAAGAAATTTACAAGTGGAATAAATTTGATTGTAATTGTATCCAAATAAATTCATCTTTTTGAAATAGGAGTGTATATTTTTTTGTTATCTTATTTGAAGTGCGTGGAAAGGAAATGCACTTGAAAATTTTTATATAAAACTTGTGCAATCCACGGTGCTAATTGGTTAGTGATATACTCAATACCTAGAAAAATCAGGGTTTTGTGTCATAATTGCAGCTGCAGCAGATATGATTTCATTTGACCTTGTTGATCTAGAACTAGTTGAAGTTTTCATAACAATAATTTATTCGAGATGGAGATTTATTTCTATTTTGGGTTGTACGTATCCATTTTCATATAGATGTAGAAGGAGATGAAGCTAAATGTGGCTAAATTTTGCTAAATTGGTTGTAATCACTGAAAACTTGTCTAAATGATTAAGAACTGGTTATGAGCTAGTACATAATCTTTTAGACAAATTTTGAATGTCTATTAGATGTCTCTTAGCTCATTCAGATACTCCACTCAATGCGATGAGGTCATTGGTTGGCAATAAGTTTTATTGTAATTGTATTCAAGTAAATTCATCTTTTTGAAATAGAAGTGTTTATTTTTTTTGTTGTTATCTTATTTGAAGTACGTGGAAACGAAATGCACTTGAAAATTTTTATATAAAACAATGTTATCATTATTTTTTTTTGTTTTGATTGTTTTTAATGAACACCATGAAGAGGCCACGATGTTTTTGATGGTATCATTTTTTTAATATCCTTGATTTAAGGACGAATCAAGTTGTTTATTTAGGTTTAGGCCTAAATCCTTCAAACCACCTCTTTCTCAGCCAACTCACTGATCGTCTTCCTCTTGATTTATACTGCAGTGCAAATTTTGGCATTCTGTCATCTGAAAGAAAAGAAGTTTCTAAAAGCGTTTCTAACAAATTGGATCATATCAGAAATGAAGATATTAAAGATGAATTAGAAATTTTTGCATTTAACGATAAAATCAAAAAATACAAAGAGAAATGGATGGACCACGTGTAGAGGATTACAGAATTATCGATTATATCGAAATTACAATCCTTAATCTTTATCATCTATTTGCAACAGGATTAATTTAAAAAAGCCTTTATATCTCAAGTGGTTTGTAATAAATGAATGCGCAACTATTAAAAAAAAATTGTTAGTATATAAATCGAATTGTTAATTTTAAACGGTTAGATTTAATTAAGATGTGGTCGAAATTTGTGATAGTTGCCATATTGGCAATTTTTGCACAACATGTATCAGCAGGTAAATTTTTATTTTCCTATTTTATTATTAAAATTAATTTTTAATTTTTTTTATTAAGGACACATTGCAAACGAATTCAGATCTGGCATTAATGAATACTTTAAAAACGGCAAAAAATTCTCAACGCAATTCGAATCGTTTTTGCGTACCGTGAATTTAAAACATTCATTTAGGACCGATGCTGAACAATACATCGATTCCGGCGTTATTTGCGAAGCATGCGATGGCGTCATAGACCAAGTTTTAACCGAAATCCAAAATGGATTAACCGCCGAAGATCTTAGCGAGTTGGTTATTAATCTTTGCGTTGAATTAAATATTGAACCAGAACCGGTGTGTCGCGGTGCTGTTAATTTAAACGTTGGGATTATTATGTATATTATTGGACAACGTCCAGATATTAAACCGAGTAAAATTTGTGGGATTGTTGCTCAAAGTTATGGATGCGGTGGGGAAGTTGGGGATTGGTCCGTTGATATTGCACCGGGTTCGCAAGAATACGAAAAGGGTGTAGTAACCGATGGTGTTCCTTTGAAAGTTTTGCATGTAACCGATTTCCATTATGATCCAATGTACACCCCGGGAAGTTTGGCTACTTGCGCTGCCCCACTTTGTTGCCAATCAGATTCTGGAGAAGCAGTTAATGTTGAGGATGGGGCTGGGTATTGGGGCGATTACAGAAAATGTGATACACCATGGTACGCCGTTGAAGATGCTTTAGATCATATTACAGAGACTCATGTAATTTTATTAATTTTTTATTTTTTTTTTAATTAATCTTAATAATTTTTTAGACTGATATCGATTATGTTTATTACACTGGTGACACAATTAGCCACCGCGTTTGGGACACATCAATTATAGGAAATACTGAAGATATTAAATTGTTGTACAACACACTTTTGGAGAAATTCCCAAATTCTCCAGTTTTTCCAATTTTAGGAAATCATGAACCACATCCATTAAACATGTAAGATCTCATTTTTTTTCACTTTAATATATCATTAATACATTTATTTCATTTAGCTTTGCCCCATCTGAAATTGAAGACCCAGAATTTTCAACCGCTTGGTTATTTGATCTCGCCGCTGATCTTTGGGGCCCAATTCTCGGTGAAGGAACCGAAGAAACAATCAGAAAAGGTGGTTTTTACACCGTTTTGATCCGCCCTGGATTCAGGTTAATTGCATTAAACAGCAACGTTGCGTACACATTTAATTGGTGGTTATTATACGATGATGTCGATCCTTTTGGGCAACTTCAATGGTTGGCTGATACTTTATACCAAGCTGAACAAGACGGAGAAATTGTTCATATCATTTCGCACGTTCCATCCAGCGATGACACTTGTTACAAAATTTGGAGTGAGCAATATCGTAAGATTTTGGAACGATTTGCTGGGACAGTTGCTGCTGCATTTAACGGTCACACCCACACCGATGAATTTATCGTTTATCATAGCTCCGAAGAACCAAGTAAAGCTATTAATGTTGCTTATAATGGAGGAAGTGTTACTACCTTTAGCAATAAAAATCTTAATTATAAAATCTACTATGTAGATCAAGAGAATTATGAAGTTCACGATTATGATTGTTGGAGTTACAACATGACAGAGGCTAATTTAACCCCAGATCAAAGACCGAATTGGTTTAAATTATACTCATTCAAGGATGCTTACGGCTTAACTGGCGCGTCTCCTTCAGATCTTAGAGATTTGGCGTTCCGCATGGTTGAAGACAAAACTTTAAGCGAAAAATATTGGCATTATAGATCACGTATGGCTGATACCGCTTTACAAAGTGGATGTTCTGATAGCTGCCAACAACAAAATATTTGCGATTTCTTAAGTAGTTCTTACGGCGATACAACTCAATGTGATGAGATTGTAGCCGGTTGGTAAGATTTAATTTGAATATGTTGTAATGAAATAAAATTGACCTTCAATTAACGTGGGGTATTTATTTTTAAACTTATTTACATAACATTTAGGACAAAGATATTACAAAGACTTGATTTGTTATATTAATCATCTAATTAGTGCATTTCAAAGAATTTGTAAACGAAGTTTATCATATCAAAGGTAACTTAAAACGCAAATTGTTAATTGTTGCGATATAAGTTACACGATAAATAAAAACCCATTAAACTTTCAACAACGACCTCGTCCACAATCTCACAACACACCAAATAGTAAATAGAAAATCATTCGTTAGAAACAACCTTAGTTCAGATTTCGATTTGTCACACCATCCTTTGCATTTTGACCACTGTCCAAAATCTAATAATAAAAGTCTTTATTATTAGAGTAATTCGCTTTTATTTTTCGTCCAAGTTCAGGTGCGTTCGTTGTTTGCGGTTTCACTTGATCTTCGGCGGTCGCACGATGTGGTTATACGGCATTCTTTTATGGTTGTGTTTTTTTAGTGTTGATGGTGAGAGAAGTGAAAAGTGAGAGTTAATCCTTTTTAATTCAATCTTTTAGGGAGAAGTAGATTAAAAAGAAGTGAACAGCCGGTTTGTTATGGATGCAGAGCCGGATCGAACGTTCTTTCAGTACTTATTAATTATTTTGGTTTATCCTCGGATCAAATAACTTATTTATCTAAATTTGTTTGCGCCGCCTTTCAAAATGATATTAAAGTTTGCGAGGATACCATTAAAGAACAGGCTGTAAGTGAAAATGATGTTCGATACGTGAATGGAGTGTTTATGCTCTATAAATAAGTTTCATTTTTGGTTTGTTAATATCTTAAAGGTGGAACAAACAATTCATTTATTAATTTAATTTAAATCGATTGATTCAAAACAAAATGTGTTGTTATTTTTAGTGAATCGCTTTCTCTTTACAGCAAGGAAGCGCTTTTTGAAATGTTACCGTAACTTAGATAGAAAGTAGCATCAAATTTAGTGTAGTGAAAGTGTTACAACATTTAAATTTTATTTTAAACCATTCAATTTTAAACCATTATTATTATTGTTATTAGTTTATTTATTATCGATTTTAACAACAATGGAATAAATGAGGAGTGATTCATTATTACTCAGCTGAAAAGTGAATGATCTCTTTAAGAATGCATAAAAAACAATAAGAAATTACTACCTGAATCCTTCTACTTACTACCTTGAGTTTATCTTAAGAACTACAAGATATATTTAAAAGTTTTTTCATTGTAAAGGTTACACTTTCTTATATAAATGATGATATCTCAAGTAATCGATTTCTTGATAACGATTGTCCCTTTTTGTTAATCATAAAAGGTGGGAAAATTTTCGATCGAATTTAAAAATTTTTATCTCAAGAACTAAAAGATATTTTTAAACGTGGTCTTTTTTATTGTAAAGGTAACACTTTCGTTTATAAATGGAGATAATTTAATGATGATATCTTAAGAAGTCGATTTTTTATGATTTTTTTGAAAAAGATCGACACTAATTGTTAATCATAAAAAGTGAGAAAATTTTTGATCGAATTTAAAATTTTTTATCTCAAGAACTAAAAGATATTTTTAAAATCGGTCTTTTTCATTGTAAAGATTGCACTTTCCTTTATAAGTGATGATAATTTCATGAAGATATCTCAAGAAGTAGATTTTTTATGATTTCTGATAAAGATCGATACAAATTGTTAATCATAAAAAGTGAAAAAAAATTTGATCGAATTTAAACATTTTTATCTCAAGAACTAAAAGATATTTTTAAACGTGGTCTTTTTCATTGTAAAGGTTACACTTTCCTTTATAAATGGTGATAATTTAATGATGATATCTCTAGAAGTCGATTTTTTATGATTTTTTTGAAAAAGATCGACACAAATTGTTAATCATAAAAAGTGAGAAAATTTTTGATAGAATTTAAAAATTTTTATCTCAAGAACTAAAAGATATTTTTAAAATCGGTCTTTTTCATTGTAAAGGTTGCACTTTCCTTTAGAAGTGATGATAAGTTAATGATGATATCTCAAGAAGTCGATTTTTTATGATTTTTTTGAAAAAGATCGACAATCGATAATTGTTAATCATAAAAAGCGAGAAAATTTTTGATCGAATTTAAAAATTTTTATCTCAAGAACTACAAGATATTTTTAAAATCGGTCTTTTTCATTGTAAAGGTTGCACTTTCCTTTATAAGTGATGATAATTTAATGGTGATATCTCAAGAAGTAGATTTTTTATGATTTCTGATAAAGATCGCTACAAATTGTTAATCATAAAAAGTGAAAAGAAAATTTGATCGAATTTAAACATTTTTATCTCAAGAACTAAAAGATATTTTTAAACGTGGTCTTTTTCATTGTAAAGGTTACACTTTCCTTTATAAATGGTGATAATTTAATGATGATATCTCAAGAANCTCTTTAAGAATGCATAAAAAACAATAAGAAATTACTACCTGAATCCTTCTACTTACTACCTTGAGTTTATCTTAAGAACTACAAGATATATTTAAAAGCTTTTTCATTGTAAAGGTTACACTTTCCTTTATAAATGGTGAGAATTTAATGATGATATCTCAAGTAGTCGATTTCTTGATAACGATTATCACATATTGTTAATCATAAAAGGTGGGAAAATTTTCGATCGAATTTAAAAATTTTTATCTCAAGACCTAAAAGATATTTTTAAATTCGGTCTTTTTCGTTGTAAAGGTTGCACTTTCCTTTATAAGTGATGATAATTTCATGATGATATCTCAAGAAGTAGATTTTTTATGATTTCTGATAAAGATCGATATAAATTGTTAATCATCAAAAGTGAAAAAAAATTTGATCGAATTTAAACATTTTTATCTCAAGAACTAAAAGATATTTTTAAACGTGGCCTTTTTCATTGTAAACGTTACACTTTCCTTTATAAATTGTGATAATTTAATGATGATATCTCAAGAAGTCGATTTTTTATGATTTTTTGAAAAAGATCGACACAAATTGTTGAACATAAAAAATGAGAACATTTTCGATCGAATTTACAAATTTTTATCTCAAGAACTAAAAGATATTTTTAAAATCGGTCTTTTTCATTGTAAAGATTGCACTTTCCTTTATAAGTGATGATAATTTCATGATGATATCTCAAGAAGTAGATTTTTTATGATTACTGATAAAGATCGATACAAATTGTTAATCATAAAAAGTGAAAAAAAATTTGATCGAATTTAAACATTTTTATCTCAAGAACTAAAAGATATTTTTAAACGTGGTCTTTTTCATTGTAAAGGTTACACTTTCCTTTATAAATGGTGATAATTTAATGATGATATCTCAAGAAGTCGATTTTTTATGATTTTTTTGAAAAAGATCGACACTAATTGTTAATCATAAAAAGTGAGAAAATTTTTGATCGAATTTAAAAATTTTTATCTCATGAACTAAAAGATATTTTTAAAATCGGTCTTTTTCATTGTAAAGGTTGCACTTTCCTTTATAAACAATGATAATTTAATGATGATATTTCAATAAGTCGATTTCTTATGATTTTTTGAAAAAGATTGACACAAATTGTTGAACATAAAAAGTGAGAAAATTTTCGATTGAGTTTAAAAATTTTTATCTCAAGAACTAAAAGATATTTTTAAACTCGGTCTTTTTTATCGTAAAGATTACACTTTCTTTTATAATCGATGATAATTTAATGATGATATCTCAAGAAGTCGATTTTTAATGATTTTTTTGAAAAAGATCGACACTAATTGTTAATCATAAAAAGTGAGAAAATTTCTGATCGAATTTAAGAATTTGTATCTCAAGAACTAAAAGATATTTTTAAAATCGGTCTTTTTCATTGTAAAGGTTGCACTTTCCTTTATAAACGATGATAAGTTAATGATGATATCTCAAGAAGTCGATTTTTAATGATTTTTTGAAAAAGATCGACACAAATTGTTGAACATAAAAAGTGAGAAAATTTTCGATTGAATTTAAAAATTTTTATTTTATGAACTAAAAAATATTTTTAAACTCGGTCCCTTTTATAGTAAAGATTACACTTTCTTTTATAATCGATGATAATTTAATGATGATATCTTAAGAAATCGATTTTTTATGATTTTTTGAAAAAGATTGAAACGAATTGTTAATCATAAAAAGTGAAAAAAATTTTTATCTATTTTAAAAACTTTTATCTCCAGATCTAAAAGATATTTTTAAACACTGTCTTTTTCATTGAAAAGCTTATACTTTCCTTAATAATTGCTGCTAGTTTCGAGTCGATTTATTAAAAATTAGATTTTTCACGATTTTTTGAAAAAACCGCAACAAATTCTCTTCCCTAAAAATGAAGATAAACATTGTTGTGTTTGAAATTTTTTTTCTCAAGAATTAAAAGATATTTTGAAAAGCGGTCTTGTTCATTGAAAAGCTTATACTTTCCTTAATAATTGCTGATAGTTTCGAGTCGATTCATTAAAAATTGGATTTTTCGTGATTTTTTGTAAAAACTGCAACAAATTATCTTCCCTAAAAATGAAGATAAACATTGTTGTGTTTAAAATATTTTTTCTCCGGAGCTAAAAGATATTTTCAAACGCGGTCTTTTTCATTATAAAGGTTACACATTCCTTTACAATCGATGATAATTTAATGATGATATCTCAAGAAGTCAATTTTTAATGATTTTTTGAAAAAAATATCAATAAAATTTATTTAAATCACTCTGTATACATTAAAACATCCTAAATCCCAGTAATTGCAACAATTTATTGAGTACACTCGATGTTAATTTCCACAACAAAAGAGATCTAGAATAATGTGGCTTCCTGTTTACGCCAAACTTTGTCCATTAAAACAATTGAATTGTCACTATTTAGAGTAATTTTTTACAACATCCGGTCACGGTTAAATTTGTAAATGACCATTACAAAAGAGACCACACCTACGTATTTACAAAATTAGTTTCAAAGCTTAATTTACTCGAAAACAACTAATTGTTGGTTCAATTTGATTTTAGAAAATCATTCATCACATTATCAAAAAAAATCCTAACATATCCCCATCGAAAATGTGTCAATTGCTTCATAGATGCAACATAGTTTCAGACTGGGAGGTAAAAATTCCGCCGAAATATTACGAGGTTGATAACAAAGTAAGCTTTTTTTTATTTATTTTTGTTTGTTGTAAATTATGTTTTGAGTTTGTAGTGGACGTTTTCGGGGAATTCCTTCGAAATTTTACATATTAGCGATATTCATTACGATGATAAATACTTAACCGGAAGTCCGGTGAAGTGCCAAAAGTTTCTATGTTGCCAAGAAGATAGTTTATTTAAGATAAATGCTGAATCGACATCTGCTGGTTATTGGGGCAGCTATGGATGGTGTGATAGTCCGGGGAGATTTGTCGAAGCTAGTTTAAAACATATCAATGAAAAACACGTAATAAAAAAATATAATAAAAGAATAATATTGTATTATTTTTGTTTTAGAATAATGTTAAATATATTTATTTCACCGGTGATATTGTTAGTCATCGAATTTGGGATACCAACAAAAAACATAACTTAAAAATAATTCGGCACGTTTATAAAGAGCTTAGAGAAAAATTTCCGGGGAAAATTATTTTCCCAGTTTTAGGAAACCACGAAACTCATCCAGTTAATTTGTAACAAATACATTTTAATCACAAAATTCTTTTTAATAATCATATTTTTTAGATTTTCTCCAATTAATTACACAGACGAAGTATTATCAACTCAATGGCTTTACGAAGAAATCGCAGAACTTTGGAGTTATTGGCTCCCAAATGAAACGAAGGAAACTATCAAAAGAGGTGGATTTTACACCGTTTTAGTCGAACCCGGTTTCAGAATAATCGCTTTAAACAGCAACGTAGCTCAAATCTTTAATTGGTGGTTATTTTTAATTGATAACATTGACCCATATGGACAACTACAATGGATGGTTGACGTTTTAACTGAAGCAGAACGAAATAACGAAGTAGTTCACATAATTTCTCATGTTCCATCAAACGGCAGAGAGGTAGAAAAAGTATGGAGTCGAGAATTTCGAAAAATCTTAGACCGATTTAGGCACGTTATTCGAGGAATTTTCAACGGACACACTCATTTAGATGAATTTATTCTTTACCATGCAAAAGAATTTCCTTACGAACCCACAGTTTTAGCTTGGAATGGGGGAAGTTTAACAACTTATCACGAAGATAAATTTGTTAATCCAAGTTACAGAGTTTTCGATATTGATGCGAAGAATTTTAACACAATCGATTATACTCAGTTTACTTTTAATTTAACCGAGGCTAATTTATACGAAGAGGAACCAAAATGGTACGAGCTATATTCGTTTAGAAAAGCTTATGGAGTTGAAAAGTTAGCCCCGGAAATAATCGAAAATGTTTTATTAAAAATGAAAGATGATGTGGGTATGCAAGAAATGAATTTTCGTTATAGTGTAAGAGAAGCGCCTGGAAATTATTGTAATAATAATTGTTTAAAAAGCATTTGGTGTGGGTTATATTCCAGTGAATCGAAAGAAAATTTAGAAAATTGTTTTTAGATTAAATATTTATACGATTTTTATACTTTAAAATAAAATTAATTTTTTATTTTTCCATTTTATTAAAATCAATCAAAAGTAAAGCGTTAAGAGTACTCCAATCGCGTTGAAAGCCGCACAAAAGGGGGTAACTCCAATAAATTTTGCAAAAGAATCGATACGACGCTTCGCGCGACCGGACACAAAGACTTTACAATAGGATTTCGCGAGAGATTTACGATTATAGATGCTTCGCAGCTTACCGCGTGTCGTTAAAATCGGTTATTGTTCCATAAACCCTCGACATCTCTTTGTTTTGCGAATGAAATTTGCACCTGAAACTCTTCCAATCAATAATAATTATTATGCGGGTTTAATGTTCTCGTTTTACAATTGAAATCGATACACATTTCAATAATAAAAGTGTCGTTTCTCGAGATACTTACAAATATCACATTAAATGAGATTAACAATCAAGTTTTATTTCTCATAAATCAGTATAATATGAACTGATTGGAACATTTTATGCCAGAAATTTTCGTTAACTTTGTATATATAACCCAAACACCATAAGATTAACACTAAATAAATAAATAAATTAATGAAAAACTATATCAAATCAATATTGTACTCGTTAAGGAAGGTATTTCTTCAAAACGCAAAAGAAATTTAAATATTTCAAGTGTCTTTTAAATACAGCCAATGGTTAATCAGGGATGTTAGTAGGTTAAGACGTCTTTCAGCAAAGTATAGTTAGCACCTATTTGCTGAAAGGTGTTTTTACAAAGTCAAAGGAACGAATATTGCTTTTGCTTCGTCTCTTTCAAACATAAATTTAAGGTGATCATCTCTTCAGTGAAGACTTCAGCTGTTCAAGACCAATTTACTTGAGCTACTGTACTAGGCAATAACCATTGATGAAAATCCTCGAACCCAGAAATTCTTGGAAATTCGTATGGATATCTCTGAAACAATTTTTCTGAGTGTTCTGAAACACTCAAAATATCTCTTGTGCTCGTTAAGGAAGCTATTTCTTCCAAACGTAAAAGAAATTTAAAGTTTTTACTTGAATACAGAATTTCAGGCATTACTTGAAAAAGTTTTGAACCCGATTTTCACACCTTTTAAGAATTTAATGATTTACCAAGTCTTGTTGCTACCAATTTAAGAATTTTTAAAGCACAAACTATTTCTGCATTCAAATGGATGCACAGGATTATGCATGAAGATTTCCAGAAATGCTGTTATTAAAGAAAATGACGTAGAAGATTTTGAATGACGATTTCAAGTGTGTTTTAAATATTGTCAGTGGTTAATCAGGGATGTTACTAGATTAAGACGTCTTTCAGCAAAGTGTAGTTAGCACCTATTTGCTGAAAGGTGTTTTTACAAAGTCAAAGGGACGAATATTGCTTTTGCTTCGCTTCTTTCAAAGATAAATTTGAGGTGATCAATTATCATGTCTTCAGTGAGGACTTCAACTTTACAAGACCAACTTACTTGAGATACTGTACTAGGCAATAAGCATTGATGAAAATCCTCGAACCCAGAAATTCTTGGAAATTCGTATGGATATCTCTGAAACAATTTTTCTGAGTGTTCTGAAACACTCAAAATATCTCTTGTGCTCGTTAAGGAAGCTATTTCTTTCAAACGTAAAAGAAATTTAAAGTTTTTACTTGAATACAGAATTTCAGGCATTACTTGAAAAAGTTTTGAACCCGATTTTCTGCTGAATTGAGAAGTTTGCCCTTTCAAAAACCACACCTTTTAAGAATTTCATGATTTATCAAGTCTTGTTGCTACCAATTTAAGAATTTTTAAAGCACAGGATTGTGCTTGAAGATTTCCAGAAATGCTGTTATTAAAGAAAATGAAGTTGAAGATTTTGAATGAAGATTTCAAGTGTGTTTTGAATATTGTCAATGCTTAATCAGGGATGTTACTAGATTAAGACGTCTTTCATCAAAGTGTAGTTAGCACCTATTTGCTGAAAGGTGTTTTTACAAAGTCAAAGGAACGAATATTGCTTTTGCTTCGCTTCTTTCAAAGATAAATTTGAGGTGATCAATTATCATGTCTTCAGTGAGGACTTCAACTTTACAAGACCAACTTACTTGAGATACTGTACTAGGCAATAAGCATTGATGAAAATCCTCGAACCCAGAAATTCTTGGAAATTCGTATGGATATCTCTGAAACAATTTTTCTGAGTGTTCTGAAACACTCGAAATATCGCTTGTGCTCCTTAAGGAAGATATTTCTTCCAAACGTAAAAGAAATTTAAAGCTTTTACTTGAATGCAGAACTCCAGGCATTACTTGAAAAAGTTTTGAACCCGATTTTCTGCTGAATTGAGAATTTCACCCTATCAAAAACCACACCTTTTAAGAATTTCATGATTTACCAAGTCTTTTTGCTACCAATTTAAGAATTTTTAAAGCACAAACTATTTCTGCATTCAAATGGATGCACAGGATTATGCATAAAGATTTCCCGAAATGCTATTATTAAAGAAAATGAAGTTGAAGATTTTGAATGAAGATTTCAAATGTGCTTTAAATATTACCAATGGTTAATCAGGGATGTTACTAGATTAAGACGTCTTTCAGCAAAGCGTAGTTAGCACCTATTTGCTGAAAGGTGTTTTTACAAAGTCAAAGGGACGAATATTGCTTTTGCTTCGCCTCTTTCAAAGATAGAGTTGAGATGATCAATTTGTAACATCTTTTCAGTGAGGTACTTCAGCTGTACAAGACCAACATACTTGAACTACAGAATCGATGAATCCTTGAACCCAGAAATTCTTGGAAATTGTATCTCTGAAATACATGCTCTGAAATGTTCTGAAACACCCAAAATATCTTATGGGTTCTTGAAAATCCTCTCGAAATCTTTCTCTCTCCATTTCTCATCCATTTCACAACCTTTACAAAGGGGTGTGTTGAACGATGATGTAGTTCGAAGCCTACTAAGCGCCAGCATAGCCTCTCTGCTATCAGTGCAGATTACAACGTTTCTGCCAACGTTTTTGAAGTCGACATTAGGTGCTATATTTATAGCAGTTATTTCGGCCTGAGCAGTCGTGAAGTACGACCCTAGCAAAATGGAATGGTGCAGCCTTCTTTGATCCATCAGTGTAGATGGTCGGCGTTTTACTTGTGCTAAAGTTGCTCTGGGGTATCGTCTCAATGCCAAAGTGTGGCCTGTTTAAGAAAGTATTTGTGATGAAGTCTGTGCGAGACTCAAGGAGGGGTTCTTTAGGAACAGCCTCACCACATAGTTCGCTCTGGACTATTATCATTAGTTTAAAAGTAAAATAAATCCCCACATCTTCCAGGATTTCTAATGAAGAGGGTAATTACCGTTATTTTTAAGTAAAATTAATCTTGCAGTGTCTGGAAATCCTTCATAAATGTTTAGAATTCCCTCTAACATGATTTCTATGTAAAATAAATTCCACAACATTCTGGAAATCTACTGGATAAGTTCAGAAAACCTAGAAAATCCGAGATAATATACTAAAAATCTAAGAAACGCTCGAGAACCCTACACCATTACATGTATTTGTCTGTTGAAAAGGAAGAATTACTATTTCTATGTAAAATTAATCTAGAAACCTGAAACAACCCAAATAACATCACTTTTTGGTAAAATAAATTCCATAACTTTCTGGAAATCTACTGGATAAGTTGGGAATACCTAGAAAATCCGAGATAATATGCTAAAAATCTAAGAAACGCTTGAGAAACCTACACCATTACATGTATTTGTCTGTTGAAAAGGAAGAATTACTATTTTTATGTAAAATTAATCTAGAAACCTAAAACAACCCAAATTACATCACTTTTTGGTAGAATAAATTCAACAAATTTCTAGAAATCCATAAGTTCATAAATCTTAAATAATCCATGCAATGGTGGAGGATTTTCAAACGTTTCTTAGTATTTTAGTGTATTATTTAGTATTCTCCAGGTTTATAGATAAAAACAAACATCGCTGCTTCTCTATCTTCTACTACAGCTCTAGCTATTTTCGGTTCAACGTTCTACCACGATCTCTGAAATGCAGAGCCTTCACGCAGAGCTTGTACCTGTACTTTATTTAATTATCTCGTCCTGGTCAGATTTATTTTGTGTGTGGTCAGCTTTATTTTCTATGTGATCTTAATTTCATCGTCTCGGCCTCGAGCGACTTTCGCTTTATTGTAGCAACCTCAAACTGGGCATCATATTGTTATGACAAGAAAAAGCTGAATTCTATCTAGAACGAATAAGGAGAGAATTAAAATCGTTTGGAAACCATGATCAGAAACTTTTAGGTCTACCTCCAGTTACCAATACATCTACCATAGAAAGTAACATCTACCCCTGAAGCTCCTAAAATTATCTTGCCAACCATCATAGTAGTTTGTTATTACTTAATCTAAATAGCCTCTATCCAAATCTTACATTGAAACAGTGCTTACTAATTGTAAGCTGAAAAGTAGACGATCAAGTGATAACTTGCACCTCCCAGAAAGGTTACCTATTTCCGCAGCTGTTTTCAGCGTCTTAGAATAGAATAGAATTTGCCATATTAGCATTAGAAATCTTAGGATCTCTTCTAGAAGAAATCAAAACCATTATAAACTGTAATAAAAAAAGAACTTTTCAAACCCCTGATAATGTACAAATTATCCCAGTGGCCACAATGCTTGAAAACATTTTACAATAATTATATCTTCTAAAAATACAAATTATTTTTTAATTAAATATATTTCTATGCTAACAATTAATGTTAATCAATAACACGATCCGAAACACTCTGAAACAATGTTCTTATTGATTAAGATAATAAAACATCTTATAATTTTTAGATAAAACATTAAACGATTGATATAGATAAAGATAAAACTAAATAAGTATCAAAAATATTCAACGACTTTGTTTTTTGGTATTGAAACATCTCAGAATACGAATTTTGAGTCTTTTGAGAAATGTTAAAATTATTCCTTTTAATATTTCTGGTTACTCAAGTTATCACAGCCAACATCAATAAAGGTAAAAAATTATTTTATTTAATTAACAATTAATTAAAACTTAATTGTTTAGATGAGATTAGAAACAGAATCTTTTCTGGAATTCACCATTATGCAAAAACGGGGGAAAAATCTTTAGATTTCTCCGACTTTCTAAATTCTTACTCGTTTAAACACGCGTTTCGGCAACGACCAAAACATTTCGTAAACTACGAGTCTTTATGCGACCTTTGCGTTCCAATTGTTGATGCAGCCATCGAAGAAAGAAGAAATGGTTTGGATGCGGAAGATTTAGTGACAATGATTGTTGATTTATGTGTTTCAATGAACATTGAATCAAAGGAAGTTTGTGAAGGAGCCATAAAAGCAAATGCAGTTAGTATATGAATCAATTAAATTTTTGATTTGAACCAATATGATTTAAATGATTTAAGGATCCGGTTATTTTTATCGTTGATAATAAACCAGATTTGAGTGGAAGTCGGGTTTGTGGCACTGTTTTGCAAGGATCTGGATGTAAATCGGATTCAATCCCTGAGTGGGATATTAAAATTCCTGAAGGGACGACAATCGACGTTGAGAAAGGTTTACAATCGGATTCTAAGCCATTAAAAGTTTTGCAAATAACCGATATTCATTATGACCCAAATTATTTACCTGGATCTCCCGCTAATTGCCAAGAACCACTTTGTTGTCAATCTGATAAGGGATTGGCTGAGAATGAGGATGATGCAGCTGGTTATTGGGGTGATTATAGGGATTGTGATTCACCAAGGCATGTTGTTATCGATGCTTATGAACATATCAATCGGGTTCATGTAAGAAAATTTTAAAACTAATTTCTAACTTAAAAAGAAATTATTTTTCAGGATGATATAGATTATATCTATTTTACCGGGGATATTATAAGACATAAAGTTTGGAATACATCGGTTGAAAGTAATTTGAAAGAGATCCAAACTATGTTTGATGATTTTGAAGCGCATTTTCCAAATATCCCAATTTTTTCAATTTTTGGTAATCACGAACCTCATCCAGTTAATGTGTAAATAATAAATAAACGTTTTTGTTTATATTTTGAATTAAAAAAATTATTTCTAGTTATGCTCCATCGGTTATAACTGATTCGTTGGTTTCAACACAATGGTTATATAATCAAGCAGCGAATCTTTGGGGGAAATATTTGCCTGAAGAAGCTCAAGAAACGATTAAAAAAGGGGGTTATTACACAACCTTAATAAAACCCGGTTTGAGAATAATTGGAATTAATAGTAATATTTATTACATCCAAAATTGGTGGTTATTATATGATAACACCCAACAAATCGAACAGTTACAATGGTTATCTGATACTTTGTATGAGGCGGAGAAAAATAATGAATTCGTTCATATTTTGTCTCATCTTCCATCGGGAGGTGGAAGCGCAATTCTTTCTTATAGCAAAGCGTACCGGAGGATTTTAGAAAGATTTTCAAACACAATAACAGCAATTTTCCAAGGACACACTCATCACGATCAATGGGTTATTTTCCATCATATCGAAGATAATTCCCCCATTGGTATCGTTTGGGATGGGGGAAGTTTAACCACAGCATCAAATTTAAATTATAACTACAAAATTTATGATGTTGACCAAGAAAATTTTGTAAAACAAAATCTTTTTTATTGATTTAGATGATATTAATTAATTTTGTTTGTAGGAAGTTTTAGATTTTGAGTCATGGACTTTTAATTTAACAGAAGCTAATTTAACACCGAATCTTTCCCCGAATTGGTTTAAACAGTACTCATTTAAAGAAGCTTTTGGTCTTGATAACGCTTCCCCGAAAAGTGTTAAAAATTTGATGTATAAAATGGCTCAAAATCATGATTTATTACAAATTGAGTATAGACACCGATATAGAGAAGCCGATTCTAGAGGGGCTTGTGATGAAAATTGCATGAAAAATAATCTTTGCGATATGACTAAAAACGAATACGGGGATGATTATGCTTGTCAAGAATTATTATCGACGTGGGTTAATTAATTAATCCAAAATTTATTAAATAAAATTGTTTTTCTTGATTTTGTTTTATTTTGATAATAAATTGTGTTTTAATTGGGACGAAAGTTGGTGGGCAGGTGGTACAAGAGAACACCGTTCAAATGGCAACCCCAATAAGGGTTGTTGCCCTTTGAAATCACCGACTAAGTAGGCCCCGTACCGATTTTCACCTCCGATAAAAAGCGATTTGCGATTTACCGTAATTTTCTTCACCCACATTTCGCCGACTTTACCCCATAATTTAATCGATTTAACTTAATTGAACCTTCAAGTCTTAGCCACGACGTATCTTTCCCTTTGCGGAATTAGTCACGTAACGTGACCACCGGAAAATAAACGATCGAACGAAATAAATTTCACGTTTCGATTTTATTCCTAAACGGCTTAACTGGGATTTTTCAACGACTAATTTGATTTTATTTGTTTTACAGTTCGTTGCACATTCAAATGTACAGCAGCTGCTCGCTTCGATATGGTATGAGGGACTTCCTGGGTTTCGACGGAAAAACATGCTTCTCCAAGCTTTGGAAATTGTCAGGATTGGTATCCTATTTCCTTTCTTTTCCATCGGGTATATCATCGCACCACATTCTATAATTGGACAGACGATGCGGAAACCATTCATCAAATTCATATGTCATTCAGCGTCATATTTTACTTTTTTGTGTAAGTAAACAAAAATTCTTTTACTAATACTAATAAAAATATCACATAGTAATATTAATAAAAAACATTAAATTGGATATTTAAGCTTACAACATCCATTTTAATATAGTTTCAAATATATAAAATAAAAGAGTTTCGGGTTATCAAATTTTAAATGAACTGGAGTGGCCTCAATCAACATTCTCGCAATTTTTGTATAACGCGAATATTAAAACTAACACAACAATTTCAATTCATGCTTAATTCTTTCGTTGAACACAATGTATGGAATAAAACATTGATTTTCAATTTAAAATTTTTATTCAACAAATTCGATCGTATTGGAGACAAGTTTTAAAATGTATTATCGTCATGGTACAACAGTTAGGAAGTTATGGTATTCTCTTGAGTCGTTTTGAGGAAGTTCTTATGTTACATTGGAAACTTTTCAATAACAATGGAATTATTGGCCGAATTTAATCCATTCTTGAAACAACATCTAAAAAGTTATGGAAAATTATGGCGACTAAATATTTTCTTATAGTTACATATTCAACACCTGCCATATCACATGTAAATCAGGTGTCGATTGTCATAACATATGTCCAAGAATGTAGGACACGAATAAAGATATTCCATGAATAATGCTTTAACCGAATCGATTCTAATACCAATGACACTGGTTTGGCATTCTTAATGTTGTTTTTAAATTTTAAAGAATATATGTTACTGTAAAAGCCCGAATTACGGTAAATCCTAAGATTTTCCAATGAAACCTAACATTTACCAACTCTGAATGGTAAAAGTTCAAAATGTTCTGTGATTATCGTTCATTTCGAACTTTTACCACCATCCACTCGGTAAATCTTAGGTTTTACCGCATAGACTCGGTAAATGTCAAAAAATAGACACGTATAGACCAAATCGACCGTTTCAGACGTTTGAACGCACAAGTTTTTATTTATTTCTGCTTATTTTTGATGTCCAAAAGTAATTTATGAATCGAAAGTGATATTAATTCCATATATGTGAGTGTCTTCACTGTCTGAAAGTAACTAATCAATCAAAATTAGTGTAAAAAAAGAGATACAAGCAAGAACGATAATAATTTTTATATCGACAAGGAGAAATATGCAAAGTGTTATAAAATTAAAGCGTTATGATATTTGGACTACAGGTGGCGAAGAAAAGGTAGCTAACATTGAAAGAACTAAAACTGACCCAAAAAGCAATATAGTAGTTGTGGTAGATGTAAAAGACAACGAGCTTTACCAACTGGTTATGAAAATTGGAGTACTAAAGCAGCTTTATACTACGAATTACTTTACCTCATGTTCTGAAGACTTTATAAAAATAGAAGAAGTTGTTGAAGATAAAGAAGTGAGTCTTCGAGAAGTTATCGGAAAATTGTCTATAACCGAAGGATTCAAAAAATGCAACTGCCTCAAAAAATGCTTATCAAAGAAATGCGCTTGCAAGTCATCAGGACTATCTTGTAATTCTAAATGCCACAAAAGCCCTCCGTGTTGTAACAAGTAAAATGTCTTTTTTATTATTAATAACTGGTAATTTATTATTTAATTTCATTACCAATTATATTGTAATAAATTCTCTCACTCTATTGGCAATAGCCAGAAAAATCACATTGTTAAATTCATGTTGGTAAATGTTAAGATTTACTAGTTAAACCTAAGTCGGGCCTTTACAGTAGCATATACATACATAAATATAAATCTACAAATTGTAATGGACGACTGGTATAAAAACGGAATGTATGATCATGTTACAAAACATATCCTAAGAAAGCTAAATCCTCCTTCTCATACCTACAAAAGAAAAATCTTAAACTACTGCCTTACCAACCAACATTTCGCCGAAGATTGGAAGGCATTTGTCGTAGTTTGTGTTCTCATCACTATCTGACTCATCCAACTATTCCAACTACTCCGTCCAACATCTTGCTTGCTGTATCAATTTTGGTGTTTTCATCTTTGTGTAAAAACATCTCTGCCAGTACTTGCTATTCTGCAAAACAAAACTAACATTACCCAACATTTCTGCCATATAAACAAATCTTACCCAACATTCTAAGTTTGCAGGTAAACTCTAACTTGATGATAGACGAAATAAAAGAGGAACACCTAGTACCCAGGTGGCCCATCTATTTCTATGCAATAATCTATGGGATCTTTATTTAAAAATATTTAATCCTCAAGAAAATGAATGATGGGAGTTAAGACGTAATCAAGACGACAGATGAGTTGGAGAAAATACTAGGAGTGGATAGAGAATAGATGCTAGGAGACGATATAAAGATATATCTAGAGCAAAGAGAAGGGAATGCAAAAAGGAATTTGTACGACAAAGAATGTGGGGTTCATAAATAACAAGGTTTGGAAAGAATTCTTCATGGAACTCTTGAAAGCTTGCAATTATCTGCGAAATAAAGAGTGAAATATTGCGTTCGTAGAGGAAATAGAAAGATCGAGAAGTATCGCTGGAAATTAATGAATATGGCTGAAAGAAATTTTTTTTTTTCTGACTGATAAATAATCAGGTGCATTAAACTCGAGACTGTTTAAGCATAAAAAATGTATAACGAAGGTTTTAGAAAAAGTAATTACCAGAATTAGAATAATGCTTTAACCGCATTGGTTCTTTATACCAATGACACTGGTTTGGCATTGTTAAGCCCGAACTGTGGTAAATTCTAAGATTTTCCAGTGAAACCTAACATTTACCAACTCTGAATGGTAAAAGTCCGAAATGTTTTGTGATTATCGTTCATTTCGAACTTTTATCATGAATGATGAGAGCTAAGACGTCATCGAGACAGCAGATGAGTTGGAGGAGAAAATGTTAGGAGTGGATAGAGAATAAATGATGTAAGGATATATCTAGAGCAAAGAAAAGGGAATGCAAAAAGGAATCTGTACGACAAAGAATGTGGAGTGCATAAATAAAAAGGTTTGGAAAGAATTTTTCATGGAACTGTAGGAAGCTTTTAATTATTGGCGAAATAAAGAGATAGAGTATTGCGTTCGTAGAGGAAATAGGAACAGCTACAAAGATCGAGAAGTATTGCTAGGAATTAATGGAAATGAATGAAAAGAATATTTTTTTCTGACTGATAAATCAGGTGCATTAAAGTTGAGACTGTTTAAGCATAAAAAATGTATAACGAAAGTTTTAGAAAAAAAGTAATTACAAGAATTAGAATAATGCTTTAACCGAATCGTTTCTTTACACCAATGACACTGGTTAGGCATTCTTAATATTGTTTTTAAATTTTAAAGAATAACATATATTCTTTAAACTGTAAAAGCCCGAACTACGGTAAATTCTAAGATTTTCCAGTAAAACCTAACATTTACCAACTCTGAATGGTAAAAGTCCGAAATGTTCTGTGATCATCATTCATTTCGAACTTTTATCATGAATGATGTGAGCTAAGACGTCATCAAGACAGCAGATGAATTGGAGAAGAAAATGCTAGGAGTGGATAGAGAATTAATGCTAGGAGACGATGTAAGGATATATCTAGAGTAAAGAGAAGGGAATGCAAAAAGGAATCTGTACGGCAAAGAATGTGAAGTGCATAAATAAAAAGGTTTGGAAAGAATTCTTTATGGAACTGTTGGAAACGTGCAATTAGTTTATTGGCGAAATAAAGAGTGAAATATTGCGTTCGTAGAGGAAATGGGAAAAGGAAAGATCGAGAAGTATCGCTGGAAATTAAAGGAAATGGATGAAAGAAATTTTTTTTCTGACTTATAAATCAGGTGCATTAAACACGAGACTATTTACGCAAAAAAAAAGTATGACATAGGTTTTAGACAAAAAGTTAATTACAAGACTTAAAATTGAGATTAGAAATGTGCACAATATAGAAGAAAAATACAAAGAAAGAGGGTCGATGGAACAACATCGTGAAATATTCTGGTGGGCAGATATAGAAAACTAAAACGACAAGAGTGGTGCGAAAAATGAAACAGGGGAGACGCTATCATAAATATAAAATTATAATGACGATAGAAACTCCCAAATATCTAATGGAGGATAGACGAGGGGAGGAAAAAAGAATAATAACACCTTTCAGGATGTAGATATGAAGGTTGGGGAAATAGATGGGATAAATAAAGAATGTTGATTATGTTAAAATGATTAATAAATAAGATAATGTATAAGAAACGTGATAATTATATGCTTTTTATGTGTCACAATTAAGACTTCTTGTACCTTTAGTAATATTTTTCTTAAAATTTATTTTTATTTTAGTTTTATTAATATTGGCATCACAAAGGATAGAGAGTCTGTTCTTCAACGAGGCAGTAACCGATCCGGTACCAACAAAGCGAGGAGCAAAACCTTCATTAATCGAATGGATCATCCTGGCTTGGGTTAGCGGTATGTTCCGTCCATTATCCGCCTTTACGCGCCTTCTTATTTCCGCCCCCGTGTTATAAACGGGCGCGTAACCGCTTCCAGGCCTAATCTGGAGCGAAATAAAGCAGCTGTGGGACGTCGGTCTAGAGGAGTACGTGAGGGACATGTGGAACGTCATCGACTTCATCACCAACGCCCTTTACGTCGCAACGGTCGCCCTCCGGGTCGTCTCTTATTATCAGGTAGTTAGACGAGAAACACAATGGGAGATTCCCCTTTGTACTTTCGTACGCTAATTATAAAACCACTTTGTTCTTTTTCTTGGGTTCGTTTAGGTTCAAAATGAAGTGGGTACCAGTGCCGACAACAGTGAAAGGAAGGATTGGGATGCTTGGGATCCAATGTTGATATCTGAAGGGCTTTTTTCAGCCGCTAATATTTTTAGGTAACAATAATTCAGTATTAAAAAATCTTTTTTTGAAACCGGCTTTATTGAATTCTTTCTCCCTTTATTTCTTTGTATTCCTCAACTCCGTAAATCCTCCAATATGAAAACGACAATGAGGGGTTGGTTACGAAAGGGAAAACGTTTTCAAGCGGGATGGGATAAAACTCGACCTTTACGTGCTCTACTGGAAAAGCTAGATATACGTGTCTTGAACGTTACAGATGGGGCTGACGTCGTGAATGTTTTGCCACCAACGAATTGTTTTGTCATTTCAGTTTTCGCTCTTCCACAATTTACTTCTTGGCTGACTTAATTTCAAATTTATACGTCAAACAATTTTGTTGCAGTTCATTAAAATTAGTCTACATATTTTCTGTGAATCCTCATCTTGGTCCGCTTCAAGTATCTTTATCGCGTATGGTTATGGATATTATGAAGTTTATTTTCTTGGATGTCTTAGTTTTATTCGCATTTTCTTGTGGTAAATAAAATTTATTAATAACAATAATAAATAGGGGGAATTACATTTTTTTTTTCGTAGGATTAAATCAACTTCTTTGGTATTACGCTGAAGCTGAAAGACAAAATTGTCCCGATGAGAGAATAACCGGGAATGCAACCCAAAATGCTTTAGCTGCTAGTACTGATACGAATGCGTGCCAAATTTGGAGAAGATTTGCAAAGTAAGACTTCTTTTATTTACTTGATGAAATTAAACTAATTCTTTTTGTGTACTAGTCTTTTTGAAACATCACAAACTTTATTTTGGGCCGTCTTCGGATTGATCGAATTAGAAAGCTTTGAATTGAAAGGAATCAAAATTTTTACACGATTTTGGGGGATGCTTATGTTTGGTACATATTCTGTGATCAATATCGTTGTTCTTTTAAATCTTCTCATAGCGATGATGAACCATTCTTATCAATTAATATCAGTAAGTAAAGGTTTTAATTTAAATTGTGATTTATTTACATTCATTGTGTTATGCTAAATAATAAAGGAACGAGCGGATGTGGAATGGAAATTTGCGAGAAGTAAATTATGGATAAGTTATTTTGAAGAGGGGGGAACTGCCCCTCCGCCTTTTAATATCGTTCCAACACCTAAAAGTCTTTGGTACGTTATTCAATGGGTACAAAGAAAGTTTTGTAGTCACTCAAGAGCAGCCAAAAAAGAACATATGAGAACGATAAGGGTTTGATTTTTTGTATTTTTTTTTAACTAACGGAATAATTTTTGTTTTATTTATAGAGAAAAGTTAAACAAGCTAGCGAACGAGATTTTAGATATCAGGTAATTTTTTAAATAATCAATTTTATTTTCTAAACCATTTCAATTTTAGAGCATCATGCGAAATTTAGTTAGAAGATACGTAACGGTTGAACAAAGAAAAGCCGAGAATCAGGGTGTAACGGAAGACGATGTAAATGAAATAAAACAGGACATATCAGCGTTCCGATTCGAGCTCATTGAAATACTCAAGAATTCCGGGATGAACACTTCGACTGCCCATTCTGTGATGGGTTCAGGTTAGTTAATTACATTCCAAATGACCGACCCACATCATCAGTCATTTCTATGTTTATACACAAAGAATTTTAATTCTTCATTTGATTTTTTGTTCGTAATCTTTTTTGATAAAGGCCAACCTAATCCAAGTACATCCTCATTCCTAGAATATCTCAAATCAAAAAACATTCCAACTCAGCAGGAATGAAACAATTACTTTTGGTATGATAAAAGTAGATTAAATTTACCGTAAAGTGGTTTTTAGTACATGTTGATATCTCAATTAGTTCTTGAGATACAACTTTTTCAAATTTTGACTTACCTGTCATAAGGGACTTTGCAGAGATGAATTAAAAACATCATAATGTCTATATTAATAGAAATAAGGAAATAATTTTCACATCATTAAATAATTATTAAATTTGCTTTAAAACATATTTTAGTTCATGATGATATCTCAATTCGTTTTTGAGATACAATGTTGTAACTTGCATTTTTATCAATTTTACCTCAATAAATTAAAAAAATCGCATCATCGAGATTTATGGGAACGAAACAATTATTTTTGATATGATAAAAGTAGATTAAATTTACCATAAAGTGGTTTTTAGATCATATTGTTATCTCAATTAGTTATTGAGATACAACTTTTTCAAATTTTGACTTACCTGTAATAAGGAACTTTGCAGAGATGAATTAAAAACATCATAATGTCTATATTAATAGGAATAAAGAAATAATTTTCAACATATTAAATACTTATTAAATTTGCTTTAAAACGTATTTTAGTTCATGATGATATCTCAATTCGTTCTTGAGATACAATGTTATAACTTGCATTTTTATCAATTTTACCTCAATAAATACAGACATAAATTAAAAAAATCGCGTCATCGATGGGAACGAAGCAATTATATTTGGTATGATTAAAGTAGATTAAATTTACTATAAAATGGTTTTTAGATCGTGTTGATATCTCAATTAGTTTTTGAGATACAACTTTTTCAAATTTTAACTTACCTATCATAAGAGATTGAAGAGACGAATTAAAAACATCATAATGTCTATATCAATAGAAATAAGGAAATAATTTTCAGCTCATTAAATACTTATTAAATTTGCTTTAAAACGTATTTTAATTCATGATGATATCTCAATTCGTTTTTGAGATACAATGTTGTAACTTGCATTTTTATCAATTTTACCTCAAAGAATGCAGACATAAATCAAAAAAATCATATTTATAGGAACGAAAGATTTATCTTTTGTGTGCTAAAATTAGATTAAATTTACTACAAAATGAACTTTATTTCATCTTGATATCTGAATTACTTTTTGAGATATGATTTTTTCAAATGGGTGTTTATTAACTTAACTTGTCATAAGTGTTATAAATACAGAATTTCTTTGCTGGCTCACCATGCTTCTCATCATGATTTAGTACAATCCAAGAATGGTTTAAATTCTGTTGCAAAATGTAATCACATCAAGAACTGAATCATTCCAAACGTAATGTCTCAATGCAACCTGGCATAACATAAAATTGTTTCAATTCAACCTAATAACTCAAAAATGCTTCAACCTCAATCTCTGAAACTAAACTGATCGTAATTTCAATTTAAGCCTCATTTCTACTTAACTTCATCCCAATCCATAATGACCCCAATGAACATCGTCAAGAACATTGAATATTGCAAGAAGCCAGGTTCTCATTTCGCACTGAATCACTCCAATCTCACTTCTATGTCTCAACTCAGCAGTGTTGGATTATAATTAGTTTGGGTTGGCTCAGGTCATTGATGTCGTGAGCCCCTTTCAAAAATGCGTGATATTATTAGGCATATTTAAACATGTAAAGCAGATGACCCCGTGAACTGGTTGTGTATCTATCGTCTTAGTTTTTGTGCAAAATCTGTGTAGTTGGTCTTATTGCTGATCCTTTCTCGAGTCGGTACAAAGAATAATAGATTCGCCATACCCGAACTCCGAATGATTGAACTGTTGAGCCAAGAGATCATCGAGCCATTCTGCACTTAATCGCAGCACTATTATGTATGCAGATGTAAGCAAGTCCACATGTCTTTCAAAATATCCGGTTTGGTGTTTTCTAACTTATACGAAGTACTAAGTCATCAACATTTATTCACTCAGTGATTTGTCGTTCATCCCCAGAGTCAAACTACATTTTGGCAATGGGAAAAGCAACATGCCACGTTTCTTCATGCATCGAACATTGTTGTATCATATACTATCACCTGGCCAAACGTATCGTATTAAAAGTGTCTCTTGTCGTACCTCAAACCCAGCTGCGAGAAGTATTATGGCATCAGTGCTTTTTATCTAAATTCGACAATTTGATGGAATTCATACACTTAACCCTCCCTCAGCCTCTTCATCCAGTCAAATCTAGTGGGATTAACTCGAAATCCTTTAATACCCTTCTAATAATATGTCGTTTACCAACAAAAATTTAACCATGCAGGAAGTCGTTTTGACAACATAGCCGTAAGGCAAGCAATAAAGATTGGATGATAGGTACTTAGACTACAGAATTCGACAAAATTTACAAAAATATAAGAATTTAATTGTAAAAATGTAAGAACCTGGCTGTGGATATTGTACTGGTGGTGCTCATCGTCTTTCTCGAGCTAGGTGTAGAATGCTATAGCAATAACGGGTAAGCAAGATTTTTTAGAAAATTCGGAGGAACTTCTTTGTCTTTCTTAAAGAGCTATATGCAAGGGTGGTGGACAACTTTTTTTAGAAGTACTATCTTTTATCTAACTTAATATTCCCGTATTTAACTTAGGTTCGAACCTCAAACGGTGACTCTTGAGTTAACACATTATGCAATTTTGATTAACCCAACCCGACTTCAACTTCAGTTCGTCGTCCTTAAACTTTTAATCAGTTAGTTCATGAACCAGTAACTTGTAATGGTTCACGAAATCGATACCAAATATGGAAGTCAGTCGGTAATGTGCTACTCCACAGAAATCGCGGCATATCCTCGGCAATAATGGTATCAGCTAACGCTCTTAAGATATCTCAGGAATTATACCAGTTTCCAATATCCGATTTCATTGCAATATTTTTTTGCACACTTTTTAAATGTAACACCTTATGCAACTCATCCTGCACAAAAGAATCACTTAAATACTTTATTTTATATTATATGTTTTATAGTACTATCTTTTTTATGTATATATTTAGGTGCTGGAGGCAAAAAGAATCGTCAAAAAGAACGCAGACTGATGAAAGGATTTAATATAGGTCCTCAACCTTCCACTACAACGGGTCCTCTTCCACCAGTAGCCGAATTTATAGCATCTCTTCAACAACATCACGACGCACATCATCACGATATTTTCGGATCGACTTTATCAGGAATTTTTAATTCAACTCCGAGAAAAATCCTTCAACATAGTACGGTGTCATCTTCGCAAGGTAGTATAAATGAGGGTCATCATCATCGCGGGTTGGGTCGTTTACAAATGAAGCGAACGTCCTCGCATAAGAGACGTTGGGGGACATTAATCGAAGCTGCAAAAACTGGAAAGGTGTCTAGATTGATCGGAAGATCGCGATCGGAAGATTCGGTTTGTAACTCGCATTGTCGAGAAAATGGACATAATCATTCCCATAGTAATAGTCCAGCTTCGGAAGATAACGCAACGGATAGCCCGACGGATTCTAATCCTAGTTTAGATAGAACTAATTGCCAAACGCATCATCAATCGACGACTTCTTCGCATGAATCTCATGGATTAGCGGCTGGTTTATCACTTTTAAAGAAAAAAAGGAAGAAATTTTCTGCGTCGAGAAATACAAGTCCTATTGTAGTTCCGCCCAATCCAGTTGAACATGCAATTGCTGTTTGTATGGGAAAAAGTAATAAAAAAGTGAGTTGATGTTTGTTTTTGTAAAATTTTTATTTATATTTTTTTTTTGTAATTTTAAAAGGTATCTCAGGTGTTAAAAAGAGCTTCGAGCGTTCCGACACGTGTACCAGATATAAACCATCCAATGCTTCGTCATGATCAGACGCAGTCGCAGCAGGATTCAGTGGAATTACCTACAGCTTCGGGTGTACAAACGACTTTAACCCCATCTACTACCGAGGAGAGTGTAACTAACGCTGGGCATTCGCAGAACGTTTCAGGATTATCCTCTAGGGAACCACTCCTGTACAATTCCTCTTCCAGCAATCAAGCGACTGGGTCCTCACAAACACCGGAAGAAGAATATAGAGGGAGCAACAAACTTCAAGGTGTTATTCCATTGAGCGGACATAATTGCACTTCATCAGGATGGCTTTAATTAAATAAGATAAAGAGAGGGCGAAGGCGAAGTAGTACAATTTTTAAAATTAAGAATTTTCGACGAATTATTAATTATTAATTTATAAAAATTGTTGTTTTAAATGTGATATTTTTGTTGGGTTGGGTTTAAAAAGCAGTATTGTAAAATTGTTCAAGAAATTATTCATAACGTAATTTCTTAAGCAAAAAAATTAGATTGATGTTGATGGAGATATTTCCGTATAAATATTTAAGATTAAGAGTATCGTTTTATTATGTGTAACTAACGTTTTAGATAGTCGTAACGTGAAATCAAAGAAAAATCACGCTGTATGTAACACCAAAGAAAATATAATGGTATAAAATAAAATCATTGTAGAGAAAGAAATTTTAGGAACTATCGTTGATCGTTGTAAATAACTAAAAACATATTTATAAATTAAGGAAACCCCTTTTCAACGATTGTGGACCAGCGTATGGATGAAATTCGAATTAGTTTCTGAGATTTACATGAATACAAAAAGAAATCAATAAAGAAAAAAATACATCCATTTAACTCAGCTAAACAAACAAATAAATACATAAATTAATAAAGGAAGGAACACACATAACACAACATAAAAATTGGAGGCCTTATTAAATGAAACTTATAAAACTAATTCAATATTAAAGTAAAAAATAAAAAAAAAATAATACAAGGGATATTTGTTGAAAAAAAAAGTTATATAATATCTATATGCCTTAGAGTTACTCAAAAAAATGGATAAATATATCTGAAACACTAAAATCGTATTTTTTCATAGCTAGAAAAATGGGAAAATGAAAAAAAAAATATATTCAAAATTATCTACAATACTTATCTTCAACTAAACATTAAAAAAAAAGTGTAGCTTGGAAAAAAGGTGTACGTTGTTGTATTTATTAGTTGTGCTTGACTATTTTTAAGACAAATCGATTAAAGAATCCGCCACAACTGCCCGACTAATGTATAAAAGAAATTAAGGATTTTAAAACGATAAGAAATATCTCTAACATATAAATATCTACATATTTGCGTTTCAAAATTGGTGAAAGTAAATGAGTTCCTTTCGATTTCGAAGTAAAAAGTCCTAGTCAGATCTAGTCTATAGATACAACTAAGTTTAAGTGCGATATCATAAAAAGATGTAATAAAAAACATGTTTATAAAAAAATTATTAAAAAAAACGGTTTAATTTTGGATACAAAAATTTTTTTTTTATTTACGAGTTGATTATGCATTTTTCGTTTATTTTTGTTAACTCAGATTTAATATATAAAACGATACTTACTTTTTCGAACTCGATATCTCAACTGTTTACAATTTTTCTGCTTTTTTTGTTACATTTAGCTTGAAATTTATCAACCTCGATAACCCCAGATTTTATTTAAAAAAATCATATGTCCGAAATTTGTAGGAATGAAGAAATTGCCTTTATTGTATTGGAACTACATTAAATTTACTTTAAAATAGTTTTTAAATCATCTCGATATCTCAATTCGTTCTTGAGATACGATATTGATTATTATCAACTTAATCCGACTAAACAGAGTGAAATTAAAAAATCATATCACTTGGATTTGTAATAACGAAAGATTTATTCTTGGTATGATAAAACTAGATTAAATTTATTATAAAATGTTTTTTGAATCATATTGATATCTCAATTACTTTTTTTGAAATACATTTTTTTCAAATTTCGTATTTATAACTTATCATGTTATAAAATGCTTTGCAGAGATGAATTTAAAAAATCATAATGTCTATATTAATAGAAATAAAGAAATAATTTTCAAGGCATTAAATACTTATTAAATTTGCTTTAAAACGTATTTTAGTTCATGATGATATCTCAATCCGTTCTTGAGATACAATGTTGTAAGAATTTTACCTAAATAAATACAGACATAAATTAAAAAAATCGTATCATAGAGACTTATAGGAACGAAAGATTTATTTTTGGTATCATAAAAGTAGATTAAATTTATTATAAAATGGTTATTAGATCATATTGATATCTCAATTCATTCTTGAGATACAATGTAACTTACATTTTGATCAATTTTTCCTCAATAAATACAGACATAAATAAAAAAAATCGTATCACCGAGATTTATAGAAACGAAAGATTTATTTTTGGTGTGGTTAAAGTAGATTAAATTTACTATAAAATGGTTTTTAGATCATATTGATATCTCAATTATTTCTTGAGATATGCTTTCTTCAAATTTTGAGTTACCTGTTATATGGTACTTTGCAGAAATGAATTTAAAAAATTATAATGTCTAAATTAGTAGAAATAATTTTCAATTTATTAAATACTTATTAAATTTGCTTTAAAACGTATTTTAATTCATGATGATATCTCAATTCGTTCTTGAGATACAATGTAACTTACATTTTGATCAATTTTCCCTCAATAAATACAGACATAAATAAAAAAAATCGTATCATCGAGATTTATGGAAATAAAAGATTTATTTTTGGTATGATGAAAGTAGATTAAATTTACTATAAAATGGTTTTTAGATCATGTTGATATCTCAATTCGTTCTTGAGATACACCTTTTTCAAATTTTGACTTACTTGTCAGAAGGGACTTTGCACAGATGAATTAAAAACATCATAATGTCTATATCAATAGAAATAAAGAAATAATTTTCAACTCATTAAATACTTATTAAATTTGCTTTAAAACGTATTTTAATTCATGTTGATATCTCAATTCGTTTTTGAGATACAATGTTGTAACTTGCATTTTTATCAATTTTACCTCAATAAATACAGACATAAATTAAAAAAATCGTATCATCGAGATTTATGAGAACGAAACAATTATTTTTGGTATGATAAAAATAGATTAAATTTACCATAAAGTGGTTTTTAGATCATGTTGATATCTCAATTAATTCTTGAGATACAACTTTTTCAAGTTATGACTTACCTATCATAAGAGATTGCAGAGATGAATTAAAAACATCATAATGTCTATATCAATAGAAATAAGGAAATAATTTTCAGCTCGTTAAGTACTTATTAAATTTGCTTTAAAAGGTGTTTTAGTTCATGATGATATCTCAATTCGTTTTTGAGATACAATGTTGTAACTTGCATTTTTATCAATTTTACCTCAAAGAATGCAGACACAAATCAAAAAAATCGTATCATCGAGATTTATAGGAACGAAAGATTTATCTTTGGTGTGCTAAAATTAGATTAAATTTACTATAAAATGGACTTTATTTCATTTTGATATCTCAATTACTTTTTGAGATATGATTTTTTTAGTTTGGTGTTTATTAACTTAACTTGTCATAAGTGTTATAAATATAGAATTTCTTCGCCGGCTCACCATGTTTCTCATCATGATTTAATCAGACATAGTTTGTTAACTCCTTTCAAATCGAGCTTTCGGTCTAAATATCCTTGTAAGCATTTCCCCCATGAGTAATGATCTGAACTTTGCTTCACATCAGATGGTAAATTTTTTTATTCATTTCTAATTAGAACAATCTGAGTTGATAATAAAAGAGTAAAAATTAATAATCAACATTGAAAATGATTCTTTTTGGTTTCGTATCCAAAACCGGGAATAAACTAAACGAATAAAATAACTTAATAAAAATGTGAAACAATTTTAAACGATGATTTAATGATTTTAACGAAAAAGAAAACGTTGTCGTATTGACGTAATCGAATATACATACTTAGCATTTAGGGCTTAATTGAATTTTTTGTATCATAAATTCGGATCCTTATTAATAAAATGTAACAAAGAGTTTCGATGTTTTTTTTAGTCCACTAGATTTTTTTTTATACATTTTGAGTTAAATTTGTCACCGTGACATAGTCTCAAATTTATTGTTTATTTTTTTTCTGTGAGCAGCGAATATAGAATTAAAAAAAAAATGTTTGGTCAACCAGTGGAGATTTGTGGTTATCAATTCCTTTTTAGGGAAACGGGATACTACATCACCCGGAGAGAACAATTTGAACATGGTAAAAATATATTCCTCAAAAGAAATTATTTGCGAATAAACCCTTGCTTTTAGCATTACAATCTTTTGATATTGCCGTTGAAAAAACGCCCGAAGATCGTAGGGCTTTAATGGGAAGATCAATAGCTAGAGCAAAAGCTGTACAATATGAAGGGGCAATGGCAGATATTAATAAAGCATTAACACTGTTCCCAGACGATCTTGTTTTATTAGCATTAAAAGCTCTCAATACTTATTTAAGTTGTGATTTTGAAGAGGCTTTAGTTCAAAACTTAAGATGTTTGCCTTTAAGAAAAAAGCCGGATAATTTTTATATGGGAGTCATGCACGTAAATATAATTAAATTATTTTTTCAGAGTTAATGAAAAAGCTTTTTAGTGTACACAAGCTATTGAAAATGGAATTGGTGAATTTGCCGGACGCCCATTACGAGATCACTTCAAAATAATAAGAAAATTAGCTTGGAAGAAAGCTTTTGAAGCAGAAAATCCCGTGAAATACGTGGCGAGAAATAAAAAGAAAAAGAAAAAGCCGAAAGAAGATAAAGGCAAAAAGCAAGTTTTAGAACCATTGGCTCTTATAAAATACTTGCAATCGAAAAAAACAAGAAAAGAGGTGCATTACCAATGCGGAGAAGAACCAGAGGGATACGAAGTAGAAATTCGAGACAGCTTAAGAAGTCATCGAGCTGAAGATGAATTTATCCCAAAAGGACCACGATTTCCTTACAGACCACTTCAACGGTACACCAGTAACATAGAAAATTTTATGGCTGAAAAGTACCTGAATTCAATGTACTTAGATAAAATTTTTTTAAAAACTCTCAAAGATAACCCAGGAGTATCAAGTCCAAACAGAGACGGTTATAAACACATCCTACAATTAGCCAAAGACGGTTACAAAATGTTATCGTACAAACAAGAATTGTTACGAACCCGAAGACCATTCTATTTCATCAAATTCGCAGAAACTTTACTTTCGAAGCGCCTTTTGGAACGTTTGGAAGCCGAAAAACAATATATACGAGAAAGAACCGAAACTAAAGCCGATTACTTATTAAACAAAATGAAAACTCACATCAATAAACGCGAAACGAAATTCGCCCTTGATACCGCTGAAAAAATTAAAGCATTTTGCGAGGAAAAACCGAGAAAATATCTCCCCGCCAAAGACAGTATTTTAGAGGAGGTGTGTGTTCTCGTTGGAAACGCTTATTTGGATATGAAGAGGTTGAATCTTAATCAATCCGATGCAGATCAAATAAAAAGAATTAATAACATGTTGGGATTACCGATTAGTAGGGAACCATCTCAAGATTCAATTTTAAAACAATTTAAGGGTGTATTTATTGATTGGAGGTACTCTCTTTTATTTATTCCATAAATCAAGTTTCCATCAATTTTTATGTTGTAGAAAACAAATTACAATAGCTGAAGTTCGCCTCCTTAACTCAACATCTCAATTAGAAGTAGCTTGGTTATATCATGATCTAGCAAAATATCACGCAGAGCTAAAATTATTTGAATTAGCAAGAGTTTACGCTAGAAAATGTATCGTCGAAGCCAAACTAAGCGAAAACATTCCGTGGATTATCAACGCTAAAATGATCATAGCCAAGATTAATATGTGCCAACATAATAGAACTGATGCGCGAACAGAAGTGAACGCAGCTCTCGAATTATCCAAGCAACTCGACAACGACCAATTAACTCAATATATAGAAAGAGTAAGTTTTAAGTTTATTTATTAACATTTAAAATATTTATTTTAATTTTTTAGACATTAGGAGTTGTTGAAACAACCGAATTTGAAGACATATTCGGAATGAAACTGGTGGAACAAAGAGAGAACCAAATCTTGACGATGATGGCTGCATCCGGAATGAAAGATGAAGTCGCTCATCTCTTCCGACAAATGGCTGTTATGCCAGCTTCCAGAAGAATGTCGGTTATGCCTGGAGTTAGATTTACCGACACCAAAAAGGTTTGTTTTAACACTTTCAAAACAATTTTAAATCATTTTATTTTTAAAAGGTGAATAAGAACAAGAAAATGAGCATTTTACCCCAACAAAAGACATCAGACGATGATTTTCCAATGAGGAAAGGAAAAGGTGAAAAGAAAGAAAATAAAGTCGGATTTATAGAAATGCTTCAAGATTAATTATTACAATTTATTTGTATAAAAGATTAAAATAAATAAATTTTTGTCTTGATTCATTACAACTTTCTACCCTCGTTATAATTCTTGACAGATCTTAAAAGGGGAACACCTTCCCTTTCCCATTTTGTTACTTTGAACGTTAGAACAAAACAGGGGGAATTATCTCGACCCTACTCCCCATACCCAGATGATGACGTCGAATGGAACAAATCCCTGGATCCCTAAGGAGTCGCAATATATCACTTGTCGCCCCCCGATCCCTCCCCCGACAGCGAGGGTCACGTGCCAATCCCCAGTTTCTACCGCGTTCAATTTCGCCCAGTTCTTTGCTTGTCACAAAAATACACCTTATCAAAAATTCGTAATAAATCCGACCGGAATTGAATTCTAGCAATTTTCAGAGGAGCGGATTCTTTTTTCAAGTTTCCAGGCGAGACAGTGGGATTGAATCAGATTTTGGTTAATATAAAATTTCACGTTGAAAATCTCATTTTTATATCTTATCATTTTATATCTTTTTATGAAGGAAAGAAAATACGAAGGATTTTCTTTAGAAAATAATATTTAAATTATAAAATTCAATTATATGAGGTTCCCCTCGTCAATAGACGAACTGGCTATCTTTGACATAGAAATAAAACGTCCGCCACTCCAACCATGACGTATTTAGCCATGAAGAAAAACAGAACTGAAAGACACTGCTGACATGGATAATATTTTAAATTTTTGCTAAATGGATATCTTTGACCTAGAAATAAAACGTCCGCCACTCCAACCATGACGTATTTAGCCATGAAGAAAAACAGAACTGAAAGACACTGCTGACATGGATAATATTTTAAATTTTTGCTAAATGGATATCTTTGACCTAGAAATAAAACGTCCGCCACTCCAACCATGACGTATTTAGCCATGAAGAAAAACACAACTGAAAGACACTGCTGACATGGATAATATTTTAAATTTTTGCTAAATGGATAGCTACATAACCATGGTAGCAGTAGGCTTGGGTTGTTCAAAAAAAAAAGCTGGAACCTAGAAAGATCACAACTTAAGTCTTAAAAATAAGGAGTGTAAAACGCCAAAACTTGAAGTCAAACATTCGTTTAAATGGACTATGTTGAAAATTTCCTACTCTAATATGAACTTCAAAGATTTGCAAAAACATCTTTTCGTTTGCAGAGTTTTTGTGTATGTAGGGGACGATGCCCTGCCACGTCAGTTGATTCATTACAGGATTTTTGTTGCTATTAGTGTTATCCAAGATTGAATCTTATTAACTGTATGGGAGTTAATAGCCTTACTGAGTTTAGGATAACAAAAACTTTCAACAGTACCCAAAGACTAAAACAAGATTGTGTACTGCCACCAAGATGCCATACAAAAACTGAAAATAGGAAAATCGAATCTACTGATAAACAAATCAGTACAACTAATAGCCTATGAGGACGATTTTAATATCTTATTCCGAAAAAATAGGGATGCAGAATAAGTTACAGGTAAATGAGGGATGTGGTGAACCTGGTGGAGCTGAAAACAAATAAAGAGGTCACACAGAGTCTTGGATGGTGGTATGGAGGAAAACATAGAAGTGATCTCGTAATTCGTATATCTTGGACTCTTACACGAATTAGAATACTGCTAGCTGCTGGCCAACAAGGCTAATTATACAATAGCCCATATAACTAAATGTAAGTATATACATTTTTTGATATATTTATTTATGTATTACTTATTTTTGACATTTTGGTACACAAAATTACACAAAAGGATGTTTTGCAGTTTTTCCCAGTGCTCCAGACTGCTATATAGATAAATATTGTTATATTTTTAGATACGCGGAACACACATTTTGATTACTACTGCTTTTTGTTATAATTTCGCACTACTGTTCGCGTTTAAATCGACTAGGTCACTAGGTCACTAAATCGAACGGCTTCATCCTCTGAAAGCGACGCAGGACATCCTCGTTGTCGAAAAGTTGGATGACCTCGATGTTGCGATGATCTCATGTTTAGACTCGAATGATGCAATTTCTAATGACACCGGTGCTTAGTACTTTGTTGTGGAAATTTTGAATCAGACTTGAATGTGTCCTCCAGGTACAACCCCACAGTTGAATTCTGTATGTCCATGTTGGTTTTAATACTTGCTTGTATATTAGCAACTTGTTTCTTAATCATAATGTAGATTTTCTGCCAATGTTGTTGCCTAAATTTGATATCAAGTTCTTTACGTTATTTGGTGCAACTACATCATTTTCTCTAACAGCCAAGAGCGAATGTCTTAAAGTTTCTGGTATCCGAGTAAACACAGTGTTGGGCCAAGCACATTTCCTTGAGCAACGTTGGCTTGTATTTCATGTAGTAATGAATGAGCATTTTCGCATTTTATTCTAAAAAATCGATAAAGTATAATAACCATACTGACAAATGACAATAATGACGTCTTCGAGACTAAGATTCGGAGATTGCAATCAGCAGGAGACGTGGTCAGGATGATGGTGGGAGGGATATCGAAGCAACTTTTTGGCAGAAAAATGTAAGAAGAGAGACGTATTAGAAGGCCGAGAGCAAGATGAATGAACAAGCATATGCTTGGGTCCAGAAACTGGAGGAAGACATGGACAGAAAGGCTTGGACGCAAAAAATGAGGCAGTCCAGACTCATAACGCTCCGTGATTATTTCTATTATTTATCAAAGTGTTTGGAACTGAAATTGTAGTGTACAAGAATCAAGTGGAGTGGGGCTCATCAAACGCAATCAAAATAGCACCAGATGTTGTAAAGAATGTCTTCATACACAGCTCAACGACTTTCAAAATCTTTCTTACTTAATTGTCGGGTAACTATCGATATGTATAGGTGTATCTAAAGTAAATACTAGAATCTAAATTCAACATATTTTTGATATCTACAAAATGATATGGTAACCTCGATGTTTATTTTAATACTTGCTTGTATATTAGCAACTTGTTTCTTAATGATAATGTAGATTTTCTGCCAATAAGCCAATATAGTTGTCTAAATTTGATATCAAGTTCTTTACGTTATTTGCAGCAACTTTATCATTTTCTGCAACAGCCAAGATCGCTGTGTCAGCTGCGAATATAGAGAATGCACAAGCACACTTCCTTGAGGAACGTCGGCTTGTATTGCATGTAGTGATGAAGTGTTTTCGCATTTTACTCTAAAATATCGATAAGAAAGATACTATTTGAATAGTTGACTAGGATATGTATAGAAACACAAAGAATAATAATCATAATGATGTATGGCAGTAATGACGTCTTCGAGAGGAAGATTCAGAGATTGCAATCGGCAGGAGACGTGGTCAGGATAAAGGAGGTAAGGATATCGAAGCAACTTTTTGGCAGGAAAATGTAAGGAGATGGAATTTAGAGGAGGGCTGGGGGCAGGTTGGTTGACCAGGCTTTGGTTTGGTTCCGGTACTTGGAGAGGGCCTTGGCCGGGGGGGTTTGGGGGCAAAAAATGAGGCAGTCTAGAGTGATAACGCTCCCTGATTATTTTTATTATTTATCAAAGTGTTTGAAACTGAAGTTGTAGTGTACAAGAATCAAGCGAAGTGGGGCTCATCAAACGAAATCAAAATAGCACCAGATGTTGTAAAGAATGTCTTCATACATAGCTCAGCGACTTTCAAAATCTTTCTTACTTAATTCTCGTTTAACTATCAATATGTATGGGTGTATCTAAAGTAAATACTAGAATCTAAATTCAACATATTTTTGATATCTACAAAATGATATGGTAACCTCGATATTGATTTTAATACTTGCTTGTGTATTAGCAACTTGTTTCTTAATGATAATGTAGATTTTCTGCCAATAAGCCGATATAGTTGTCTAAATTTGATATCAAGTTGTTTACGTTATTTGCTGCAACTTCTTCATGCTCTGCAACAACCAAGATCTTTGTGTCACCTGCGAATGTAGCGAATGTCTTAAAGTTTCTGGTATCCGAGTAAATACAGTGTTGGGACAAGCACACTTCCTTGAGGAACATTGGCTTGTATTTCATGTAGTGATGAATGAGCGTTTTTACATTTTATTCTAAAAAATCGATAAAGTATAATAACCATACTGACGTATGTCAATAATGACGTCTTCGAAAGGAAGGAATTGCAATCTGCAGGAGACGTGGTCAGGATGAAGGAGGGGAGGATATCGAAGCAACTTTTTGACAGGAAAATGTAAGGAGAAAGACATAGGAGAAGGCCGAGAGCAAGATGAGTGAACAAGCACATGCTTGGGTCCAGAAACTGGAGAAGGACATGGACAGAGAGGCTTGGAGACAAAAAATGAGGCAATATAGTTGTCCAAATTTGATATCAAGTTCTTTACGTTATTTGCTGCAATTTCTTTATTTTCTGCAACGGCCAAGATTGCTGTGTCAGCTACGAATATAGAGAATGCACAAGCACACTTCCTTGAGGAACGTCGGCTTGTATTTCATGTAGTAATGAAGTGTTTTCGCATTTTACTCTAAAATATCGATAAAAATGATACGATTTGAATAGTTGAGTATGATATACACAGAAACATAAGGTATGGCAGTAATGATGTCGTCTAGAGGAAGATTGCAATCTGCAGGACACGTGGTCAGGATGGAGGAGGGACGGATATCGAAGCTACTTTTTGACAGGAAAATGTAAGGAGAGAGACGTAGGAGAAGGCCAAAAGGAAGATGAGCGAACAAGCATATACTTGGGTCCAGAAACTGGAGGAAGACATGGACAAACAAGCTTGGAGGTCAATAATGAGAGAACCCAGGGACCGATAACACTTCTTGGTGGAGCCATTGACAAAGAAGAAATGTGGTTAGTCCGGATTGTTGTTATTTTTAATCAAAGTGTTTGAAACTGAACTTGTAGTGTGCAAGAATCAAGTGTAGTGGGCCTCATCAAACAAAAATTGCACCAGATGTTGTAAAAAACGGGTAAGTATCAATATGCATGGGTGTATCTAAAGCAAATCAACATATTTTTGATATCTAGAAAGATCAAATGTATCGATTTCATTACACTTGAAATAATGAATCCCTTTTAATTAGATGAATTAGCTAAAAACTGAAAGTACATCGTTCCGAGTAAAAACACATCTGTAACTAAACGTTATTTGTAATTAGCTGTAATCCAATTATCTTTTCGTCCAAAAACAAGCCTGATGTATTGATAGCTGCAGCGGCTTTTGCCGTTTCTCGCTTCCCGTTTCGTTCGTCGTGTACACTCCACATTTTCCTCTCTCGTCCACCTCTGTTCCTGATGATGTCCATTGGTCGATGTAACAAGGCATGCGCACCGTTTTTGGCTCGTGTTCCGACGAAGTTAGTGTGGCGTTCGTCGTTCGGAGAATCGCGACGGTCCGAATCCGCAGCATCATCATCGTCGTGATCAGTAGCACACGATCTCTCATCGTGGTGTTTTCCTTCTTCTTGTTGTCAACGAGATGCCAACGGCTGCGTTCGACTACGCACAATAAAAAATAAATAAAACGAGACACACCTGATTAAACGTTATCTACAGTGTAAGTATTTATGAATAAGCGCTAAAAAATAACATAGAAATAGAACGGGGTTGTTTGAAATTAATATCGATTACTGACGACCTTATAAGGATTAGTTAAAAAAGGAATTCTTTTTTTAGATTCTAGATGTAAATTAATTATTTTTTGTTTAATCCTGATTTACGCAGTTTCTTAATTTTGTTAGGGATTATTAAATTAAAGGGGTTTCTATAAATAGAAGCGAAATGTAAATTTATGGTTGTGTTGAATTAGAACGAAGAAATTGGGGGTTTATTTTCGGTGGACATAAAAGTGTTGATTTGGATGGAGAGTTATTTTTTTGCTCCATAGATTTAAACTTTAATCAAGCCCCAAACAAACTCTATAAACAAACACAATTGATAATGAATTCTTGTTAATCGAACAATGATTAAACTACCAATGGGAATGTTTTGCTCTTCGTTAATAATTCTGTTTCAATTTTCATTCGGAATTTATAAATTTAAACTACCTTAATTAGTTATTAATTAAAAAAAATTGTTTTTAAAAATCCTACTAGTTCTAAAACAACTTTACAAAATCGCGCTGAAATACGGTTTCAAAAAAAAACCCTCAATTTCCCGAGTTACCTTTACACATAGCGTTGTGTATACAAAAATTGGTATTTCATAGCTGTTTAAAACATCAATTTCCGCGTGCAAATTTTTTTTTTGGTTCACCACATCCCAAGTTCTCCGCGTAAAAGCTCCGTTATTTCGATAGGATCGATTAAGCTTCGGCAGACTTTGCCTCAACGTACTGGTGATGGATGACCATTGAGAAATGAATAAATAATGAGATTTCTTGGGCATCGAATCCCGCGGAGACGAAGCTTTTCGCGGCGAGCCGTTTCCTTTGTCGTTTTCTTTAAGAGAATTCAACGTTCTCTCGTTCGGTTCTTGGTTCCGTGTGGTTTTTGTAAAAAAAGATGTAAAGAGAATTCAGTTTCTGTGGTTGCTTCTCGGTAAGCGAGGGCAAAAAGCTCTCTACTTTTATCTAGGTACGTGGAGGGTTTCGGGTCCGTTTAATGTGGTTCGAGCTTAATAAATCGTGTGTATCAAAGCTAAGGAAGAACTCGGTTGCGGCACGAGCTTTTAGGTGAGTTTTGCGAGGAGCGCTAAATGAGCAGATTCAATTTAGATAAAAGATAACTTTTGCGAAAGCGCCCGAACTACCGCAAAGCTTGTGGTAAATTATGAAATAGAGGGAAAGTTTTTTTTTAGAATGATTTAAATTTCTTGAAAATTAAAGCTGAAAGCTCCGTTTTAAACTTTCCAATAGACTTAGTGGTGTTCGTTTGCGCGTTAGTTTTGCAAATTGAGTAAAGTTCAGCGAGCGAACAGGGAATAATACGGGAAATGGTAATTGACTTAAGTCGGGAAGAATATTTTCCCATTTCACGGGTCTTGGACTGTTAAGAAATCTAGTCAAACTTCTGCGACCAAGCAAAATGAATATTTACAAGCTGAACTAACCGAAGAACTTTTAATTTATAAGCAAAATTAACCCAAGTCTGCGTCAACGCAGTCTTGGGTGCCCGGTTTACGTCTTTTCTCGCAAAGTTTCTTGTAGCACAAAGAAAAGAAATCACAAAACTTCGGCAACTTTGTTTGACCGAAAACCATGCATATGTTATACATACTTTAAGTTTTTAATAAATCAAATTGAGAATTTTTAATAAATAAGTTTAAAGTTTTAGATTTTTGATTTTGAAGTTGTTGCAGTTTACTTTTTTTGTTATAAACTACATTAATTTTAATAAATAAAACATTTTAGACAAAAAGCATTCCAAATTAAGCAATAAGTTTTAATCTATAAATAAATTTATAGCATCGACGATGATTCTCAACTTATAAGACTCAAAATACAAAAATATCCAAATTTAATGTTTTTTTATAACAAATTAGGTTTGAAATCATAAAGTAATAATTATGGAAATGATGTTTATGATAAAAAATATTCTACATTAATCGAAAAGGTATGATTCAGAATCAATTTTAACACATTGTTGATGATTGCCTACTTATTGGAGTCAAAATGGGTCGATTTTCAATTTTAATAATTTTGATGCCAAAATAGGTGATAAATCAAAAGCTGAACAAGATGGAGACGAATATTTCGGACAAAAAACATTCCAAATTAACAGAGAAACCTTAATCCATAAACTAATTTATGATATCGTTGTTGATTTTCCACTTATAAGTCTTAAACTACAAAAATATCCAAATTTAATGGTTTTTTATAACAAATTAGGTTAGAAATCATAAAGTAATGATTATGGAAATGATGTTTATGATAAAAAACATTCTACATTAATCGAAAAGGTATAATTCAGAATCAATTTTACCACATTGTTGATCATTGCCAACTTATTGGAGTCAAAATGGGTCGATTTTTAATTTTAATAATTTTGATACTAAAATAGCTTCTAAATCAAAAGCTAAACAAAATGGAAATGAATATTTCAGACAAAAAACCTTCAAAATAAACTGCAAAGTCTTAATCTATAAACAAATTCATGATATCGTTATTGATTCTCAACTTATAAGTCTCAAAATACAAAAATATCCAAAGTTAATATTTTTTTTATAACAAAATAGGTTGAAATGAAATACTAATCATTATAGATATGATGTTTTTGATAAAAATTCATTCTAAATCATCCTAAAAAACATGATTTCTAATCAGTTATACTACATTGTTAATAATTACCAACTTATTAGAGTCAAAATGGGTCTATTTTCAATTTTAATAATTTTGATGCCAAAATAGGTGATAAATCAAAAGCTGAGCAAGATGGAGACGAATATTTCGGACAAAAAACATTCCAAATTAACTGAGAAACCTTAATCCATAAACCAATTTATGATATCGATGTTGATTCTCCACTTATAAGTTTTAAACTACGAAAATATCCAAATTTAATGGTTTTTTTTATAACAAAATAAGTTTTAAATCCAATACTAATCATTATAGAAATAATGTTTTTGATAAAAACCATTCTAAATTATCCCAAATGACATGATTCATAATCAATTTTATCAAATTGTTGATGATTGCCAACTTATTGGAGTCAAAATGGGTCGATTTTTAATTTTAATAATTTTGATACTAAAATATCTTCTAAATCAAAATCTAAACAAGATGGAAATGAATATTTGAGACAAAAAACCTTCAAAATAAACTGAAAAGTCTTAATCTATAAACAAATTTATGATATCGTTATTGATTCTCAACTTATAAGTCTCAAAATACAAGTTAATAGTTTTTTTATAACAAAATAGGTTGAAATGAGATACTAATCATTATAGATATGATGTTTTTGATAAAAATACATTCTAAATCATCCTAAAAAACATGATTCCTAATCAATTATACCACATTGTTAATAATTACCAACTTATTAGAGTCAAAATGGGTCGATTTTTAATTTTAATAATTTTGATACTAAAATAGGAGATAAATCAAAAACGAATCAAGGTGGAGGCAAATATTTCGAACAAAAAACATTCCAAATTAACAGAGAAACCTTAATCTATAAACCAATTTATGATATCGTTGTTGATTCTCAACTTATAAGTCTCAAATAGTAAGTCTCAAAATATCCAAATTTAATGATTTTTGCAACAAAATAAGTTTTAAATCATAAAGTAATAATTATGAAAATGTTGTTTTAGATAAAAAACATTCAAAATTAATAATCATTAATCAATTTTACCACATTGTTGATAATTACCAACTTATTAAAGTCGAAATGCGAATATTTTCAATTTTAGCAATTTTATTATTAAAATAAGCCATAAATATAGTAGTGGTTTAAACTAAACAATACTGAAAGAAATATTTCGGATAAAAAACATTCCAAATTACCCAAAAAGTCTTAATCCATAATCGAATTTACGATATCGTTGATGATTCTTGACTTATAAGACTCAAAATACCCAGATTTAATGTTTTAGATAAAAACATTAATAATAAACCTAAAAGATATAGATAAAAATTATAGTTAAATTAAAAAAATATCTTTCGTCAGTTGATACACATCTATTATTCTCACATTTCCAATTTATGCCGTTATTTAATATTGCAAGAACTCCTTTCAGATCAAATTTAATTCTTTGAAAACGTAAACTGATCCTTTCCACGTCGAATATAAACCTTTCTACGAATTTTATTTTAAAAGGTGTTTGTTACAATATGTCTCGAGTATTCATTTTATCTTTTAAATTTTCACATTTTTATCTCATCGCCTTATCCGATGCGTTCACGCGTTAGAAATACGAGAATTCCAACCCTTAAAAGGTCGTCGAGCTCTTTACATATTACGATAAAGCTCTCGATGGCCAATGCTTTTAACAGCCCTCGGTCTTTTCAAAACTCGGCGTGAAGTGGCACCAACCCCATTTTATATAGTTTAGCTAGGAAACTAGTTTTGCCCCCTTTTGTTCTGCGATTCTATTATTATTCGTTGATAATTACATTTTGGATTTGTATTAAATTAAATGTTGGGATTCAAATCATAGTTTGAACTTCGTTGTAATTGAATTCAAGTTGTATCATTTATATTTTAAAGTTTTTAAATTATAATCTCGTTAAGTTAGGCAGGTTTTGGTTGAACCTTTTATCGAACAAGGGATAGTTTAATTATACGATAGAGAGGGTTATCCCTTGGTGGGATCTCTAATGGGAGACCGTTGTTGGGCGTTTGCAAACAACACTTGCCGGCCATTACCTCGTTACGACCATAATAACCTAATAACCGCTTGATTTATGATTCGTTAGAACTCATTTTATTCAGTTTCTTGCAGATATCATCATGAAGATACGTTTCTTCCTTACTCTACTTGTTGTTTTCTTCGATAAAACCGTCTTGGGATCGTTTAATATTACAGAGAATGAAGTAGATTCGTATGGTAGTAATAAATATACACCGAAATTACCAGCTTCACATATAAAAGGTAAGAAATTATTATTTATTTTTAAAACGTATAAAAATCTCGAATTAAAACAACTCGTTGGTACCGCAACAGGGAGGGAGAGGCTTATTTGGAGGCTTTATCGAGGGTGAGCTTTCGCCTCCCAATTCGATAAGTGCCCGAGGCCTTCGAAAGCGCTTTATTGAAAGCCCGAAGCTTGGGATTAATGAAAATTTATTACTCAACGCCGAGGAGAGTTGCGACTCAAATCGATGCCTTTCGAGTGCTCGATTATTTGAACTTTGTCCTAAAAGCATCAAAATTTAAATATAAAGAACTTTTACTAAAATTAGAATTAAAAGGAGTAAATTTGAGTTTGAAAAATAGTTAAAAAAGAATAAAAGAAATTTTTTAAGCAAGTTGTAAATGCGGTGGAAAGTTTTTTTCTTTGCCTGAAAATATAAGACGTCCAACGTCGGAATAGACTGTAAACGTTCTTGAATAATAAACGAGTGAACGGGAGTTGACTTTGATCCTTTTGGATTAAAGCTGTACCAGCAACGAAGCGACTTAATATTGCAAAAGGATATCTGTTAAAACCTCCCCTTTGAAGAAGAAATACTCCCCTTTGCTAGTTTTCTAAGACATTAACTGGGTAAAATTTGCATATTATTTAAAGGACCGTTTTGTATTCATGTCACAGAATGAGGGAATTCTGATGAAACGAACTTCATCTTCAAATGAGAACTCTAAAACTCTTGTTTTATTAAGTTTAGCGAAAACGACTGGAAAGAGAATTTGAATTGATTTAAACTTCTTTAATATTTAATTATATTAATGTAATTTTTCAGTAATTTGAGTAATCTTATACAGTGAATTTCACTTAAAATGTAATATACAAAAATATATTTTCGTAGAAACCAGAGCGTACTTACTTTGTCCCATATAAAATGCAACATGTCTGAATGTTTCTGGTTGTAGACCTTGTAGGTCCATTAGTTCTAGTTACAGTAGTAGATAGCGCTAGTTAACATCAGATATCATTAAGTTCCATATTTTTATTGAACTAAAACTAGAACTAACACTAGACCGAGAACTAGAAACATTCGGGTTTAGCCACACGTCTCTAAAGACGGCTAAACCCGAATGATTCTAGTTCTAGGTCTTGTGTTAGTTCTAGTTTTACACTAGCAATATCACTAGAACTAACACTAGACCGAGAACTAGAAACATTCGGGTTTAGCCGCACGTCTCTCAAGACGGCTAAACCCGAATGATTCTAGTTGTAGGTCTTGTGTTAGTTCTAGTGATACTGTAAAACTAGAACTAACACTAGACTTAGAACTAGAAACATTCGGATTTAGCCCTACGTCTCTCAAGACGGCTAAACCCGAATGATTCTAGTTCTAGGTCTTGTGTTAGTTTTAGTGATAGTGTAAAACTAGAACTAACACTAAACCTAGAATTCGAAACATTCGGATTTAGCCGCACGTCTCTCAAGACGGCTAAACCCGAATGATTCTACTTCTAGGTCTTGTGTTAGTTCTAGTGATAGTGCAATATTACAACTAACACTAGACCAAGAACTAGAAACATTCGGATTTAGCCACACGTCTCTCAAGATGGCTAAACCCGAATGTTTCTAGTTCTAGGTCTAGTGGTAATTCTAGTGATAGCGCTAATGTAAAACTAGAACTAACACAAGACCTAGAACTAGAATCATTCGGGTTTAGCCGTCTTGAGAAACGTGCGGCTAAACCCGAATGATTCTAGTTCTCGGTCTAGTGTTAGTTCTAGTATTGCACTATCACTAGAACTAACACAAAACCTAGAACTAGAATCATTCAGGTTTAGCCTCCTTGAGAGACGTGCTGCTAAACCCGAATTATTCTAGTTCTAGGTCTTGTGTTACTTCTAGTGATAGTGCTAGTGTAAAACTAGAACTAACACTAGACCTAGTTAGTAGAACTAACACTAGACCTTTTTCCAAGCAAAACTTTTCATTTAGAAAACTACCCAATGCCTGTACTAATGTTACATTTTATGTGGGAGAGTGCAAATGTATAATAGTTTCGTTACTGCATTGATATATTGCGAGTTATATGAAATTCCCGGTATTTTAAAATTCATATCATAATAATGAAGTAGATAAATAATAATAATGATAAAATGTTCTTGTGAGATAGTTTTTGCTTTAGTAAAGTTTCTTTAGTAATATTACGATGGGAGAACTCGAGGGGCAGTTCTAGAAAGGGCGTTTTGAATTTATGTCCTGCCACAACTTTGTGGCTTCGAGGTCGCAATTGTACAAATTCTGTTACAACTTGTTACCTGAGTGGCGCAAACTACCTCGAAATCATGTTTTGCAGACGGAACTCGAGAGAAATTTTGACTGTACGCCAACTCTACAGGAATTCAGTATTATCATAAAAAAAATAAAAAACAAATTTATCGTAATAAATTTTAATTTCTGTTTTGTTTTAGATGAAGTCGATATATTAAAATTAATAAATGTAACATCGAAAGATCAAGGAGTTTCTTTAGTTGAAGGACCAATAAAAAATTTTAACGCGTACAAATTTCGACTTCCTTACGGAAATGTACCATTAGCTAATTCATCTAACGTTACGAAAGCTTTATCAAGTTCAACAGGATTTACAGTAATTTTCCTTTATCGCCAGCAAAAGAATAATTTGGGCACTTTAATATCGGTTAATTCCCCCGGGAGAATTATCCCTTGGTTCCAATTGTCTTCCAATATGAAAACGGGAACCCTCAGTCTTAAATACAAAGTAAATTTGGGAGATAAATTACGTCAAATCGATTGGATATTGCCCGTTCATCACAGGAAAGCTCCAATGGCAGGTGAGATATTAACTATTTTATGCTCGTATGTGTCCATATGTTGGGAGAAATCCTTACAAGTTACATAAGGGGACTAATTAAGTATTAACGAACAGGGAATTAAGGTAAGCACACCCAAGTTAATGTCAGCGGCGAGATGGCACTTCGTTGACGATATGCATTTGTATATTAAGTTATGGAGTCGCTTCCTTTGAAATTCTATTATAGAACTTAATTACCATCGTCTATGTACGCGAGCAGTTTCGCTGCGGGTTCAATTAATGTTATTCAGGTCAGCTTTATACTTTAGAGCTAATTTGCTATACTACCTTTTGAAGGTAACTTTATCATCAATTCAAATCCAATTTTTATTATTAGTTGCTTTAGATGTTAATGGTAATTAAAAGAAATTTATTTAAAAATCAGATATGATACTACAATTTGAGCTTATTATACTCCAAATACAAGAAGTGTTTAGCCACTAAATACACCATTAAACGAGAAAAACCTTCAAATCATCAACGAATAATACCCTTTTATAGTTTATGATGTCGTTAATGAAGATTATGAAAATTGTCCGAGATTGGACTTATGGAGAATATCTAAGATCTGATTAAATGATATCTACTTGGCTTCTTTAATCGATGACATCGTCAACAAAGTGTTGATGGGAGCCCAGACATGTCTAAACAAAGCGTATTCAAAAATCTTCTTTATATTTGATTCGCTTACAAAAAAAAGTTTGAGTAGATAAGACCAAGTTAAAAAATTGTAGATATACCTACTGTTGGCTAAAATTTTATCTTTAACAAAAAGTTTGAAATTCCGAAGCTCAGAAAGCTGTCTTGGAACAAAGAGGCTGACTTGATAGAAAGTTGACAGAAACTAAATATATTTGAAAGAAGAAAATTGGGACTGGGCAGAGAGTTTGAAAGTTGTAAATACACTTTTAAACGTAAGAAAATGGCTCGAAGATAAAATAGTAATACTGGAATACTAGCCTGACAAGAAGAAGACTTGATAGAGATTAGTAACAGAAAAAAGAGATTAAGCAAAGGCCTGAGATTTCAGGTTGACCTGAAAAGTACTGGAACTAGAAAAAAGATCTTGAACAGAGACTTAAAAGATAAGCAGGAGGCTTTCTTGTTATGAAGCATGATAAAGGGAGACTAGTAGCAGAGGACAGAAATTAAACAGTTTTGAGGGAAGATAAATGGGACTGAGCAGAAAGGAGAAACAGTTGAAATGGACTATAAAAGCAAGAAAATTCCTAGGAAGATAAATAATTGACTGGTAATATAAGAAAGAGACTGATCAGAGGCTGGAAAAAGTTACGGCATGAAAAAAGGTAACTTAAAGTATACTAGTAATAGAAGACAGAAATTAAACAATTTTGAAAGAAGAAAAATCGAACTGGGCAGAGAATGTTGGTTTGGAAATAGAGTATAAAGCACTTTCTTAGCTTTATACTGTATTTTCTTACAAGAAAATTCTTATAGGACTGAACAGAGTCTGGAAAGTGAAGAAAATGTTTGGGCAGAATGGAAATAGACGACAAAGAGACTGGTAATAAAAGAAACAGACTGAATAGAGTCTGGGAAGATAAAAAAGAAACTCGGTAGATTACTTGGCCGCTGGTAATAGAAGGAAACAATTAGACAGAGACTGGATAGAGAGAAAGAATACTGGAAAGAGTAAAGAAAAGAAGTTTAGACAAAGAAAAAGACTACTGGACAGAGAAATTATCTTCACTGTTAGGAATAACCCGAAACTTCTAAGAAAGCTGTACCGAAAAACTAGAAATGTCTAAATCCATTGCACTGACCCAACAGTCCAAACATTATTAGTCCTGATTCAAATAACTCTGAGCACCACTGTCAGATGTTCAACTCGCAACCTCATACAACGGATTAGACTTTACAAACAGTGTTGTTCAATTTGCTTCATGCCAAACCAAATATTCAACTTTTGATAGAGAACTATTAGCGATCTACTCTGCTATCAAATTTTTCAAACATTCCTTACAAGGAAATCAATTTACGGTATATAGAGATCACAAACCCATTGTTACATCAATTTTTTCGTCCACAGACAAAACTCCTCGTCAAACCCGATATCTAAGTTATATTTCACAATTTACTTTAGATATCAAATACATCAGAGGAAATTCACATGTTGTTGCAGATACTCTATCCAGAACAAACATCGAATCTCTAAATTCATCTTATCCAGATTTTCTAACCCTTAGCAACGCTCAACTTGCTGATACAGAATTGTTAAACTTACTGAATAAGAAATTTTCCAACAATCCTTCAAAATCTTATCGTTTGGCACATCAAACAACATCACAATCTGATATCAAACTGTGGTGTGAAACCTCTTCATAAAAATTCATGCAATCAAAGCAAGATTCTTTTGGCCACACATGCCAAAGCAAATTCATGTTTGGACCAAAACCTACGTAAAATGTCAACAAGCAAAAATTCAAAAACATACAAAATCGCCAATCATCAACATCATAATTCCTTAAATTAGATTTGATCATATACATATCGACTTGATTGGAGCACTCACTCCGTCCCTGGGTTGTCCTTATGTATTTACAGTTATTGAACACTTCACTCGATGGCCAGAAGCTTTTCCGCTGAAAGATATCACATCTTCTACTATAACGGCACACTCTTCTGGTATTATTTTAGTCGATTTGGTGTACCTACCACAAAAACATATGATCAGGGACGGCAATTCCAATCAAACTTTTTTTCAAAATGTAACACATTGTGTAATGTCACATCATCTTTATATCCTCAAACAAATAGAATATTAGAACGATTTCATCGATTATTGAAGACAGCTATCATCGCTAAAGGAGACACTACTAGATGGAACAACAATTTATCCCTCATCCTACTAGGATTAAGAACATCACTTAATGAAGATCTAGGTTGCTCCTCAGCAGAACTACTTTACGGGCAACCACTAAGACTTCCTGGAGAGTTCTTCATACCTACTAATACATCTATTGAATATGAGCCTTTCCTCTCCTGTTTAAGAGACACTTTTTCCAAATTAAAGCCTGTGAATACGTCTTTTCACTCTATTCAAAAACCTTTTATTCAAAAAGACTTGCACAAATCAAATTTCGTTTTCATTAGAATTGAAGGTTTGAAACCATCAAGTTCTGACAAAAGCAACCAAATATTTCGTTATTCAGAAAGGCAATGATAAAATTCCTCGAATAGGAAAGTACATTTTAACATATAATCGTTATTTTTTTATCACTACAACATATTACTTTCTTAAGTTGTACCATTGTTTTACCTTCTTCTTCTTATTACTTTCTTTTTCACGGAAGATTGTAGTGTTAACCTATTTGCCGATCAATTTGAGGCTATGTACTGTCCTGCATCAATTCAACGTACTAGTAATGATCACGCTGTTTATGATACTAATTCTGTCACCTTTGGTATCTCCGAAGTCAGTTGCGACGAAATCTATCAAAAAAATCAAGGCAAAGGCTACAACGGGCCCAGATGGGATTTCTGCATTTTTAGTCAAAGACTGCGCTCTTACATATTTTCAACCTAATAATCAACAGCTCTGAATTTCCAAAGATATAGCCATCATCAATAACTTTGAAAAGCTATTTGAACAAACTGTAGCATCCAAAATTGAATTCTACACTAAGACGCAAGTATGCAACCAATATCACAGTATTGGCATTGCAATACGCGATTTGCGTATTCAGATATATTCAGTGTGATATTGGTTGCATGCTTGCAATGATGACGTTGGGTACGATAATTAATTAATACACTGTATATTGAACTTTATAACAAGTTATTATTCGAGGTTTATAAGATTTTATAATTTTTTTTTAATTTTAAACTATATTTATTCTCTGTTAAATACCAAAATGTTTTATAGCACCGCACGAAGATAAAATTTAACTGCAACGATAAAAATTGGCTCTCCCTTCGTTTTGATTTATTACCAAGGGAATAATTAGCTGTGGCTCGGCGACGTGTCGTAAATTCCAAACCGAAAAAAACCATTTATTTTAACGATTTTCTAAGTATTTATTATTTTTTAATCTTAAACAAATTTATTATTCGCGTTGACAATTTCATTGAGATATTTAAAGCGGGTTAAATTTGGTGGAGTCGCCGGTAAATGTAGCGGAAATAACGTCGGAAACGTCTCGACGTCCTCCCCATTTGTATCTTGAAGATACCGACACGTGCTGCGACACACGTTTCTTTAACAAAACCTCGACTATTACAGCTTGGATTTGGTTGTCAGTGAGCGTCGATTTTTCAACCGGAACTATCCGTCTTGATTTGGATTGTCAACCGAGTCGTTTCGAATCGCTTACAAGAGCTGATGGTGCTAAAATTACACTTCCCGATGACGCTATCGTTTATTTTCGACAAGAACCAGGAAGGAAAAAGAAGTTTTTGGTACTTTTTTTTATTGAAAAGTTTCTTTACTTTATTTATTTCTTTTTTTTTTGTAGGGGTCGATGCAGGTAGCCAAAATTCTTCCTTATGTAAGCAAAGAAAGGATGTGGTCTTGTATGAGGATAACTGAATCGGCTTCCAGACAACACAGGAAACCACTTTTGTTGTGAATCTTGGAAACATACGAATATTAAGAGTGATATTTAACGATTTAATAACCCTAGAACGAAAGAGTTATTTTCAGTGATATTATTGACCTTGTAAGAGCGATTTTACTTAATTAAATTGTGTTAGAAATCATAAAAAAATAATAAATACATCTACAAAATTTAAAAAGTATTTTCTAAAATCCTAATAGATTTATTTCATCTTCATTTAGTATATAAGTGTATTTACATAAATATTTTAAGTCTAGGTAACAGATATAAAGGTACGCGTAAAATGAAATATACAAAAGATTTAAAACAAAAATCCCAGACGCTTTGGTTACAGGAATATCCTGGAGCTCATCTTATATACATTTTTTTCTTATTTCAAACCCATAAATTAATAAATAAACTTCCCCCGTGTTAAATCACTCCAAATGGCATCGTTAATTCCAAAATCTCCTCAGATTTCATTAAGTTTTTGAAGTATTTGTCGTCGCCTCTTGATAATTATCACTTTTTAAAACGCTAATTGGAGTCACAATCGTAATTACCTAAGAAAAAAGAAACAATAAAACCACTTTAGATAATTTCAAAGTTATAATCGAAGTGAAAACGCAAATTAATGTAGAGCAGGTTAATATAGATCCTCATTCGATAATAACGACCTTAAAATGTCATATTTAATAGAAGAAAGTATCTAATTGAATCGATATGTTAATTTTAAGAAAGCACATTAATTTAATGAGTTTTTACATTTTCATTTCATTCTAAAATTATATAATTTAATTAAAACGAAAGTATAAAGTTTAATCAATAATGTAATAAAATCCTCGTTTAACAAAATAAAATGTGTGCAACGGAGACGCATGAAATAACGTGAGAAGTCAATAACGCGTGACAAAGTCGTATAAATCAAACTTTTTCCAAATAGGTCAGCATGGAATTTTAAAACCCGGTCGTAAAGTATCGCAGAAGAGCCCTTCTTGATCTTCAAAATGTCGTAAATCACCCAACTAATGGATCGTGAAAAAGATTTATAATACACGTGCCAAAACAATGTATCAATAAAAGAAATTAAAAAGAAAAAAGTTAAACGTCAACTTGAATAGAAACCGGCTAAATTCGATTACAAATCCCGTTCAGTCTCAATGACCAATAAAGAAGTTGAAAATGTATTGGGGGAAATGGAAAATCTGGAGAGAGTTTGAATTGCGAAGGAGAAGTCTTGATCGATTTTACGATTGCAAACGACCGAAAGCACTAACCTAAGTGGTCGTATCAATATCTCTAGATAAGTATCTTTAGACATTTCTAACTTGTAGATCTAAATCCTAAATACTTGTTTTTACGAATGATAAGACATGTTGTAAATTAAGTAGCTTAGTACAAACTAGATATAAGAAAATATACTAAATTTCTTAGATGTAACTTAAAATAACCTAAAAATAGTTGACTACATTAATGTGATTCAAAAACTGTATTATAATAGGACAGCAAGAAAACCAATTTGAAAGTAGAAGAAAGAGATTAAAAAGAAAAAACAAGGACTGGGAAAAGACTAAAGCAAGAAAGAGGAGAGACTGAGAAAAGGAAGAATGGAATGAGAGGTATACATGGAGGGGAATAGTAAACAAAGGTTGGGAAAAGAGAGAACTGGAACTAGGAACTAAGACTGCAAAGAGACTATAAACGCAAGACAGAGAAGACGAAAGCAAGAAAAATAGTAATAAAAAAAAGAAAAGAAAGGGATTGGACTGAAAAGAGGGAGGCTAGAAACAGAATGACCAGAAGCTGGAATGAAAGAATAGGATTTAATAGAAATTCAATAGATTGAATAGAAAAAAGGGACTGGGCAGAAAGGTGAGAGATTGGAAAAAAACTATGAAGCATGAAACGGACTTTTCTGAGAAGACGAAAACTGTAAAGAGAGTTATAATAGAAGAGAGATAGTAAACGAAGATTGAGAAATGAAACTGAGAACTTGGCAGGAAAGTTAGAGACTGAAATGAGAACGGCAATAGAAAAAAGACACTGAACACAGATTGGAAAACTAGCCGGGATGGAGGGAGTCTGGAACGAGGCTGTATATACAAGGAGGGCACCAGGCAGAGAAGAGGAAAGCAAAAAAAAAAAGGATATGTAATAAAAATGAAAGTGGACACAGACAGCAAAGAGAAGAACGGGACTGGGCAGAAAAGAGGGAGGCGGGAAAGAGACTGAACAGCAGCTGGAATGAAAGAATAGGGATTAAACAGAAATGTGGAAATCTGAATAGAAACTCAGAATAGAAAAAAAGGTACTGGGCATCAAGGAGGGAGATTGAGAAGAGACTATGTAGCTTGAAACTGACTTCTCTGAGAAGACGAGAACTGTAAAGAGAGTGATAATAGTGGAGAAAGAAATGGAACTGAGACCTAGGCAGGCAAGAGAGAGATTGAAATGAGAAATTTAATAGAAGAAAGAGACTAAACAGTGATTGGAAAAAGAAAGAGGATACTAGCCGAGCTGGAGGAAGCCAGACAGAAAGATAAAGATAAAAACGAGATTAATAATAAAAGAAATAAAGTGAGTGAACAGCGACTAAAAGAGAATGAAGAGATCTTACAGAAAAGACGGACACTGGAGAGTGACTGAACAGAAAATGGAAGGAGAAGAAAGGAACTGACAGAAAAGACGGAAATTCGAATGAAATGAATAATAGAAGAAAGAGACTTAACGAGGTTGGAGAGAAAAAAGAATACTAGCCAGGATGGAGGAAGACTGAAAAGGCTGTAAACGCAATGAACGGACCAGACAGAGATTATGAAAGCATAAAAGTGATTAGTAACAAAAGAAAGAAAGTGAACAAACATTAAAAAGGGAAGAAAGGAACCGGACAAAAGACAGGGAAGCTGTAGCCAGATAGAGCAGAAGCTAGAATGACAAAAAAGCCGTAGCGTAGGAATGAGAAAAGACTGAATAGAAATTCAAACTGGAAGAAAAAACTGGGCTGAAAGGAGTGAGAATGGGAAGAAACTATAAAATCAAGAAAGCCGCTAGACAAAGAAAAGAAACACTGGAAAGAGAGTTTTAATTGAAGAAAGAGACTGAACCTTAGATTGGAAAGAGAAAGAGGATACTAGCCAGGCTGGAGGAAGACTGATACAAAACTGTAAATTTAAGGAGAGAATCAGAGAAGAGAAAGGTAAAAACGAGATTATTAATAAAAGAAATAAAGTGATTGAACAGAGAGTAAAAAGACAATGAAGAGATTGGACAAAAAAGACGGACACTGGAAAGAGACTGAATAGAAAATGGAAGGTGAAGAAAGGAACTGGCAGAAATGTGGGAAATTGGAATGAGATGGTTAATAGAAGAAAGAAACTTAACAGAGGTTGGAAAGAAAAGAGGATACTCCCAGGACGGAGAAAGACTGAAAAGAGGCTGTAAACGCAAGAAGGGAACCAGGCAGAGATAGAACAGAACCTAAAATAACATAAAAGCCGTAGCGTAGAAATAAGAAAAGACTAAATATATATTCAAAATGGAAGAAAAATACTGGGCTGAAAGGAATTAGAATGGGAAGAAACCATAAAATCGAGAAAGCCGCTAGACAGAGAAAAGACAGACTGGAAGAGACTTTTAATTGAAGAAAGAGATTGCACAGATAATGGAAAGAGAAGGAAAAATTGAAGCAGAACAAAGATTATTAATAATTTAAGGAATAAGCTATGACAGAATCTATGGAAGGGAATCTACTTTGAAATGCCTCCTCTGAGAAAACTTTTTTTGCACTAATTTTCAACATCTGCAATCTAGACATCTGTTGAAGACATTCAACACCTAATCAAATTAGACATTACATGATGTTCCTAGACTCCGAAATCTTGAAAGAGAGCAAAATTTTTTCTCCCGAAGAAAATTATTTTGCGGTAGAGGAGTGCTTTATAAATGACTACGGGTGTATTTCTCTCCAAATCATTGAAGAGCAGTTGTGGTCAATTACAGAAAATATTATTCCAACAAAATTTCTCTTTGTGTGATACTAAAACTGTTATAAATGTATGCAATTATTTAGTCACCTCTATTTCTAAATTTGTATAAAAACCAGCCACCAAAACACAAATTAAAAAAAAAACAAGTATAACAACAAAAAAGTGCAATTGATCTACTTACTATTCTAACCAAATATGTTTTAAAAATTTTCCCAACAACAAAAACTACTTAAATTACATGAATTTTATACCTGTTTCTTTTCGTTAGAAAGTAATACCTTAGAATGACCAGAATAAGTTTCTATCGTTGCATTCTTTGGGTTAACATAAGAAGAAATTCCCATTAAACCAAATAATGGATGGGAACTGGTTGATTTATTCGTAGTGGTCTCCAAATTATTAACTAAAAAAAAATAAATAATAACATGAAAATAAATTATTTTTTAAACTTACTTCGGTGTGGCCATTCGCTTAAAATCAACCTTAAATTACTATTGTATTCATCCTTTATTTGTTTAGCACTTTTACCACCGATTTTCGGCGGATGACTAAATGCTATTGTTGACTTTGGCGTTGTAACTCTCACCAAAGATTCCGGTGTAACAACGTAAACTTTTTCTTTTTGTGGGGCAACTTCGTTGATATTAGATTCTTCCGTAATAACATCTGTACTTTCAATTGGTAATTCTGTGGTAGTCGTAATTTCTTCGGTTGTACTGATTGATATAGTCGTATCGTCGATAAGATTAGTTTCGAAATTTTCAAAAGAACTCGTCACTTTATTTTCATTTTGATGAGATCCGGCGGGTTCGTGATCGAAAATTTTCGGCGTTGTGATTTTTTCGTAAGATTTCGTGATGAAAAAGTTTTTAGGAATTTCTTTTGAAGTCGATTGATTTTGTGGCGGTGACATTAATTTTTTGAATTCATAGAAATTGTTTCGCGAATATTCCAATGCCGTCCAATCATCAATATTTTTTTGGAAATTTAAAACATCGTATGGTAAAATGTTTTGTTGTTGCTCTTCCTTTTCTTTATTCCTTATGAAGTCTTTTATGTTAATCACTTCTGGTTGGGTGGTGGGGGCTTCGCTATATTTTAACCATTCAGATTCCGTTGTTGGGGGTAAAGTGTACAAGGATAATTTATTTTCGAATTCTTTAACGGGCGATTTTTTTCCTTTCAAAGATAATTTTGTGTAAGGGATTATAATTTGGATTTGATTCGGTTTTGACGTTGTAGTTATTTCTTCCCCAAATCCTAAATTTGTTAACCAAGTTGATGGACCTGGTGTAGGTGGGACCATTGATGAGGAAAGGTACGTTTTTGACACTGCCCAATTCGAATAATCAACGGAAGGGGGTTTTGTGTTTATCTCGATTTCTTTTGGGGGGAGTAATTGGTTTATTTGACTTGGGTGCGCCATAAATTCAGTTACTTTATTGCTAAAAGATGATTCGACATCTTTTTCATGATCCTGCTTAAAGTTTGTGTAAGAAACGTTGTGATTCGAACTTGATGGGTAATTGTCGTAATTATCAACAACGATAGGGTTTTGGCTTAGTTTTAAAGGTGGGCCATATTGATTTGTATTTTCTTTTTGTGTATTTTCTATTGTTGTTTTGACTTCTTCAATTGGGTTAACAGCTACATCAACGATTGGTGATTGCACTAAATTTATTGGATACTCAACCGAAGAAATATAATTTGCAAGTGGAATACTTGGAATAATTTGAACTTCGTTTTGGTCTATTACGTTTTGTTGAGGAATTCGTTGAGTATTCAAAATTTGATTATTTTCAATAATCTCTTTATTATTAACAACTTCGTTTTGTCTGCTTTCTTGTCCATCAACATGGAAATCAACCAAAAAATTTTGTGGGGCTCTTAAAGGCGCCATGGGGTACTGATTTAAATTTGGCAAAGGTAAAGGTAATCTTGGTGCATCAGGTGCATCAAGAATCTCATCGAATTCTTCAAGTTTAAGCAATGGTGTTACCCCAACATCACTTATAGCTGGTGGTGGTGGAAGATACCCCTTCCCATTTTGCACCCCTAAAGCAAATTGGGCGTTTGATCCCGAAATGGGGCTTCCATAACTATCTGAAGGTCCCGGTTTTGGAGGCTCGATAGGAGGAGCTCCATAATTTTGGGGTGGTGGACCATAAACTCCAAATGGAATCTGACTAGTTGGTGGGACCCCATAATTTGTTACAAAACTACTCGGATGAGGCGGTTTCATCCCAATCGGGAAATTATTTCTTGGTTTTTGAACAAAACGAGGAACAAAATGATTTTGGAAAATTGGTGGGCGATTAATGAAATTATTTTGGAGAGGGGGTAAATAGTTTTTATTTGGATGTGGTTTTGGAGGGCCATAAATAGGTGGACCTAATTGAGGTGGAGGACCAAGTTGAGGTGGACCTAATTGAGGAGGAGGACCAAGTTGAGGTGGACCTAATTGAGGAGGTGGACCTAATTGAGGAGGAGGACCAAGTTGTGGTGGAGGATTATTTTGTGGTGGAGGTCCAAGTTGAAGAGATGATCCTAATTGAGGTGATGGTCCAAGTTGAACTGGTGGTCCATATTGGGTTGATGGTGATATTTGTGGGGGTCCATATTGAAGTGGAGGTCCATATTGAGGAGGAGGTACTAATTGCGAAGAATCTAATTGAATCGGTGGTCCATAATTTTTATTGGGTTGAGCGAAATTTTGTGCTGGTGGAATGAGAACTAAATTTTGTGAAATTGGGTTGGGTGGAATTAAATTTCCACCAAAATTATTAGAAGGTGGCCCATATTGTTGATGTGGCCCACCGTTACCATTATTAAATGTTGATTGTGGGACGAATCCGATTAAAGTGTTTTGGCCGTAATTTGTTGCAATAGGTATCCATGGTTCCTTATTGCATGGATCGCAATCTGGTCTGTTTGGATGAATGGGTCTTGGAGGGGCTACGTAAAATGGAACATGATGTCCCGCAACCGCTTTGCTATCTGGAACCGGGGTAATGTTATTTCCGGGAAAAATCCAATTCTTTAACTTTGAAAAAAATGTTTGTTCTTGACCAGATTCGGATTTTTTCAGTATCAATTTGGTCACCTCTTTGTTGTTTTGAGTTTCTTTGAGATCTGTTGATTGTCTAAGTTCGTCCTCGGCGATAACTGCGACTAAAAGCGTCAGTAATATCGAGACCTGAAATAAAATTAATTCAATTTACTTCACTATTAAATCTTATGCAAAATTAGCAAAATCATAAATAATATTGAGAGTTGAAATAAAGAAAGCGACAATTAAATATGCGCACTGTAAACGTCAGCGGAGGAGAGAAGAAAATGCTTTCGAGGAGACGTATAGGACTTCTCTTCGTGTTAACTCTAAAAGGTTTAATTGGGCAGTAAAACCTAAGAAATCAAACACCTGCCTAGAAGAAACAACTTTCAATGAGTGAAATTTTTCAAGTGCAGTTTCTCGTCTTGTACAAGAAAAATATATTGGCTCGTTGACACACATCCGTATATGGTTCTTTAAAACACAAGAAAGAAGTTCAAGGTCGATTCGCCGGAGGTAAATTTATTCAAGATTATTTTTTTATTAACACGTTATTATTTTCTTCGCGTCCGATTGATCGTTTATCCGATTGACGTGTTAACCTGAAATTTTTATTTCTATTTAGCTTTTTCAAAACTTTCTCTCTTCTAATTCCACACCGATACAAAATCAATTCCTTATATCGGGTCGGTTTCTTTTCGATCGGGTTTATTTTTATGGTTTTGAAAGTTTAACAATCGAACTTTGATGTTTAGATACTTCACGAGAAAAGTTTTGCTATCAACTAAGTTGCTTCTAGTGTTCCAAGCTTTACGATAAATACCTGGTTAAATAGCCGTAACAGGTGGCTAAGTGTGCTAATGGTTTTGTACATTTTATGCAAACATGTTACATTCTTGAAGTAAACTTGTTACTAATCTAGATTAGAATTGTTCAAAGATAAATTGTGTTGTTGAAAATAATTATTAAACATAATGATTTAATTAATTACGCGTGGATTTAAAAACCTATAAAAACAATTAGAGCATTATGAGCACCTAAAAAATTAATATACAAAATAAAATCTGATTTTCTAATCGACCTCAAAAAAACAAAACGGAATTTAGACCACAAAGATCTCTACAAACAACTTTTTCTTTAAACACATCAAAGATATATACCAATATCGCTTTTAATAACTTTCTTCTTCGATGCTTTAGTTACATCGATCAGAGCCTCATCTTACAATGTACCACATGGCATATGACCTACTCATAAGTAGCACCAACTCGTTGGATTATCGTCTTCGTTTTCCTAATACCCAAAAGAAAGTGGCCACGATGATATCGAACCGCCTCAGGCCTATATTTGCGCAAAACGATGTTCACGTTTTCACGGGTCGTTAAGATTCCCAATGTACAGGTACGAATCCGGGACACAAGAAGAACCGAATAAATACCCAAGAGAAAATGAAAGAAAGACAATGAAAAAGGCTTTCTCTTCGGAATCTTTTGTAATGGAAAACAAATATAATGAATCAAAAATGATAGGAGTATTTTTTATATGATGTTTTATACGAGTTTGTGCGAACTAGTTTTTGCGATTATTTACAGAGGACGCTTTCCCGGAAATTTAACATTAGCATAGCCTAAATGTCTTTTGATTTCTCTTCTTCACCTTCGCAAGAATTTTAAAAGATCGCACGTTTGAGTCGCTTAATATTCAGGAAACGCATTGAATTGGACAAGTTGTACTACTACCATTCGGTTTTATCGTCTGCATACAAAGTTTTTTTTAACTTAAACTTTCTATTACTGTTCCTTTTCTTCCGGGATTCAACTTTAATCGATCACATCAACTTTAATAAATGAAATCATTACGATTTTAACTTTTTTTCTCGTTTTAAATAATCGGAATATCGCATAAAATGTAAGAACCCACTAATCCCATAAAATAAATTATTTGAAAGTCTCTTTGTGAAGCTTTCACGAGATGTACATTTCCCATACTGTACAAAAGAGGATTGTTCTTTGCGTTCCACTCCCGGCAACAACCTCCTAAACTGATTGAAAAAATTATGCGGAAGAGAATAATAAGAAAATGAACGGAAAAAAAGGGGAGATGAAGAAAGGTGAAAATAAAGAAAAGAAATTTCACTTTATGTTCGTTTTATCATTATTTAGGTGATAATAAAGTTAGTGAAAAGATCCGATTTCCGATATTTTAACATTATAATTAAATTAGTTACACTATATGTTGACCCTGATGTTGGCTTAGTTGCCGAAACCGGTTGGATTGCTTCTACTAAACCCTACTCTCTGTTATTAAGTAGTTGAAATTCTTGTTATATTCTCGATTACCAAGAAGTCATCTTTGCTAACGAATTTCATTTATACATTGAAAGTTATGTAAATATCTGGCCATTTTTTACTAATAATCATTGGTGGCCATTATTGTTGACACGTAACCAACGTTATATAAATGTTTAACACTTTTTAAAACTGACATGGTGATGTTTGGCCATCTAGGAGCTTCAATTTAACTCCTATGGATTATTATTTTCAGAGAACCGTCAAAGATAGATGTTATCTAGATATATTGAGGTTAATGCCATGCTATCAAAACCATGACAAAATTGCAAATGGGGACCAAACCAACCACTCAGAAAGGAAGAAATTATAAATAAGTATATAATAAGGAAGATAGGGAAGAAGCGAAATAGAAGTAACAAAAATATCAGACATCAGAAGCAAGGAGAAAGCCAGAAATTGCCAAAAGGAATGTAAGTATCTATAGAACGTAAAGAAGAAGCATGTGGAAAAGTTTCATAACTGGAAATTTTTGTGTGTAAGACAAAGCTACCGAAAAAATTTGAATTGTGACTCGACAAGCTGTTCTCAGTTCGAAAACTGAGTTTTTCCATCAAATGGGCAAGATCTTGAAAGATGGAAAATGGAATCCATATCAACTGTTGGAAAGACACGTAGAAAAGCAAAAAATAACATGCAAAATTTTGATGGAAAAGCAGAAAAGACAAGGCTTTTTGCATCGTAGGTCCGACCATTCCATAAAGATTTTGTTGTTTTATCTGTAGAGTTTAAAACTTTTTTGAGTTGACACTATGAAAGGTTTTATTGTCCTTAAAAAGATTTTTTTATGGTTAATGTGTTTAGATTGTGTTATAGGACACAGAATGCCTAATTTTACCTAATCATACAACTGAATAGTATTTGACATCTGAAACAATTAATTTTTAATATCATGGAATTTGCTTTGGCCATTACCAACCTCAGCTTAATCAAAATTGTTCGCTTGGTTAAGAAATGGCTTGCGGCCGAGAAATTACAACCTCAATTCAAGACCAATAAATAAATTTTTGAAAAATCACTTAAACCCTCAGGCTAGATCTACTGAATATGATAGAAGATATGATAGCCATGAATGAGAACTTTATAGATGCCACAGAGACCGAATATGAACACAACAACCATGAACCCAACCCATCCAACCCACAGATTCAGGTTTACTCAGGAACTCATAAAAAAAGGTAAGATAAGCTCGAACTTTCTCAAAAATCCTTGCGATACTCAGACATTTTGTGGAAATCCCCTATAAAGAATAATAAATCCGCAGATATCTCTTAAACAGTCTGAAGATTTTTATGAATTTTTAGACATCTTTGGAAATTCTTGGATATTCTAGATATTTCGTAATATCCCGAAAAAATATTCTCAAAATCATGGAAACTCTTCTACAAATCATTAAAATCTCTGGAAATGCCTAAAACTGCCTACCAACTCTTACACGTCGTTAAATAACATTAATAAATAAATTAGTTGGAAATTTAGCATCTAGAAATACCTGGATATTCGTTGATATTCCTAAATTTGATCCCAGAAAGTTCTAACAAATATACAAATATCAGACATCAGAAGCAAGGAGAAACCCAGATATTACCAGAAAGGAAGGTAACGAAGATATCTGAAAGAATGTCTCATGAATGATTTCAAAGATTCAAAACTGGAGATTTTTGTGTGGAAGACAAAGAACAAACACTACCGAAAAAATTTGAAGACGAAGAATTGCAAGCATTAGATGACACCCAGACGAACAAGAACAGGTAACCAACAAGCTGGTGTAATTCGACAAGGTGTTTGACTTCGTTTACATCAAATGGGCAAGATTTTGAAAGATGGAATAAGAGACCCGTATCAACTGTTGGAATGATACGTGGAGAAACAAAAAACAACATGAGAAATTTTGTTGGAAAAGCAGAAAAACAAGGTTTTTTGCATCGCAAGCTCGAACATGCCATAAAGGTTTTGTTGTTTTGTCTATAGAGTTTAAAACTTTTTGAGTTTAAACTATGAAAGGTTTTATCGTCTTTAAAAAGATTTTTTTATGGTTAATGTGTTATACGACACAGCATGCCTAATTTTGCCTAATCATACAACTGAATGGTGTTTGATATCTCAAAACAATTAATTAATCATGGAATGTGTGTTGGCTATTAGCCAACCTCAGCTTAATCAAAAATGCTCACTTGGTTAAGAAATCGCTTGCGGCCGAGAAATTTCAACCTTAATTCCAGACCGATAAATAATAATTTTGTAGAAATCCCCTATAAAGAACAATAAATCCGCAGATATCTCTAAAACAGTCTGAAGATTTTTATGAACTTTTAGACGTCTTTGGAAATTCTTGGATATTCTAGACATTTCATAAAATCCTAAAGAAATCGTTAAAATCTCTGGATATGCCTAAGAATCCTTAAAACTTGGTGAGAATTCCTAGGTACCTTTAGACATAACTAGAAATCCTGTAGAAATCCCTTAAAATACCTAAGTCTTTAGATAACCATAACTTTTTTCGTAGTTTACAGTTTTCAAAATTAATTCCAAACATTGTCATGCAATTTAGAGTTTGCTCTAATAATCGATACTAGATTCAACAATACATATTGCAGCGTCGCAGCCGCAAGCAATCTCGTGTAAACTCAGAACGGAGAGTATGAAATTTTGATTTTGTCGTGGTTGCTTGTGGTCGAAGCGCTGCAATTTCCGTTGTTGTCGATATAATAATTATTAAATAGTCCAAAAGTAACAGTGATTCCGTAATCAGTAATTGAAATACAATGTTTGAAAAAATCATCATTTACTACTAAGAGTAATGAATAATGAAGCAGCCAGAAAGCTAACACTATATTTCCAGAAAGATGGTAATCATTGATTTTGAACTAAAAAAATGTTTATATAAGTGATGTAGGATCAATAACCACTTTTATGCCAATATGCAAACTTTGAAGCTTTCAGATATGAAAGACTCGTAAAGACTTAAAGCAAAATCAAAAATGTTTTCAGAAAAATAATACCTTAGCAGAATTATCTAATGGGTCCAAGTAGATTTGGGTAAGTTAAAAACAGAATACTGAATTTTGATTTAAGTGTTAAATAATAATTAACATAAAGATTAGTTAATTTGCAAATACATAAAAACAGAAAACGAACCCACATAATTTCAAAATTTTCCACAACAAAACTAATCGCATTCAAAAATTTCTCAATACAATAAGGGTTATGCGAAATCAAAAGTTTAAAACGTACCTTCAACACTTTCATAATTACGATAACCCGATGAAAACTTATCCGTTTCTGCAAAGTGACATCTCCAAAAGAAAAAAACCAACTGAATCTTCAGAACCTCCAACAAAAATCAACACGAATTATAGTCCGTAAAGTTTATTTTTAAAAAAAGAAAAAATCACAATAAAACCGTACACAAAAATATTTATTAAAATTGATTTTAATTAGTTTCGGTTTAATTCGATTTCAAACGTATTCCTCCACTTCTTGCGTATATACACGTGACACTGAATTCTCTACGCGATCCGAAGAAGTGAAATTGCCGGCACGGATGAGGTAAAAAAACAGCGGCGATTCTTGGTGCTCTCTCCTTCCAATTGTGACCGTGTTATACCGGACAACTCACGCAGTTAAGTACCTAAGAGGATGGTCGTGATGGTGGTTTTATACTTTTGACCCATAAACACCACCTCTTCTTTTTTCTTGTACCTGTAACACCACCATCATCGGTATCATCCAAATTTGTCCCCCTCAAACAGGTATAAAATATTCTTATAATGATTTGTTAGAGAATTTTAAAAATATATTTTTTCTTAAACTATACACCACGACAAGAATATCTTAACTTCGTGACTGTTGCAAATCGATTCGTAAAGCTTTAGAGAATTCATTAAACGAAAGCCCATATACCCAAGTTCTTTATTTTCCAGTTTGTAATAAGAGGCGTGATTTGATTAGCTTCTCGTAGCCAATTTCTGTTTAATTCCATCCATAACGTCATGTCTTAACGATCGATAAAATTTAAACTCCCCAGACAACAACAATACACCTAAGAAAAATAAAGAATACAATAAATTGGAAATAAAAAAGCAAAAACGTGCTTCGTTTCTAGTTTTAGTTACCTGAATTCTTTCGACCGGTTTTCAATAACGGTCATTTGTGGGGGAGGGTTTTCCGTTTAGATAAAAAAAATTCTTTGTTGATGATTAACCTGGGGGTTTTAAAAGGTTTAAATTCGTTTGTGTCTATCTATTGTAAGAAACGGAAGCGGAGATTAGAATGCATAAGTAGTTTTGGGTGATTAAATTCTTTTTATTTTTGAGTAAAATTAAAATGTTATTGAACAAAACTAATAGCTTCTTAAATACATTAAATCGAAATTCTTTGAATCTTGTTATTTTAAATCTATCGACTCTAAAATAAAAAAGTTCGTGATTACATGAGTTTGATATAAAAAGCTCAAAAATAAGCCATGTGGGAAATGGAGTCAAATCGGAAAAGGACTGGACGTCGCGCCTTTATTCCTGTATGTAGTTAAAATAAAGGCGCGACGTCCAGTATGGAACACACTCCAACCGGATTAGACGAAACCCCAGCGAAATCTCCAGGAAAGGTAAAAATAGCACTATTTATTGCTGATTTTGACATCGAGAAGTCCTTAGCAATCAGTACTGTAGGTGTCAAATCCAAAAGAGACTTCCCAAGCACTTCAAATAACGATGGAGAGCTGGGTGTTGTATATGCCATCGTGGATTGGTTACTACATTTAAGTTTTCTGACTCGAGTTGTCAGAGGGTTTAAGGGTTATTATTATTACTACTTTTTACTCAACTGCGAAGATAAGAAAACGACCACCTTGATAATTCATTACTACGAAACGGAAAAAAACGATTTGGAGTATCTTGTCTTTACCCCTAACCTCAATGCAGATAATGCCTTTGTCTGCAATCCAAAGATAGACTCTGTAAAAGGTATTTGGAAAAATAGGAAGGAAATATTTGGCTATAAATGAATTAGATATGCTTCACGTCGTTTGGGTTGGGTGCAAATTGAGTGCGAATGAGTTGGGTTTGTCTTAAGTATGTACTATGAGTTAGATTTGGATTAAGTGTGAATAAACAAGATTTTACTTATATGATTTGTTGATTTGATTTGGTTTGGAAGTGAGACCGATTTGGAATTTGAGTTGAGACTGATTTTGGAGAACGCATTCGATACGGCTTTATTGTGGATGAAATGGGTTCTGGTATCTGGTTTGAGTGTGGATAAGCGGAGTTTAACTTAGCTTTCGCTTAAACTTATAACACTTGCCCTTGCACTCCAAAGCACAGGTACCCCAATATCCGTATGGATCATTGCAAATGAAAATTCCTTCCATAGCGGAAAATACCAGATTTGTCCAGATTTTTCACTGATATAATCTCAAAACTTCTTCTGCATTCATTGATCTAACGACTGCCTACAACTGTATGGAGAGAAGGCATGATCTGTAAGTTTCTCCGTGTTATCCGACGAGTTAGGTTTAGTTTTATTGAGTTCTGTTTGGTATCCGAAATCTTTTTTCTCTTTATGCCAATGATCTTAAAAATGTAGCAAGATATCGAGGAAACAAAGGAAACGCATATTTACATAATGTATGATAGTGTACACAACCTCAAGAGCCTAGAAAACCTTACAATGATGTGCAGTTCCAGGGTAGAGGCAATTTTATAACCCATTAAAGAACAGCAAGACTTGGTCAAGATTTTATTTTTGAAGATCAGTAACAACTGGATCCATCGCAAAAACTGTAATAATTTGCTAAAGATGCAAACCAAGAACAAATTTTAGATCGCAATTGCTAGAATATGGAATCAATCAAGCAATTTTCTATGGGATTCCATAATCCCATTGAAAATTGTACTATGAGAAGATGAAGGACAAGAGTTACAAAGCTATTTTGAGGAAATTCCCCTTACTGGATTTGCCGGTCAATATATTCAAGAAAAAAGTAAAAAACACATGATGGATGAGCTGAATTTAGCTAGTTTGATATGGTTTAGATGAAGGTGTTGAGTATTGGTATCGATATTTTTGTATATTTTTGAGTAAAATTAGAATGTTATTGAACAAAACTAATAGTTTCTTAAATGCAATTAAATCGAAATTCTTTTAATCTTCTTATTTTAAATCTATCGACCCTACATTAAAAAAGTTCGTGATAAATCATGTGGGAAAACGAGGTTCCGTTTAATCGGAAAAGATGGTGCTGGTGTGTGTACCAGACTGGACGTCGCGCCTTTATTCCTGTATGTAGGTAAAACAAAGGCGTGACGTCCAGTATGGAACACACTCCAACCGGATTGGATGAAACTCCAGGGTAAACCCCAGAGGAACCTGAATTTGGCTTATGTAGTTAGAGATAAATTTGTACCGATTTGGAAGTTGTGTTGAGACTGATTTGAGAGAACGCATTCGATAAGGCTTGGTTGTGCATGAAATGGGTTCAGTTTAGTCTACGTGATTTGGATTGGGTTGTATTTAGGCTATATCTGGTTTGAGTGTGGATAGGTGGAGTTTAACGTGGCTTTCGCTTAGGCTTAGGACGAGTTAGGTTTAGTTTTGTTGAGTTCTGTTTGGTACACTGAGAAAAATGGATTGTACTATGCACTAAAAATATACCATAAGGTAATATAATATTTAATACGTATGTTACAGCGAGACGAGATTGTATTGAAGCATATAAATATAATACGATTCGTACAATCTATTTCTCTCAGTGTATGAGTAATCTTTTTTTTCTTACCTCTAACTAGATGTGGTACGCCAATGATTTCAAAAATGTCGCAAGATATCGTGGAAACAAAGGAAATGCTTATTTGCTAAATGTATACTACTGTATAGAACCTCAAGACTCTAGAAATCCTTACAATGATGTGCAGTTCCAGAGTAGACACAATTTTATAGCTCATTAGTGACCATTGAATCTCTAGGTTTAAATTTTAAACGAATCGACACCACATTTGTAATATTATCTAACGCAGAAAGCTTGATCAAGATTTTATTGTTGAAGCCCAGTTAGAACTAGATCCATCACAAGAAGTGTGATAGTTGCTGAAGATGCAAACCAAGAACAAATCTTATTGTTTGGTCGCAATTGCAAGAATAGATAATCCCATTGAGAATTGTACTATGAGGAGATGAAGGGCAAGAGTTACACAGCTGTTTTGAGAAAACACATCACGTATGGTTTATAAATCATATATGTTGGGTCTGCGTTTTTGGACTTGGATGATTTGGGTTGGATATGGTGTAAGTGTAGAAGAGTAGTAGTTAGATTAGTTATGAATTAGATAAATTCTGAACTACATGCTTTAAGCTGGCACTGGTATAGGTGTGAATTAGCTAGATTTGGCCTAGCTGATTTGGGTATGGGTCTGGGGGTTTCGGTATGAATGTGTTAGTTTGGCTCGAGTATGGATGGGGCTTGGTTAAATTGTGGGTCAGGTAGGCTTGTTTTGGGTATGAATGAATTTAGTTAGGGTTTTTTGGTTTGGATTGGATGGTTCAGATTTGATTAAGAATGGATTGGATTTGGTTTAGTTATGAGTTAGATAGGTTCGGTTGAGATTGCGTGGTCTTATCTGCGTGGTTAGGATTGCTATATTTGTGAATGAACTCAGTAAGGTTCACGTGATTTGGCTTCAATGGTTTGGGTTGGGTTTAGTTTTTGTGTGGTTGGGTTCGGTTTGATTTCCGTGTTTCTGGACGTGGATGAGCTGAATTTAGCTAGAGTTTGGATAAAGATACGATGTGGTATTTGGATATGGATATGTATAATATGGATTCAGCGAAGATCTAATGAGCCCAGTTTGCCTTGAATAGTTTTGGTATAAATTGGGTTGGTGGAATGTTTATTTTAAAATAAACTTTCTTCATTATATAACATAGTAAAGCAGAATGTGACATTTCTACTTTTGCCAAGTAACTCACTACACCATCTAGCTGAACTGAGATGTAAAAATCGAAACTTTCATATCAAATGCTTTTGCTTTTGATGGTAAAAAATAAAATCAAAAATCTAGATTCAGAATTTAAGCAATTTTCAAGTTGATGTTAATTTGGCGTTTCAGAAATATTAAATTATAATTGTAACATAAAATCGACTTTGATCATCACCTAAAAAAATTTATAGCAATTTCGTCTAAAATTCATTTTGATACCTAGTATAATCCAAAAAATTTCCAATTCCAAATTGTAATAACTATAACTTTTATGGAACACACTCCAACCGGATTAGACGAAACTCCATGGTAAACCCCAGGTAAACCTCAGTTTGGCTTATTTAGTTAGAGATAAATTTGGATTAAGGGTGAATAAATAAGATTTTACTTGCAAGATTTGCTGATTTGATTCGGTTTGGAAGTCAGTTTAGTTTACGTGGTTTGGATTGGGTTGTATTTAGGCTATATCTGGTTTGAGTATGGATAGATGGAGTTCAACGTGGCTTTCGCTTAGGCTTAGGATGAGTTAGGTTTAGTTTTGTTGAGTTCTGTATGGTATGAGTAATCTTTTTTTTCTTACCTCTAACTAGATGTGGTACGCCAATGATTTAAAAAATGTGGCAAGATATCGTGGAAACAAAGGGAACGTATATTTGCTACTGTACGGAACCTCAAGACTCTAGAAATCCTTACAATGATGTGCAGTTCCAGAGTAGACACAATTTTATAGCTCATTAGTGACCATTGAATCTCTAGGTTTAAATTTTAAACGAATCGACACCACATTTGTAATATTATCTAACGCAGAAAGCTTGATCAAGATTTTATTGTTGAAGCCCAGTTAGAACTAGATCCATCACAAGAAGTGTGATAGTTGCTGAAGATGCAAACCAAGAACAAATCTTATTGTTTGGTCGCAATTGCAAGAATAGATAATCCCATTGAGAATTGTACTATGAGGAGATGAAGGGCAAGAGTTACACAGCTGTTTTGAGAAAACACATCACGTATGGTTTATAAATCATATATGTTGGGTCTGCGTTTTTGGACTTGGATGATTTGGGTTGGATATGGTGTAAGTGTAGAAGAGTAGTAGTTAGATTAGTTATGAATTAGATAAATTCTGAACTACATGCTTTAAGCTGGCACTGGTATAGGTGTGAATTAGCTAGATTTGGCCTAGCTGATTTGGGTATGGGTCTGGGGGTTTCGGTATGAATGTGTTAGTTTGGCTCGAGTATGGATGGGGTTTGGTTAAATTGTGGGTCTGGTAGGCTTGTTTTGGGTATGAATGAATTTAGTTAGGGTTTTTTGGTTTGGATTGGATGGTTTAGATTAGATCTTATTTAGGTGAGAATAGATTGGTTTTGGTTTAGTTGATAGGTTCGGTTGAGATAGCGTGGTCTCGTCTGCCTGGTTAGAATTGCTATATTTGTGAATGAACTCAGTAAGGTTCGCCTTATTTGGCGTCAATGGTTTAGGTTGGATTTAATTTTTGTGTGCTTGGGTTCAGTTTGATTTCCGTGTTTCTGGACGTGGATGAGCTGAATTTAGCTAGAGTTTGGATGAAGATACGATGGGGTAGGCAGATATGTATAGAAAAGTGAAGTGAAGAGATAGATAGATAGTGGATAGACCAGTGAAGATCTAATGGTTGGTGGAATTTTTATTTTAAAATAAACTTTCTTCTTTATACAACATAATAAAGCAGAATCTAGTTTAGTCTAATTTTACATCTAGCTGAACTGAGATGTAAAAATCGAAACTATCATATCAAATGCTTTTGCTTTTGATGGTAAAAAATAAAATCAACAATCTAGATTCAGAATTTAAGCAATTTTCAAGTTGATGTTAATTTGGCGTTTCAGAAATCTTAAATTATAATTGTAAAATAAAACCGACTTTGATCATCACCTAAAAAAATTTATGGCAATTTCGTCTAAAATTCATTTTGATATTTAGTATAATCCAAAAAATTTCCAATTTCAAATTGTAATAACTATAACTTTTATGGAACCACTCCCTTCCAGTATCGACATTGAATTTATAGGTGACTTTAAAACCGCGAGAAACTACTTCCATCAATTGCATAACCGTCTAGAGTTAAAACGTCCATAAAGTTGAAAAATCTTGCATTCCAAAGACGGATATTTACGTAACGATCGTCCGTTTTTTGCAAAACTCCCGTCGCCTCGGAACGAAGCTCGCATAAATTCCGCTTCCCAAATACTCTTATCATGTAGCAGCGAAAGTGCGTTCGCTGAATTTCAGGACATGGTGAAAGCGCCGTTGTCCGTCTCGATCCGGGACGTGCCAGAAATCTCTGATTGTCGCACACACACAAATCCCCCTTTTCGTTCCATCAACCGTTAGAAATCGAATTTTACAACCGTAGCAATTTCGAACCTCTTCTTTAATTGTTTCAACTTGAATCGTTAAGAACTCTCTTTAAGTAAATAAGCACTTTCTTACTGTTTATAAAACAATAAATGATTATAATTATTTTAAATGGAATGAATAAACTAAATCCAAAATTAATTTATTTATAATTACATAACAAAAAAACCACCATAAATTTATCTACGTTTTCTTTTTTTTCTTATCAACAAAATAACATTACTCAAGCATTTTACGGCGTTCATTAAAATGCACGGTCGACGATTTTCTACAACAATCGTTTGTTATTGAGTAAGAAAAGGAATAAAAAAAACTTATGGTCTTGCTTTTGCAACGTTTTGGTTTCGAATTAGTTAAAACGCGCGTGACTCGTCGTATATTTTGCGGAATAATTCGCAGTCGTTTAGAATTCTTTAAACAAACCGCATGTCAAAAAACGTTTAAAATAAAAACAGAAAGTAAACCAAACCGCTTATCGCGTTATCTTAAAACTCGTAAACCTCAGTAACATGAAGAGTCCCTCCTTTATGAGTCGGCCTCTATAAATATTTGATTCGATAAGTCATCAACGCGAAATTATTATTGCTAGTATAACTCATTCTTTATTCAACAAGTGATCAGAAAAGGTACAAAATTTAAAATGTCTTCGTTGGTTAAAAGTATGTCTTTTAGGAAGAAACCCGGATATGAGTAAGTAAATTTAAAATAAACTTGGTTAAATTAATACAATATTTCTTTTTTTTTTTTAGCATGAACCCAAATAAAATTAATCCCAAAGATTTAGATTTACCTCATATCCAACCCGAACCAGAACGCAAAAAGAACACAAATTTTCCCGAAAACGATAACTCATCAGGAAAATACACAGTTTGTAATGTAAAATACAATACATTTGATACTAAATAAAACATTTATTTTTAATTTGTTAATATTTTCTTTATTTACTTATACGCCGAGTAATTTTGTTTTTAATTTAGAAAGTTGTTCGCGATTTTCGAAAACCAAAGCAAAGAAATTCGATCGTGTTAAATTATTCATCAGTCCGTCGTTGTCCGTTGTGGTGATATTAAACGCAGCTTTATTGCCATAGAAAACGAGTTCGCGTATTTCTCCTGTACCAAACGCGTTATGAATGCCAAATTCTGAAAAGAAATCAATTTCCCCTCGACGCCTATTAAATTCCTTTAATTCAATTTTTTTTATACGAAACGTGATGAAATCACATCGCTACAAATATGTTTCGCGTTGTTAAATATTGATGAATTCGGACAATCGTATTGAGTTTTAACGAAAGTTCCATTTCTAAATTGGCTACAAAGGAAGTAAGATTTGCATCTTGAGTCGTTCTCGTTTTTAAATCTTCCTACTTTGTTGCACGAAAACTCCCATTGTGTCATCGTCGTGGACGTTGTTGTGGTTGTTTCTAATTGATGGGAAGAACATTGGTGTTCTTTTGAACAACGTTTTAAATCTGGATCGAAAGTTGATCCGCCTTGGCAATTATACAAAGTTTTTACAAATGTCCCATTTTGTCGCTTTGAACACAAAAAATATGATGTACAAGTTTCGTCGATTAAATTTGGGAATTTTCCTGTTGATGTGCAATTAAATTCTTCGGGTTTTTTGGTTGTTGTACTTATAAGTGTTGTATCTAAAAAATGAAAGAAAAAAATTTAATTGTATCCAGGAAAAGGATAATTTGCATTCTTATGGTTAATTGTAATAATCGCACGCTGCATAATTAGTTCTTTGTCCACCAACCTATCGGATCGTTAAGGAATTTAGTAATTGAAAGTTATAAATGACTAACATACAAAGAGTAACATACAAATCTTGTGAAATAGGTCGCAAGGTCTTTTCCCATCAACCACATTACGGATTCGATTCCTATTCTGGATTTAAATTCTTTAACAAATCTGGGAGATGTAACTGAGTAATCACATAATCACTCAGTAATTACTGAACAATCTCGAGCAATTAATTAATCTAGTAGGGTCTAAAAAAGGATTATTGAAGGATCCTTCTTTGTACCAGGTAAAATTGTAACAAATACTAAATACAACCATGTGTAGATTTGCAAAAATGGTTATACAGAGCGATTTGAGAGAGTGGTTTAAATATAAATGGAGCTAAAAAAAAATAAAAAGTTATCTCATCAATAGAATCAAGGAGAAATAATTTTAAGTGGCCTTAAAACCAGTTTTTGCATTATTTTTAAAGTTGCAAAGAAATTACAAAGAAAATTTAAATCTAATTTATTAAAATTGTATAAAAAAATTAAAATTGAACCATGTAAAAACTTAGGTATTGTTTTTTAGAGGTAATAGATTCCAATAGATGGCGCTAGTAGACACAGAAAGTTAGATACGTACTTTATTAGTAGCGTACAGACATTATTACCATATCAGGTGTTACCAAGTATAAAGCCAGAAAGGTTAAATTTCGAAAAGTCCCTACCTTGGAACTTGAATAATTCTTCAAGCTCCAATAATCAATCTTCTGATAACATGGAAGGAACTGGTACAGCAAATTCAGGGATAAAATCACAGATTTCTTCTGGTTTGGGTGAAACCGTAGACGATAAGAAACGATGATTATAATAGGAAGGATTTTTCTGCATCTTAGGCACCTATATGTGAAGACTAGATGGAAGAACATAAAAAAGATTAGGAGTCCTGTGCTTAGAACAACGATGATCAATCTAAGAATTGTGTCGGCTTTGAAGTATGTGGGTTGTGGAACATGTCAAATATGCCAGGGAGAAAATAGCCGGTATTTTGGGCTGATTGGGAGTAGTTGCAGAGAAAGAATGGGACGTTGGTGTGATTAAAAAGTTGATAGTTGAACGAGCCTTATTGTAGCGTTGTTTAACCTGGAATATTGCACGGTGCAGAAATTTGAAGTACTAAGACTCTTCCTATTGTGTCCTGCTATTAGTTCATCCCAGCTTTTGCATACATACTACAGCCCAATATTACTTGGAGATAATGATTAACTTTGAGCAGAACACCAGCTAGCGTAGGAAGTATATAAGAAATGAGGTAAAATGTATCTCGTGATTAACTCCACCTTTAGACATGACTTTAGCATTAATCATTATACGCGAGCTAAGGAATAAAATTTTAAGTAAATTAGCACTAGATAAACTTTACCATCGTTTAAATTCATTCCAGGGTTCACACCGGGTCGGAAATCCTTAACCCTTTCAGGACCGAGCTGTACGTCAATGACCAGAACCAACGGCGATGCGTATTCGTGGGATTCTGGTGATCTGGTACTCATTGAATCAGCATATAGATCAATTATATTAAAACCAAAACATGTCACAGTTTAATAATATGTACAGTGATACAATAAAGTCTACATACACCCCAGAAAATGATATCTCAGCTCCTGAAATGTAATTCAATGAATTTTTTACACGAAGGATATTAGAAATCTATGTTATTTTAATACAAAGTCGAAACAGTTCGACTTGTGCTACGAAGTGATGGTGACAGCAGTAGATTTAGTCGCACGTCTCTCAAGACGGCTAAACTCGAATTATTCTAGTTTTAGGTCTTGTGTTAGTTCTAGTAATAGTGCTAGTGCAAAACTAGGTGCGCATGGGCTTGCTATAAACTAGTCCCTATTCATTTAGACAAGTTTTTAATTACTATCAACTAGTTTTCAGTCATTTTGAGCAACATTGATTGTTTAAAAACTAGTGTTAGTCATTTAGACAAGTATAAAATTGTGCTCAACCAATTTTCAATGATTTTGAATATATGAGATTGCGATGAACCTATTTCGAAACATTTTGCTACCTTATAAAGCAATTTTGGACTATATTGGTGCAGTTTTCAGTTATTCTGAGCAACCTAAACTTGCTATAAACTAGTCCTTATATATTTAGACGAGTTTTTAATGACTTTCAACTAGTTTTCAGTCATTTTGAGCAACAAGGATTGTTTAAAAACTAGTTGTTAAGGATTTAGACAAGTATAAAATTATGCTCAACCAGTTTTTAATGATTTGGAATAACATGAGATGGCTATAAAGTTATTTCCAATCATATTGAACAATTTTGCTACCTTATAAACCAATTTTAGACAATGTTGGCGCAGTTTTCAATCGTTCTGAGCAACCTAGACTTGCTATAAACTAGTCCTTATACATTTAGACAAATTTTTAATGACTATCAACTAGATTTCAGTCATTTTCAGCAACAAGGATTGTTTAAAAACTAGTTGTTAATGATTTAGACAAGTATAAAATTATGCTCAACCAATTTTCAATGATTTTGAATAACTTGAGATAGCTATGAACCTATTTCGAAACATTTTGCTACCTTATAAAGCAATTTTGGACTATATTGGTGCAGTTTTCAGTTATTCTGAGCAACCTAAACTTGCTATAAACTAGTCCTTATATATTTAGACAAGTTTTTAATGGCTATCAACTCGTTTTCAGTCATTTTGAGCAACAAGGATTGTTTAAAAACTAGTTGTTAAGGATTTAGACAAGTATAAAATTATGCTCAACCAGTTCCCATTGATTTTGAACAACATGAGATGGCTATGAACTTATTTCTAATCATTTTGAACAATTTTGCTACGTTATAAAGTAATTTTAGACAATGTTGAAGCAGTTTTTAATCATTCTGAGTAACCTAGAACTTAAATACTTTCTAGTTCTAGGTCTAGTGTTAGTTCTAGTTTTACATTTGCACTGTCACTAGAATTGACATTAGACCTCGAAACATTTGGGTTTAGGCGTACGATTGATTCTAGTTCTTGGTCTAGTGCTATATAATAATTAAAACTGGAACTAACACTAGACCAAGAACTAGAAAGTTTCTCTGAAGTCTGGAGACGCACGGCTAAACCCGAAACTTTCTAGTTATAGGTCTAGTGTTAGTTCTAGTTTTACACTAGCACTGTTGCTATATGTATAGAATTAACATTATATCTAGAACTAGAATCATTCGGGTTTAGCCGTCTTTAGAGACTTGCGGCTAAACCCAAATGATTCTAGTTCTAGGTATAGTGTTAGTTCTAGTTTTACACTAGCACTGTTACTATGTAGAGTGTATCTTCAGAGACGTGCGGCTAAACCCAAATGATTCTAGTTCTAGGTATAGTGTTAGTTCTAGTTTCACACTAGCACTGTTACTATGTAGAATTAACACTATAACTAGAACTAAAAATATTCAAGGTTAATGTTTTTGTTCTATCTTTTTTATTTTTTGTTATAAATGCATCAAGTCTATCAATATGAATGAGCCCAACATGATACGTTTAATTCCAATATTACTCGAGATATAAGCAGCTTCCGGTATTTTTATTGAGCTATAACGGACACTGATATACTTTTTTTTGAGTTAAAGATATGATTATGTTTTGTGTTCCTCTTGATTAATAATAAGTTATACAATTTTTATGTAAAGTATGGAAATAATATGGACTTCTTACATGTTTTGTTAAAAAATTTCATTGAATTACATTTTGGGAACTGATATTATCATTTTCCGGGCTGTATGTAGACTTTATTCTATCACTGTATACCTACTCATCTGGGAGCAATAATACGTTTAACTCTCAGGAAAGATTCTTGTAAAGTCAAAACACAAGGAAAACTATCAAGGACATTATAAAGCCACGAAGGTCTACAACAAGGAGATGGGCTATCATGTCTACTTTTTAACATTGCCCTGGAAAAGACACAGATGGCAGATCTTGACATCCGTCAAAATTACGAACAATGCTGTGCCACACGATGAAAATAATTGAGTTTGTGATACCAACAGCTTTAGAAACTGTGTCTTGATCTTTAAGAGTTAATTTGTTAAATTATATTTAGTTCGGCTGTATCCTGACTCCATAAAAACTACCAGATAATCTACAAAGATGAGGAGCAACACTGTTATGGCATCGCTAATACAATGTTATTGGTTGATTGTAACAGTTCACTTGACATACACTGACAATGAAATTGTTGAAGACATTAAACATTTGATGAAATATTCAATCTATATATGGATGGAGATTCCAAAATATTCAACGAATCATATGAAGACATCATAATGGGAAAATAACATGTACAAATGATGAAAAGCCGTGTTTATTTTAGCGTTATTTTATATTCTATTATGTAGGTATTTCATTACGTGTATCAATTAATACTCCTACGTATTTTCAACTACATATTGATTGACCAATCAATTTGGATTATCGAGGGTTTATTATATCACAATAGGTATTTTCAACATCAAAATTCACAAAGAGCGAATATAATTGAATGGAATACAAGAGCTTTATTTATTTTTATTTTTACCTTAACATGGACTAAAAAAAAGGAAATTTTATATGAACAAATTTATAGATATCAAAAATCATTTTCATATAGAAAATGTAAAGAGAGAGTGTTATAATAAATCTGTTTGTCATTTAAACGAGAACGAAGTGAAAACGAAACCGAACACAAAAAGTTATCGACCAAACCTACTAACAAGACTCATTTTAATTTCTTCGTTCTGTTTCGTGCGATTTTATTAATTAGGAGTTCGTGAAATTCCATTAAATAAAAATAAAAAATACGTACCTTGATTAATAACATTTTCAGTTGTAACCATTTCTTGAGTTGTAAATATCGTGCTATTCGTGTTTATATTAAAACATTGAAAAGTTTTTGAACAGGTAGATTCTTTAGGATCGAAATACGTTCCTCCAGGACATTTATAAGCCGTTTTTATAAATCCCCCACTGTGAAGTTTGCTACATAAGAAATATTGAGAACAAAACTCATCGGAAACATCGGGATATCTTCCTGTAGCTTCGCAAATAAATTCTTCCGACGATTGTGAAGTCACTTCAATTGGTGTTAAGGTTTCTTCAGTGGTTACATAAATTGTATCCGGTTTAGTTATATCAATTGCTTTTGTGGTATCTATGGGAAGATTTGTGGTTGGCTTAATATCCGAAGGAATAGATTCTGTTTCAATAGCATTAGATGTTGTTTCAAATATTTTTTCTGTTACAATTTGTGTTACAGTATTTATTGCAATATCTGTTATAATTTCTGTATTTACTTTTGTTGATGTATAATCTTCAAAAATCACTGTAGTTTCTTCCCTTTGAGTTGTTATTTCATTTATCATCGAAGATTCAGTCATAATCGTTGTTATTTCATCTTCAGGTTTTGTTTGAATTGAATCAAAAGTTGTTTCATCTTGATGAAATGTAGTAGTTGCTTCAATAATATTTGTTGTTTCATCAATTTCATTATTAGTTGGAGTATAAGCTTCAGTGGTACCAATTTCAGTTAAATCAGTTTTTGTAGTAATGGTAGTTTTAATTGATATTGTAACACTTTCTGTATTTTGAGTGACTAAATCAATTTCATCTTGATTATATGGACACTTATAATTATCTGTGCATGATTTTGATTCTGGGTTGAAATATTTAGGACATTTATGAACATTTTTGAGGTATTTTCCACCGCTGATTGGGAGGCAATAAAAATAACTAGAACAACTTTTATCTGTTTTATCGGGAAATAATCCCGTTTCGGTACAAATAAATTCGTCGATTAAAGGAATTGGAGTTGTAATCGGAATAATAATTTCTTCAGGTGCTAAAAGGTAATCTTCACATTTATACGTAGCCGAACAATGTTTTTTGGTGGGATCAAATTGGTACCCGTGAGCACAAGAATATGTAAAAGGAAGATATAATCCAAAAAACCCAAAACAATTGTAGTATCTTGTACATGTTCGATCGCTTAAATCGGGGATATAACCGGAACTAACGCAATGCGATTCTTTTCGACAAACGTAATTTTCAGAACATTCATTTAGGTTCGGATCAAAAGTATGTGGGCATTTGTATAAAGTTGGTGTTAATTTTTCCAAAGTATTTTCGCATAAATAATAAGTTTTGCAAGTTGGATCATAAACATTTTGAAATCTTCCTTGAGTACTACACGTAAATAATTCACCGGAATCAATCAACACAATAAATATCTAAAAAGTTAAGGTATTAATTACAAAAAAAATAATCTAAATTACTTACAATAACAAACAAAATTTTAGATATCATTTTATCACGTAGTAACTAAATTCAAACTGACTCAAACACATTAACGTCTTTACTGTACCTTTTTTTTTGGGTTGTTGACTTTTATATTAAATATAAATCAGTTTCGCGGTGACAATGAAGGTCGACGTCAAGAAACATCTTGATTTATCTCTGTTTATCTGGACTCTTTCTAAGTTATTTATGGTGCGTTTTTACTTCTCTTAGAATTAAACGTATAATAATTGAAAAACAATTATTAAGAATTCTAAAATTTTAAATAATATTGTTGAGAATGTAGTTTTTTAGATTTATTTTTTTAAACATTATTAATAGTAACCATATAATTTGCTTGTGTTGGACAGGAAAAAAATAACATTGGCAAATAATAACAACCAAGGCAAGCACCTCGTTATAATTCGTATTTATAAAATCATAGTCATACGAACCCAATCCAATAAAACCCAACCAAACTCAATTACTTTCAAGAACTTTGAAACTCAACGCTATACAACTCCATCCAACTCGACCCAAACCAATACAACACTACACAAACAAACCCAACCAATTCTTTTTTGTAGAGGAGATAAGGAAATCTAATTAACACTCATCAGGTCGTTTGGTGTCATGTGGCAGACTAGTATCGGATTTGTTTTCCTGTTGGAATCTCAGAACGATTAAAGTGCTACGATTGTCGAATCCTCCGATGGGTCAGTTGAAACTGAAAAGTTCCTACAACAAGTTATTACTTAGCGTTTTTTATTGTCCTTCTCTTGTTAACTACTTTGATCAATTGGAGGAAACCCTTGAGAGGCTCTTTTAATTATAACACTATTCTCCTGATGGGAGATTTCAATACTTGTCAGCTAAAAAATAACTCACGCAGTGACAAACGTCGCTTCATTGCTTCCTCATTAAATTTGTCCATCCTGCCCTCACAAACAACTGATCACTACTTACTATTACGACTCGTCCGAGGAGCCTACTTACGTATGGTCAGCTCCCTGCTCCGAAATTTTGCAATCACGATCTAATTTACTGTGCAGTGTAGATGGGACAACATATTTACTCGCAACGCATTATTTCCGTTCGTGACTTGGGTCGTATTGATAACGATTTGCTGTTGTCTGATGTGCAAAAGATCGATTGGCTCTCGCTTTATCGAATAACCGAACTTATCAATCTCTATGACAGGCATGCCCCACTCAGGAGACGCAATGCCAAAAAATTGTATTTCTACTGGAGACTATCCAATGCTAGTCCGAGGACGTTTTTATATATATTCAGTATACGGCTAACTGATTGATTGTTTCGGATTTTTTACTAACAGCTTTTGCTATCAGGAATTCCGCCGTCCTCCTTTCCTCCAGGATAGCATATTGTCCAAACGCTGCATCCAAACCAGCATCGCTCAGTTTAGTAGCTTGCAAAGCTACTATGGCCAAATCTGAAAGTACAGTCGAAGTACTAACAAGTCCTTTATGAACACATCCAACCATCCCGTGTATTCTGCCATCGTTTCTACCACTTCGCTATCATCTGCTGATTTATGTCTGTTTTAGTAACTCCGATTCTCTCAGTTCCTTATTTCTCTCGAGACTGCGACGCCCAAGAGTGTGTAATTACCCGTATGTGTTGCTTCTTTCCTTTTTGTGCGAAGGACCACCGTTTCTGAACATCTATCTGGACATCACGTTTTGGTTCTTGCTGCTTTTTAAGATATAGATTTTAAGGGCGCTCTCATTCTGAGATCTTAGCGCTCTGCGCTCCCAGTTACTTTAAGCAATCATCACTGGCGACTATTATATCACCCACATTTAAGATAATTTCAGAGAGTCTCCTTCTTTCCTCAAGAAGTGAATGCCCATGTTTTCGAGGCATTCAACAACACTTTTGATAGAGTACATGGCTCTGTCAATTATTGTTTACTTTCCGCGTAGCCCACAACTCTTCCATCGTGTGCTACAAACTACTAATCCTTATAACACACCACAACTCATTATCCTCTACTCTCCATTTGGGACAAATAGTCCTATAGAGAACTGCGAAGAATGTAAACGTAAGCAACTGTATGGATGGCAGAAGGGGTGGTATAATTGTATCTGACCAAGTTTTATAAATTTCTCGACCAACATTAATTGAGATATCTTTTATACCTTCGGAAAGGTAACAGACCTTCAGACAATCATTTAAAACCAGCAGGAAGGGGTCCGGATCCACTTCAACGCAAGCTCTAAGTAGAACTTAACTCAACCCAATAATGGAATCTAAACCAACCAACCCAACCTAACCTAACATAATTTAACCAATCCAACCTTTTGTTTGACGTCGAGGAAGAGAAGATGTGTCACACTTTAAAAAGGTGTGAAATCAAAAAGGTCCCCGAATTTCTGCACATTGAAGAAACAGTCGAAATCCCCCTTGATGTTAACCCAACCCATCTTAACCCAACTATTACGATTTTTTTCAGAATTATAATACGAATTCAAGATAATACATATAACATTTATTAGTATTTTGCTGTATGATAAGAGATTCTAACATAGAATGCTTAGGCGTTCGAAAGTGTTACATCTTCTTATTATGAGGAGTACTCGACCAAAAGCATCTGCGTCATTGCATAAAAAAACAATGCTTGATGGCCAAAGTACAGTATTAACATGTTTTAGAAATTGAGGTTGAACTCTGGAGTTTTTGGGTTACTTTACAACGAGGAGGTTGAAGGGTTCAACCCAGATACTCCATGATAGTGTTGATGAAGAGAATCAAAGCCCAACTCTACGATTAGACTATATAACCTTCAACTGCTTGCATTAATATCGTGAAGTGTATAGAACATTGAGAATCCAGCCCTAGACAGAAATAAATCTATTGAGAAATGTGATGTTTTTCTGGTTGCCATCATTCATAAAAAAAATAGACATATACGTTATAGAGACATTCTTCAAGAAAAATTATGCCAATAATTACTCCTCCACTCCATTTAATTTTATCTTAATTATTTGAAAACAAAGACGTGGTAATAAACGATACGTAAACGCGACAATGATGAAAATGAAAGATAAAAAAGTTGCAATAAAAGTTTTATTTAAACATTAAATTACATTAATCAAAAAAGTGTTTATTTTATCCAAACAATTTCTTTAATGCCATCCACATCCACGTCATAAACCCAATATTTTCAACACACATCTCTTTTTCTTCAACAAAAATGTTCCCATCATTACAGAAATGATATAAAGGTGAAATTCTGAAACCGTCCCAAACACATTGATAATAACGCTTCTTATCGGGATCGTTTCGATCTAAAAATAACGTTCCTTCAGGTTTATCCAAACATGTATTTTCTAAACATTCGTAATCAGAATCGCATTCACTTTTCCATGGGTTGAAAAACTCCATCGTTGGACAATAATATTTTTCTTCTAAATAAGATTTGCCATCAACCCGACAAATTTTAAATATTTTGCAATCTGAATAAGGCTCTGGAAATAATCCTTCTTTATAGCAATCAGAAATTGGTTGAATTAATTTTGGGGAAGGAATTGGTGCACACTTTTGATTTACTTCATCAAAAACTTCCCCGATTTCGCAAGAATAATATTTTGGGAAAACTCCCATTTCGTCCCATATACATTCATAAAATCGTCTTTTCTCTAAATCATTTGGATCCAAGTAAAATACATTTTCGAGTTGGTCGAAACAATAGTTTTCTATACATGTATAATCAAAAACGCATCCACCTTTGAATGGATCGAAAAGAGTCAATCCAGGGCAACGATAAGTTTTTAAATCAAAAGAAAATTCTGATTTGAAACAAATCTTGTACTCTAAACAATTTGTGTAATACACTGGGAAAGTGCTACCAACTACAGAACAATCTGATGTTGAAGCTACTAATGTTGTAGTTGTAATACATCTTTTATTGATTTCATCGAAAATTTCATCATCCCCACAAGAATAATACAATGGGATAACTCTTTCGCGTAAAGTTGTATTGTACCAAACGCACTGATAAAAACGCTTTTTTTCTGAATCGTTTGGATCTAGGTAGAATACATTTTTAGGTTGGAACTCACAATAATCATTTATCCATATAAAATCAGAAACGCATTGGCTCTTCCATGGATCAAAATATGTCAAAATGGCACATTTATATGTTCTTAATACTAACGACGTTTCTGATTTAAAACAAATCCGGAATTCATTGCTGCGATTTGTTGGAAGAATACCTTCTCTAGTACATGCAACATCTGCATCAACACATATTGTATCGTCATTAAAAACTTCATCATCCCCACACCAATAATACAGTTGTAATAATCCTTTTTCATCCCAAATACACGCATAATATCGTTTTTGGATTGGATCATTTGGGTCTAAATAATAAATATTTTCAGGGTTGTTATAACAATAGATTTCTAAGCATTGATGATGATGAGAACATTCGCTTTCAAATGGATCGAAGAATGTCATATTAGGACATTGATAAGTTTCTAATACTGAATTTGAGCAAATTCCGTATTGTGTACAATTCGTTACTTTCCAATATACTGGGAAAATACCATATGAGGTGCAATTCGGAGTTGAGGATGATGAAGAGATGCATGTTTTTTCTTCTTCATCAAAAAATGCATCATCCCCACACCAACGGTATGATGGCAAAACACCTTTAACAGTTCTTAAACATTCAAAATATCGCTTTTTATCAGAATCATTTGGATCTAAGTAGTAAATATCTTCAGGTTCATTTAAACAGTACTTTTCTAAGCATTTGTAATCAGTACGACATTTATTTGTCCATGGATCAAAAAATGTCGTTATGGGACAATTAAAAATTTCTAGTGCGAAGTTATCGCAAATCCCATATTTTTCACAATTTGTATTAAAAATAGGAATAATACTACCAGATACAGAGCAATTACTTATTGGAATTAAAGGTGCTGATGTGGTTGTTGCAATTTCTTCTTTATCACATTTCCCAGAATCACTTTGAAAAATTTGGCCATCAATACATTCTCCATATCTTACATTAAAATTTTCAACCCCATAACATTCGATATAAAATTTCTTATTACTTGGATAATTCGGATCTGGATATAACCCAGCAGGAACTTGAGCACAAATTGTGTCAGGACAAACAAAATCTAAAACGCATTTTTGTGCTCTTTGATCAAATAATGTAGTTGATGGACAAGAATAATTCGATGCTCCTAATTGACTGCATATTTTGTAAGATTTACAACCAGTATTTGGTATGGAAAATATTCCTTCATTGGGACATTCATTAAGATTTTTGAATAAAACCAGTAGCTAAAAAAAGTACAAAATATATTTTTTAGATTTTATTTATTTTAGATTCTTCTAATTTTGATGAAATTCATAAGTTCTTGTATTAAGGATGGAGAAAAAAGTGCAAAATATGATTTAGCACCAAGGACGCTGGTTGTCAAAAACACAATACTCTTTCTAAATATGTTCAAAATGTTAGAAGAATAATTGTTAACAGGATCTCTCTCCCTCAAAGAGCACATGGCTCGTCAAGATTTCTTGGTCAACATTCCTTAAATGTTACAAATATAGAAAATAGCCCATTATATGTGGATTGTGGGCCATCTGATGGAGTTTCTTTATAAAACAGAAGTTGACTCCTAGTAGAGCAGGAGAATATAACTTGGCCAAGACTCATTGATGCCTAGAACTCTATGTGGGATATCAAAAACAGTCTAATAGAAGAAGATTCTGTGGTTATTAGGATTTTTGAATGTCAAAACTCATTGATGATTATAATCCTGAGTTTGAAGATTAAGAAGCAAGTTTTGTTGGATCCAAGAGTACAACATTCATTGAGACAACAAGATTCAAGGTGTCAAAAAAATGGAGACATTGTGAAGTGAAAGAAACCACCAACTCTTGCCCTATCTTGGGAGTTCTTATTTGGAGTAGTGATTCTAAATCCTGCTGGCATTTATTAGACATTAAGAAAACTAGAGTACCAAGTCTCGAGAATGCAGTTCCACCAAGAAATCTTACTGAAATTAGGGAAATAAATGAGACGTATTCCAGAAAGTGTAAAATATGACAAAACAATAAGGAATCTGGTTGCTCCATCATGTGCTGATTATGAGCCACACTGAGGTTGTTGAATAGTCAACGTAGGGAGACAACTTGGTTCATTAATGCCCAGAATCCTGAATTTGAAGTTTAAGAAGCTATCAAGTTTTGTTGAATCCAAGAGTACAAAATTCGTGGGTCAAGACTTATTGGTATAGGGTGCTTGGTTCCAAGAATCTTGTTTGAAATCTTGTTAGATGAAAAGGAAACAATCACATTACTGGGAATTATGAACCACCTCCATAAAATTTCATCGAACATAGGAAAAGACAATTTGATCAACACTCATTGATGCCCAGAATCCTATAAAAACTGTCAAAATTATGGAGACAAAGAGGAGACAAGAAATCTTACTGAATACTTAGGGAAATGAATGAGTAATATTCCAGAAAGTATAAAAAATGACCCAACAACCAGGAATTTCGTTGCCTTATCATGTGTGAATTATGGCCCACACTGAGGTTGTTAAACATTCAACTGAAGAAAATAACTTACTTCCAAGAATCCTAAATTTGAAGTTGAAGAAGTTACCAAGACTTGTTGGATGTCTTTGAATCTTGGTAACTTACACAAAACACTCTACAGGGACATTATCTTATTAAGGCCCACTTTTACCACCTCCTGATAAATTTATCCGATAGATAAATCCAGTTCTTAGCCAATGAGAGCGCTTAAAACCGCCGTAACCATGGCAACTATCCTCCACTATCCGTGCAAAAAGTCAAGGCAACTCACTTTAGAGGTCGATATCTTCGCAACCGTTCGATAAAAAAAATTGCGACAAAGTTTGTTGTAATCACTGGACATTTCTACATAATATATGTCAATTTGAAAAATTTCGGATCGACGGTTTTCTTTTTATCGCGAGTTAAATGAAAGAAGTACCCGATTTTTTACGGTACCGGCAACTTTGTCAACTTTGCGATTTTTTTTCTCGAAAACTATCGTACGAAAAAATTTGAATTTTGAACAGGTGTTAGCCTGATGTGTTCTTAATAAGTGGCATATTTTATATTTTCAATATTCCATACGGTTTCGCGGAATATCGCGGTTTAGTAAGACGCCGTTATGTCGAAAACGGCTGAGTAGATTTCCTCGCGGATTTGACCAAAATATGTCAAATAATGTCGGGTGTCGGATTCCGTTATCAGTTTTTCAAAATTAGGGCTCCCTAATTTTTGAAGAGCGATTTAATGGAATTATAAATTAAAGAGAAACATAAATAAGCTATGCGGGGAGAGGAGGGTTCCGTCCAATCGGAACAGATGGTGTGTCCTAGACAGTACGTCGCGCCTTTATCTTACCTCCATAAAGAAATAAGGCGCGACGTCCTGTCTGGGACGAACCATCTGTTCCGATTGGACGGAACCCCCGTTAAATCCGCCAGGTCGCTTTCGAAATAACCGCATCCTACTAAACCGCGATTTATATGGAATATTGAAAAAATAAAATATGCCCCACATAAAGAACACATCAGTTTACCACCAGATGAAATTGGAAATTTTTTCGTCAAATAGTTTTGGAGAAAAAACAATCGCAAAGTAGACAAAGTTGCTTGCACTCTCAAAAATCGAGTACTATTTTCACTTAACTCGCGATAAAAGAAAAACCGCGGACCCGAAAGTTTCCAAATTAACATGTGATATGCAGAAATGTTCGCTAATTACAATAAACTTTACCGCAATTTTTTCCATCGAGCGGTTACGAAGATATCGATTTCTAAAGTGAGGGACTTGACTTTTTGCACGGATAGTTTCAGGAGGATGATAAAAGTGGGCCTAAAAGGAATTATTTTTACCTGGTCTAAAATCACCAAGACACTAAACTATCAATTTTAGAAAATAAATTTGATAACTTATCTTAATATCACACTCATTTCTACATAATCTAAAAAAACATACTTTAAAATAATAAAACTTACCAAAAATTTTAAGAACATCTTTTTACAAAGAACAACTTGTTTTTACTATCTTAAAACTTATGTTAAACAGGATTAGATAAGGTGTGAATAACAAAAATAGAGTGATACTTATTGTTAGTGAAGTATTTTATTCAAACGTCTAGATAAACAACGTTATTTTCCACATCAACTACAATTATTTACTTTGACATTTTTGTAATGTTTCATGAAAAACTTGATTACTACCGCAAGAAAGGTACAAAGGAATTAATTTTCCCGTTGCGTCATAAACACACTTATAATATTGAGTTTTAGTTGGGTCATTTACATCAAGACCTTTATCGTTTTCTTTTTTACACTTTGATTCCATGCATTCGTATCCAACAGCACATAATTTTTTCCATGGATCGAAATAACTTCCTATTGGACATCGATACATCTTCTTATCAAATTGTGAATCAATTTGCTTACAAACCATGTAAGTTGTACAATCGTAGTGGTATAATCCAAAAACACCTTCTTCTTCGCAATTTTCCGTTGGAATGGGGTAATTGGTAGTGGTACAACGATTTCGAAATGGTTCAAAAATTTCATTTGTGCCACATTGTAAATAAGACACAATGAAGACTGAGTTAATTTTGTGGCATCGGATGTAATAACGAGATTTAGGATAGTTAGGGTCGGGGTAATCCAAAGAATTCTTACATGTTTCAGTTTCAGGACATATAAAGTCCGCTTTGCATCTCAAAGTTCTTTGGTCGAAAATTGAATTTATCGGACAGTTATATTTCTTGCTTATCGAGTTTGTGCAAACTTCGTAAGTCTTGCAAGCGGTTAAGGCGATCGATTTTAAGCCATCTGGTGAACATTGTTCTGAATAAACATTTAGAACTAAAAATAACTAAAGTATCTTATTAATTTTTTTATTTAACAACATCTTTATCCTCACCAGAATAATCACAATTATTTTCATCGTAACTACTTGAAAATGAAACATTAAATGTTTTAGAAAATCTACGAAAATCTTATTATATAGAACAATTAAGCGAAACATTTTTAGATTAAGTTCCGCAAGTAAATACAACAGGTGAGGCACCACAATAAGTTGGGTTGGTAAAACAACATCCTTCTCTACTACTATCAATAGCATAGTAAACAAAACATTCGTTCACCCCACAAGCACCATAACTCGTGGTCCAAACACCATTTCTTAAGACGCAACTAAAATAACTTTTATTGGTAGCATCGTTTGGATCGCCATAAAGCACTTCAAAACTAGGTTGAAGGGGGCCAAATTGTTCGCAAATCTTTTCATTGCAAGTAAATGAAGAGTCACTAACGCATTGCTGTAACCTTGAATTAAAAACGCTCGTCGAAGGGCAAGTAAAATTTGTTTGATACATTGTTGTACCAACAACGGTGCAATGAATATAATTTTTGCAACCAGATCCTGCAACTGGATATCTTCCTACTGTTGAACAGGATTGAGGGGTTACCCCCAAGATAAAAAACTAAACATAAAAAAATGAGAATTATTCAATAAAAAATAAAAAAAAAACTTACAGGAGAAAATAATATCACGAGTAACATTTTAAGTAGAAATAAACTATGTTGAAATCATACTAAAATCGTTTATTTATATAAAATCTACGTCAACGCACTTTAATAATAAATATTTACTCTTTATATCACCTTATTGTTAAATGGAAATTTTATTAAATATAGATTTTTATTAAACATATTTTTATTTAACATGCACTTTTATTAAACAATACATTTTAATTCTCCTCTGAATCAGATCTTCCACCAAAATTATCATAATAATCGTAATCTTCAAAAATTCCATAAGAACAAACCACCAAATGAGATTTTCTACACCGTTGCCACTGTGCATCAAATAATTTTCCAGATGAACACGTTTTCAACTTAATTTCATAAAGCCCATTTTTCATTTTACACTCATAATATTCATCGCAAGTAAACTCAACGGGAAATCTACCGCTTTCAACGCAATAAAACGGTGAACTTTGAACATGATTTGAACAAGATAAATCGTTAGATTGAACGCAACGTTTTAAATATTTATTGTATTTGGTGTTTGACGGGCAATTATATTGAATTTGAGAGAATTGTTTGTAAAGCGATGTCCAAAAACATTTGTAATATCGCGTGCAATCTGTGGGATGAGGAAAAACGCCGGAAGTTGTGCAAATAATAGGAGGATCATTCGGGCAACGAACAGGTCTTCTGGTGCAACGTTTTGTGTCAGGATTAAATTGAGTACCGTCAGGACATCTAATAGGAATGTCAATGTATTTAATAAATGCGTTGATACATAAATGGAATAACGAGCAATCGTGTAAATCTGGAAATTTCCCGGCGGATGTACAAATAAATTTTTTTTCTGGAGGAGTAGTTGTAATTTCCGGTGTTGGAGAATTTGTTTCATTTGTAATTATTTCGTTGGAAGTGGTGGTTTCAACTATCTCAGTATTATTAATAAAGTTTATGTTTTCAGTAGTAACAATTGTGGAATGAAATGAAGTAGTTGTAAATGAATCATCAGTAACTTCCCAACTATCAGTTTCTTTGGAATCATTTGTCAAAGAATTAGCTGTAGTAACCTCACTGAAATTTATATCCTCACTTGATGTACTAACTTCCATTGATGACGTAAAATCACCAATCGTTGTTGCATGTTCCGTTGGAACAGTTTCTTCTATTATTGATGTCGTTTTTACGGGAAGATCCGTTGTAGAATCTATCGAAGGAGTGGTAAATTCGCTTGGATTTGATTCTGAAACCAACGTAGTTGAAGTGGAACTTTCTGTAAAATTAGTGTGTTCATAAGATAAAGTAGTTTCATAAATAGGTGTAGTTTCTGTTGGAAAATCAGTAACCATGGAAGAATTTGGTGGTTCAGAAGTCGAAGTAAAAATCGTTTCTTTTTCGGTAGAAATTGTAGTATCTGGAGCGTTAGTTGATTGAGCTGATAAAGTTGTGGTTTCGATTGGACTTTGAGTGTTAACACTTGGATATGAAGTTTCCCCGGAAGATGTAGTTTCGAACGGAACTTCAGTAATATCAGAAGCGGTGCTAGTTTCCACTGGGATTTCAGTAGTTCCAGTTGAATTTGGTCCTGCATTTGAGGTAGTTTCCAATGGAACTTCAGTAATATTTGCAGCGGTGCTAGTTTGAACCGGAATTTCAGTACTCTCAGATGGAGTTGTAGTTTCTATAGGATTTTGAGTGTTACCAGTTGAATCTGTTGTTTCTATCGTAGATGTAGTTTCCAAAGGAACTTCAGTAACATTTGAAGCAGTACTAGTTTCAACTGGAATTTCAGTATTACCAGTTGAATTCGGTCCTGCGTTTGAAGTAGTTTCAATTGGAACTTCAGTAATGCTAGGAGTAGTGCTAGTTTCTACTGGAATTTCAGTACTCTCAGATGTAGTTGTAGGTTCTATAGGATTTTGAGTGTTACCAGTTGAATGAGTTACCTCTATCGATGATGTAGTTTCCAATGGAACTTCAGTAATATTTGAAGCAGGACTAGTTTCAACTGGAATTTCAGTACTCTCAGAAGGAGTTGTAGGTTCTATAGGATTTTGAGTGTTACCAGTTGAATGAGTTACCTCTATCGACGATGTAGTTTCCAATGGAACTTCAGTAATGCTAGGAGCAGTGCTAGTTTCTAATGGAATTTCAGTACTCTCAGATGTAGTTGTAGGTTCTATAGGATTTTGAGTGTTACCAGTTGAATGAGTTACCTCTGTCGATGATGTAGTTTCCAATGGAACTTCAGTAACATTTGAAGCAGTACTAGTTTCAATTGGAATTTCAGTGGTTTCAGTGGAATTTGGTCCTGCATTTGCGGTAGTTTCCAATGGAGCTTCAGTAATGCTAGGAGCAGTGCTAGTTTCTACTGGAATTTCAGTAGTCTCAGATAGAGTTGTAGGTTCTGTAGGATTTTGAGTGTTACCAGTTGAATGAGTTACCTCTATCGATGATGTAGTTTCCAATGGAACTTCAGTAACATTTGAAGCAATACTAGTTTCAACTGGAATTTCAGTGGTTTCAGTTGCATTTGGTCCTGCATTTGAGGTAGTTTCCAGTGGAACTTCAGTAATGCTAGGAGCAGTGCTAGTTTCTAATGGAATTTCAGTACTCTCAGATGTAGTTGTAGGTTCTATAGGATTTTGAGTGTTACCAGTTGAATGAGTTACCTCTATCGAAGATGTAGTTTCTATTGGGATTTCAGTAACATTTGAAGCAGTACTAGTTTCAACCTGGATTTCAGTGGTTCCAGTTGAATTTTGTCCTGCATTTGCAGTTGTTTCAATCGGAACTTCAGTAATGCTAGGAGCACTGCTGGTTTCAACTGGACTTTCAGTACTTTCAGATGGAGTTGTGGGTTCTATAGGATTTTGGGTGTTACCAGTTGAATCTGTTGCCTGTATTGAAGATGTAGTTTCCAATGGAACTTCAGTGAAAATTGAAGCAGTACTAGTTTCAACTGGAATTTCAGTATTTCCAGTAGAATTCGGCCCTGCATTTGAAGTAGTTTCAATTGGAACTTCAGTAATACCAGGCGTAGTGCTGGTTTCTACTGGAATTTCAGTACTCTCAGATGGAGATCCGGGCTCTATAGGATTTTGTGTGTTACCAGTTGAATGAGTTACCTCTATCGACGGTGTAGTTTCGAATGGAGCTTCAGTAATATCTGAAGCAGTACTCGTTTCAACTGGAATTTCAGTATTTTCTGTTGAATTTAATCCTGCATTTGAGGTCGTTTCCAATGGAACTTCAGTAATGCTAGGGGCAGTGCTAGTTTCTAATGGAATTTCAGTACTCTCAGATGTAGTTGTAGGTTCTATAGGATTTTGAGTGTTACCAGTTGAATGAGTTACCTCCACCGATGATGTAGTTTCCAATGGAACTTCAGTAACATTTGAAGCAATACTAGTTTCAATTGGAATTTCAGTGGTTCCAGTGGAATTTGGTCCTGCATTTGAGGTAGTCTCCAATGGAACTTCAGTAATGCTAGGAGCAGTGGTAGTTTCTAATGGAATTTCAGTACTCGCAGATGTAGTTGTAGATTCTATAGGATTTTGAGTGTTACCAGTTGAATGAGTTACCTCTATCGACGATGTAGTTTCCAATGGAGCTTCAGTAATATCTGAAGCAGTACTAGCTTCAAATGGAATTTCAGTGGTTCCAGTAGAATTTGGTCCTGCATTTGAGGTAGTCTCCAATGGAACTTCAGTAATGCTAGGAGCAGTGCTAGTTTCTAATGGAATTTCGGTACTCTCAGACGTAGTTGTAGGTGCTATAGGATTTTGAGTGTTACCAGTTGAATGAGTTACCTCTATCGATGATGTAGTTTCCAATGGAACTTCAGTAATATCTGAAGCAGTACTAGTTTCAACTGGAATTTCAGTGGTTCCAGTTGAATTTGGTCCTGCATTTGAGGTAGTTTCCAGTGGAACTTCAGTAATGCTAGGAGCAGTGCTAGTTTCTAATGGAATTTCAGTACTCTCAGATGTAGTTGTAGGTTCTATAGGATTTTGAGTGTTACCAGTTAAATGAGTTACCTCTACCGATGATGTAGTTTCCAATGGAACTTCAGTAACATTTGAAGCAGTACTAGTTTCAATTGGAATTTCAGTGGTTCCAGTGGCATTTGGTCCTGCATTTGAGGTAGTTTCCAAGGGAACTTCAGTAATGCTAGGAGCAGTGCTCGTTTCTAATGGAATGTCAGTACTCTCAGATGGAGTTGTAATTTCTGTAGGATTTTGAGTGTTACCAGTTGAATGAGTTACCTCTATCGATGATGTAGTTTCCAATGGAGCTTCAGTAATATCTGAAGCAGCACTAGTTTCAATTGGAATTTCAGTGTTTTCAGTGGAATTTGGTCCTTCATTTGACGTAGTTTCCAAGGGAACTTCAGTAATGCTAGGAGCAGTGCTCGTTTCTAATGGAATGTCAGTACTCTCAGATGGTGTTGTAATTTCTGTAGGATTTTGAGTGTTACCAGTTGAATGAGTTACCTCTATCGATGATGTAGTTTCCAATGGAACTTCAGTAACATTTGAAGCAGTACTAGTTTCAACTGGAATTTCAGTGGTTCCAGTTGAATTTGGTCCTGCATTTGAGGTAGTTTCCAGTGGAACTTCAGTAATGCTAGGAGCAGTGCTAGTTTCTAATGGAATTTCAGTACTCTCAGATGTAGTTGTAGGTTCTATAGGATTTTGAGTGTTACCAGTTGAATGAGTTACCTCTACCGATGATGTAGTTTCCGATGGAACTTCAGTAACATTTGAAGCAGTACTAGTTTCAATTGGAATTTCCGTGGTTCCAGTGGAATTTGGTCCTGCATTTGAGGTTGTCTCCAATGGAACTTCAGTAATGTTAGGGGCAGTGCTAGTTTCTAATGGAATTTCAGTACTCGCAGATGTAGTTGTAGGTTCTATAGGATTTTGAGTGTTACCAGTTGAATGAGTTACCTCTATCGATGATGTAGTTTCCAATGGAACTTCAGTGAAAATTGAAGCAGTACTAGTTTCAACTGGAATTTCAGTATTTCCAGTAGAATTCGGCCCTGCATTTGAAGTAGTTTCAATTGGAACTTCAGTAATACCAGGCGTAGTGCTGGTTTCTACTGGAATTTCAGTGGTTCCAGTGGAATTTGGTCCTGCATTTGAGGTAGTTTCTAATGGAACTTCAGTACTCTCAGATGTAGTTGTAGGTTCTATAGGATTTTGAGTGTTACCAGTTGAATGAGTTACCTCTGTCGATGATGCAGTTTCCAATGGAACTTCAGTGACATTTGAAGCAGTACTAGTTTCAATTGGAATTTCAGTGGTTTCAGTGGGATTTGGTCCTGCATTTGCGGTAGTTTCCAATGGAGCTTCAGTAATGCTAGGAGCAGTGCCAGTTTCTACTGGAATTTCAGTAGTCTCAGATGGAGTTGTAGGTTCTGTAGGATTTTGAGTGTTATTAGTTGAATGAGTCACCTCTATCGATGATGTAGTTTCCAATGGAACTTCAGTAACATTTGAAGCAGTACTAGTTTCAACAATAATTTCAGTGGTTTCAGTTGAATTTGGTCCTGCATTTGAGGTAGTTTCCAGTGGAACTTCAGTAATGCTGGGAGCAGTGCTAGTTTCTAGTGGAATTTCAGTACTCTCAGATGTAGTTGTAGGTTCTATAGGATTTTGAGTGTTACCAGTTGAATGAGTTACCTCTATCGATGATGTAGTTTCCAATGGAACTTCAGTAACATTTGAAGCAGTACTAGTTTCAACTATAATTTCAGTGGTTTCAGTTGAATTTGGTCCTGCATTTGAGGTAGTTTCCAGTGGAACTTCAGTAATGCTGGGAGCAGTGCTAATTTCTAATGGAATTTCAGTACTCTCAGATGTAGTTGTAGGTTCTATAGGATTTTGAGTATTATCAGTTGAATGAGTTACCTCTATCGACGATGTAGTTTCCAATGGAGCTTCAGTAATATCTGAAGCAGTACTAGTTTCAACTGGAATTTCAGTGGTTCCATTGGAATTTGGTCCTGCATTTGAGGTAGTTTCCAATGGCACTTCAGTAATATCACTGACAGTGCTTGTTTCAATCGATATTTCAGTTGTTGATTCATTAATTTCAGTAAAATCTGATGATGACGTTATTGTATTTTCTGTTTGCATTCCACTTATGGTTGTACCAACAGTTGTTTGATCAGAAATTAAATTTGAGAGCGTGGTTTCTACAATCCACTCATCCTCGCATTCAATTTCTAATAAATCGTTGCATACAAACCCAGGCGGACAAAATTGCGGAATCCCTTGCGTTAATGTTTTGTTTCCATCATCGACACATTGATAAAATTGTTCACGATTATAACAAATAAATCCTTTCCCTTTACAATCAATATTTTCCTCTGAATAAGTAACTCCCTATTTGTTAATGGAAAGAAAATTTTAGTTTCAACTTTTTTTTGAAAATTAAAAACTTACGAAACTCAACACTGATATTAAAATTATATAAAATACATTCATTGTTAGTATATTCGATAATGTTGCAACACTGATTGTCTTGTTCACGACACAAATCTAAAGTTTTTATGAATATATGTTGCTGTTGAGTTGTTAGTTTTTTATTATCATGGAATGACGCATTTATGACCACCCCACTTGATTCGGGTATTGTTTAATTGTTTACATTTACAGAATATTTACCCTTTTTATCTTAACACAATTTTATCTTCATGTCATCTTTTTTTTTGCAAGGGAAAAATATTTGTGACACCTTCCAGAAAAGGATTTTACATTGAACATAACCTAATTTGAAAAAAAACCTTCCAAGAGATTATCGCATCTAAATCCCTCAATAAACTTGTTATTCAGAAAGCCTCAATAAAATTCGTGGAAAATATTATGTATATTTTATTACAGTAATATAAATTTATATACAGAGATTTTAATTTCTAGAAAAAAATCTTAATGAATCGTCTCTTTTCTTACGCACGTGTACCCAAACATAATTCGCTAACGGCGTTAAGATCCACAACAAACAATTCATTGATATAAACACGTAAAATAATAAAAACAAATTACTTATACTTAATTTAAACATATAAATAACAAAATAAATAACAATCACAAATAAACCCGAAAGAGTTTCTAATGTTCCTAAAACAACCGGATATCGTCTTGGACCCAAACTTTCCTCATAAACTAAATTTTCACTGAATGATATTGTTCCATAACCCAATCCAAACACCAAACAACTCAAAGTTATCATATCGTGGCTTTGAGAAATATAAATCACTACAAAAAAAAAGATTTTATTTAATAATCGATTTATAACTAAATATTTACTTGAAAAGCTTCCGCTGGTTACTAAAAGTCCAAAAACGTGTAAAAGTTTTAGTTTTGTTTTTGCTAAATTCATCCCCCACGGTAAACTGATAAGAAAAAAGCACCAAGCAACGGAGATAAATGTTAAAAGAAAAACAGCTTCGTTGACATCAATTTTATAAGAAGCTCCGTTTACTAAAGCTATGTGAGTAATTGTGCTTATATAAATAGCATAAGATAAAGACATGCAAGTTTTTCCAAACAAAGATGGATAAAAATAATAAGTTTTAAAAGATGTGTTTAACGGCTTTAAAAGCTCGTCCCAAATCAAATTTCCAATCATTCTCATTCTCCTTCGAAATAAATATTTTTGATAAGGGGAACAACATTCTGTTTGTCCTTTTCGTTTAAATTCGCCAAAATAAGAATGCCTTTTTCGCACAGAATTATCTAAATTACTCGGCTCTAAAAATAACCCAGAGTTTCGATCATCTTTATCGATCACTTCTTCGAATTTACTACTAATCCTGCTTAATCTTTTTAAATTACTATTCAATTTTTCGTATTCTTTTAATTCAGACTCATCTTCTTCTGGAATTTCAGGCAAAATTTCAACTCCCATTTCAGTTTTCATTCGAAACTGTTGATTTAAAATTGAATCGTGATCTTTTATTTCCGTAAAAGTGTACGAATCGTCAGAACTCGTCGAGGAATCACCATCATCTTCTTGAGAATTTCTTCTTTCGATCGCGGGATTTGTTATTCCATTTGAAAATCGATTAATAGTCGGTAATTCGATGGAATCTTCGTTAAAAAGATACCTATTAAGAAAGGATCACAAAATAAGTAATACAATTAATTATTTTTTTACCCACCCAGGTACCGTTTTGTAACGCGTTAAATGTCTTTCGATGACCTTTTCTTTTTTACGGCAAGCAACCAAGCCAATTGGAATCGCGTGAAGCATAAAACCGGAAAATAAAGCTTGTGCCCGAAAAATATTATAATAATTTACTAAGAATAAAACAATGTGAGGCATTACAAAAAGTGTAAAAGCTCTTGCCACTTGAAGAGTCGCTTCAAAAATTCTTGGTTTTCCTTCGAAATTATCCGATGTGTATGTATTTATTATTGAAATTGTAAAACCTGTAGATGCGCCTAAAATTTTATTAAAAATATATTAAAAAAAATAAAATAAATAAAATTTACCTCCCAATACTCCATAAAGAAGCACTTGCATTGTTAATGTTGGTAAAAACACAGCAGTAATTTGCCCTAAAACCATAATAATTATCGCAGCCGCAATAAAATACTTTAACAAGTAAAATTGTTGCGTTTTGTATCGATTGCATACTCTTCGACCCCACGGATCTATAATCACAAAACAAATACACGTAAGTTTTTTGCTTATTCAAATAAGATTATATTTAAAAATTATGATTAAATAAAAATAGAAACAATTGTCCGGCTAATCGCGTCAAAAAAGCGTTCACAAATAAAGGATTTCTGTGTAGTTTATGTTCTTTGTTTGGTTACAAGTCATAATCATATTAAACGTAAGCGAATAATTACCCATCACGTTGAGATTAACGATAATGTATTAACAGATTAGTAAATGTTTATTGTTAATTAATTATGATATGTGGATTATTTACGTTTATAGAGTTGACTGGGCATTATTATTTAGTGATCATAATAGTAATGTAGCTTTCAATTAATTACTTTTTATTCTAATTGTTTGTATGGGGAGCTTTTAACTTTAATTAATAATATAATTCATTTTATAGTCAAAGAAAAAAAAAACATCTTAGGAAGTTCATAATTGTCTAGGACTCTTCAATATCGCCTATAGTTAAAGCACTGAATGGTTCACTTAAACAGAAACATTTTGTATCCGCAAAGAATAGGACACTCAAACAGAAATAGCACCATAAACATAACGTTTAATGACTCAAAAGTTGAGGACATATCTTGAGTACCCCATGAGCCTTCAGGCACAGAAGCAATCGTTTGTATCAGCAGAAGAATCAAGAACACCGATGAGCAGTACAATCTTGACGAGTCAACAATACAAGTAAGTGATATGAATTTTCAAGTTTTAGCAGACCCACAAAGCCAGACTCCATCAAGGTTAAGGAGGTGCTCTTTTGATAGTGGAGTAGCTAAGAAAACTAGTATAGAAGATATGATGGGAGGGGACGGTAAGAAAAGAATGAGGATGTAAAAAGGAAGTAAAAAGAACTGGAGTTGAAGAAGCTAAAATGTTAAGAAATACCTACAATAAATTCTATGCTTAAATTAGTGGAAGAATTAAAAAAGAACGAAGATAGAAACATAAAACGAGAAATTAAAAGTATCATCTGGAGAATGGAAAGAGAAGCAGATACATTGAAGAGACAGGATTTGAAAGATTTGAAACACAGACCGAGAATGATGATGAGAGAGCACGATTTCTGGAGCGCAATGATAGTAGAAGGAAATCAATTTGGCAAAACAAAGAAATAACTAAAATTGTTATGGTTGAACCTGAAACAAGGATATGGAAACAGGTGTACAATCGTCTAGTTGGGTTGGGTCGGAAACCAGGCCATTGCAAATTGGCAGTATACTACTACCCTATAGTCAATATGACGAACAGCAAGAATCTCCAAGAACGAAGTATAGTTTAGAGAGCGAAAGGAGCTTTGATATCATGTTACTTGAAGTACATAATATGGAAAAATAAGTATATGTCAGGAGTGGAATGATAGTAGAAGGAACCCCAATTTGGTAAAACAAAGAAATAACTCAAATTGTTATGGTTGAACCTGATGACAAGAATATGGAAACGGGTATACAATCGTCGGGTTGGGTTGGATTGGATTGGGTTGGGTTGGGAGACACGCTACCAATAGACCTGATAGCCAAACAAAGAAAGACGGCGAAGGAAGAATCCCAAAATAAGAACAAGATATACCAGCAAGCTATAGATGAATGGGAAGCCAGATGGGCTAAAGACACTGGTAAAGCTAGATAGACTAAAAGACTATTACCAAAAATCACGCCATGGATAACAAGATGACTTTGAGAGATGGAGAAACCTATAGAACGCTTCGTGAAAGAAGTTGTCGAAACAGAAGAAAGAGAAGAAATACTGCTACATAATACGTAAGAAAAAGCTAGAAATTTTATAGACTACCAAGAATAGAAGAGCTGAGGGGGCGGTCTATCATACCCCCCCTTCCAGGTACGTTTTTATATGTAAGCAGATATCTAATAAAAAGTTAACCGTATTTTTGTAATTATTCTCACCCAACCCGAGGAACCAGTAAGGATGGACCCTTGAAAAGAAGAACTACTCGAAGAAGAGAATAGAAGCGAAGAACCAAGAATAGAAGAAAAGATGGGGGCGATCAATCATGCCTCCCTTCCAGGTACGTTTCTATTTCTAGCTAACTAATTAGAAAGTTAATCCTTTTTCTTGTAATTGTGCTCACCCAATCGGAGGATGCAGTAGGAATGAATCCTGGAAACGGGAGCTCAGGCTGTATTCTTGACAAGACTGTAAGGACAGAAAGATGAAAAAGACCTCCAATGCAACGCCACCCGGCGGATTCTGGAGAAGAAAAACGATGGGGGTTTTTAGTGGGTAGTTCGGGGCTAGAATAGTCCGGCACTTCCGGCCGAAGAACAGAAGTTTTGCAACTCAACCTTCTGAGGCGCCAAGAGAAAACTATAGCTCAAAGAACGAAAGGATCTTCGTTGCTTGAAGTATATAATATGTCAAAACAAGTATATGTCCCTAGAAAGCAAGATCCATACATATAAGAGCTGTTATGACATACGCAATAGAGATAAGAGCAGAAAATGCTATAACAAAAAGAATCCTCAAAACAGCAGAGATGAAGACGCTAGATTATTAATGAGATACACTTTCTGGCACCATAAAAAAGTAAAAAAAAAGATATTGAAATGAGAGCGCAAAAAAAGACGGGAATGAAGAGATCGTGTTGAACGTAAACCTCAACACTTCCAGGGATGGTCAAAGATGGAGCAAAGAAACTCCTCACAAGACTTCTCGTACAAAGCTGGAGCTCATCTTCCCAACATAAGCTATGAATAATTAAGAAGCTAGTTAAATGTCTTAAAGTAAGAACAAGAACTTTTTTCCTATTTTTGCGTTCTGCTAAGCACTTAGTAAAAATGGAATCTACCTCACAATGATATTCTGCTTAGAATATAGCAAAAACTTTGGTCTAATTATCTTATTCATCCCTATACTCCAATTTCTTAGTATCTGATTCCACTCAAATTCTTAGTTCATGTTCTTCTCCTTCAATTCATCAGTGGCTATGCAATGATTCGCTTCATTGCAAGAATGAGAATCGAAGAATTTAGTGAATCGTACAAAAGTAAATCATAGTTTATTTAGCACTGTTCCAAAATTCTATTCCATATTGTGGTCATTCATCAACATCACTCATACGAACAAATTTCTTTCCAATCACTGGATTAAGTAAAATAATTATTGAAGAAGTGCAACTTGGGTTTTTATATTTTGTAGCAGTCAAATTTTATTATCATTGGTGAACCAACAGTTTTCAATTATCATTTCAAAATCTATCACAGTGTTTTGTTCAAAAGAATACGTTGTTTCAAGATTCGACCACCCTCCTACTTCCTTATGAAGTTGTCTAAAATTTCCCAATTCATCCCATACAGCCTATATATTCTCTTTTCTTCTACCATTTGGTAATTATGTATTATATCCTCATTTCCACAACTGTACCTCCCCACCAACCTCTACTCATATCCTCTGTACTTGAAATTGTAACTATTTTCCGATATATGCACTCATCTCTCTGCTTCTCCACATAACCGTTCCTGCCATTCTTCTGTTGAGTCTCCTTCTCATACTTGCCTCTGCTATCTCCTGTTTACTATATCAAAAGCGACCTTCAAATGAAAATGGGAATAAACTAATTTCTTTGTAACTAGTTAGCACTCTTTACTACCCTTTTTATACAATGGACATGCTGCTCCGTTCTCCCCTTTTTTTGAAATTCTCTCATTATATTTTTATTCGTCCACTTGCGTGGTTGTTAGATTCCAATCTATTATTTATTCAGGAAGTACCATGCTCAGATTGCGTTCAAACAAAACTATGAAAGTTGAGAATATCGACAAGAACTTTAATACAGATTGCTAAATTATTTCAATTGAAATTAAGTCAATAAAATTTAACTCAGCGTTAATTAAAATCAATTCGATTAATTAAAACTTAGAAAATTTCTTCCATGAAGTAACAGAGTTCAACATGTATTCAAAATATTTTTGTTTATAATTATAACCCAGCTGTTAATGATAAATTTTTTTATGATACCACTAATTTTTTAATTAATGAATACAAACAAGTTCATTCCCAATCTTCTAATATCAATGAAACACAAAAAATAGAAAACAGGAAATCGAAATGAAGATGAAACAATTAAAAAAAAATCGTTGTTTGCGCAACAAAATAAATTACATGATAATTAAAATCTGTAGACGATATATTGTTTTATTCAAATGATTCAAACTTCTAAATACGTAACAAATAAAAAGAAAGTTTCATTTGATTTCAATCAAATGTGTCAATCTGATGACTCATTTCTCTATTTACATTCGACGTTGTGTGATAATTGAATACCAAAAGCCGGGACTGATTAAGTAGCAACACATTAACGCAAAACGTTTGTTTCGCACCTTAATCGTATCTGATTTTTTTTTAATTCAAATCTTGTGACATATAATCCATCTTGAAGATAATATTGTTTAACCGCGACCTTCGCGTATGTTTTTAACTCAATCTCGGTTTAAACAGTAACCGAAAAGAGTTTGTATCGAATGACAAATTTTAAAATAAAAACTTACTGACGATATTTAACGATGCTATATAAACGACCGGTGTCCATAAAGCTGGGTAAAATGCGAAGTATCCATCATCGACGAATTCGTCGAAAAAAACTCCGTATGAAGATAAAGCAGATGGGAGGAGAAACTTAAAAAAAATTCTTAATGATAAGGTGATATCAAGATTTAGTAGTAATTACCTCTATTAGAAAAACGCATGTTGATGTGGCCAGACTCCATTTTTTGGTTCTTCGCCGTATTGGCTCTCTATTCATCTCCTTTCAATTAATTACCTTTTTATATTTATCATTATTATTTGATATAAAGAGTTTTAAGTACGCTTTTACAGGAGACACTACACGGGATGGATACGTCGTCAATAGGTGCTGTAAGCGCGTTTAACATTATCTTATCTAAAAAAATTTTTTTTTGTTCGAGATTTGGCGTGTTTGTGGCTAAACAACTGTCTGTGACTCGTCGGACAATGTTATGAACAAGTCGCTACTGCTACTCAGGAAAAACTAAATACATAACATTACGATTGGCGCAAATAGTTTCAACGTCAGCGTATCGAACAGTGCATTAAATCCGATGCCTTTGGGCTAAAACTATTTTAAATAAATTACGATGCAAAATTGTACAAAATAAATTTTATCAAGTTGATTGATAAACATTTTTAAGTTAAAAAATGTATCAAAAAAAAACGTATAAATAAAATAAAATAAAAAGAAAATTGTGATCTATTACCATTAAGTAGTTAATCGCGTGTTAAAAAACGACGTTCAATCAAAGAGTTAACAAGGAACTAACTCGAGAAACTCACGCGAATAAAATTTAATAACACGTAAAAATAGAAGATTTTCATAAATTAGTAAATGTAAACATAAAAATTAATTAATAATATATTCATTTTTAATTTAGCATATAGATATAGGTGTCCCAAATAAAAACATCAAATAAAACAAAAAAATACTCTTCTCATCTCTAATGCCCAAGGAAATAAATCTCATTAACAACTGCGTCCTTGACCGACGTAATACACCTTGCATAATATAGATTGCGTAATAATCATGATCTTGCGTTACAATTCAGATACACAACAATTATGACCTCAATTCTTATTCAAGATATTGTACAACATCCATAACGTTCTTGGTCCTCGCTCAAGGTCAATGATCTTCACCAAATTATTAATATAAAGTATACTTAAAACTTTTTTAACTGTTTTTCCAAAGTAATTAAACTTTCTGGTATCTGTTCAAGAAAATCTTTAAAATATAGCATTCTCAAGATTAAATATAAAGACTGCGAAAGAGCCTCCCATAAGTAACTGCCACCTCATAAATCTTGGTTAATTATGAATAGTACTAAGTGCATTATTGTTAAAGTATGACCCTCATGTATGACAAGTGCTTTAAATAAATAACATACAATATAATGGACAATGTAACCATATGGTTACACTAAATTCAAATGCATGAATTTTAAACTCCTATAATAATCTGACGATATCGGGTAACATACCATGTTTGGTTTGTTGCTTTCAAGTGTGTTGTTGGAGCAGGAGTTAAATCACCTCCATTAAGATATCCAATGCAATTGTTGTATAAACCAATTGGGATACTCGTTAGTACTTAACCTAGTCTTCAGAGCAATTCTGACACTTCGGTTAACTGCATTCTCAGTAAAACTAACTAAAACAGAAGATGCTTCAGTTACGTTGTGATTACAAGAATTCCGCTGTCATCAGTATAGCTCTGGAATTTTAATTTATATTTATAATATAAAAGTAATCAAAGTTTTATTCCATAAAATACTTGCCAGGTGTACTCCAGGAGTGATGTTGCCTTGCTTGCAACAGCGCCGTTTCCTAACCTTGTTCGAGGATAACATTTGAGGAAGGATGTCAGATGTTAGCTTTTAATCGGCTAAATCTTACAATCTTTCTGATTTGTTCCTAAATGATAAGAAAAGAAAAACGGACATGATACAACGCCAATTTAAATTTGGTATAAAAAGTGATGGTAGTTTGGAGCCATTAAATACTTACCACTGGTGGTAGAGCAAAAACAGTTCCAAAGATCTATTATTCAAGAATTAGAACTCTCATTAAATGCAGGAAAGGGCTATATTTACTTACCACACCCAGAATAAAGTTAAGAACACCTAAGCTTGCGCCAGGTTAAATAACATTAACTTATTAACATGAAAATTGTAGCAGAGAAAATTATAAACCCAGCATCACAATTCCGAATACGCAACAGAAAATATAGTTTTACAGAAATTATCAGGAAGTTTAGTTAACTTTAGTAAGATTCTAATTTAATTCTATTTGTATTGTACTTGGAATACTTTTGACTTGAATGCAAAAGTATCGAGTTCAAATTGAAAGTGAAAAAAATTCGATAAGAACGCAACTCACCTGATGGACGGCATCAACATGAAAGGCAGAAATGTTAAAATACCGTTTCTTCATGGGCAGAACAATCCAACTAAATGCCACCGTAACAAAACGATGAAATAATCTTTCCAAGAAATAAATTTCCTTTGTTTCTGATTGAATGGACGATTCTTCTTCCGTGCTTAATTTCTCTTTTACACCTGACTCACGTAGAATGTGGGATGCAATATAAAATTTTCAGAAGATGATAAGAATGTATTGTTCGCATTTATTGGCAATTTGGCGCCTGTTAAATTGACAGTAGATGCGTTATGCCAAAAAGATTCCAATCTTTTGACTGCTAAAGTTCAATTGCTTTGAATTTGCTAAATGTTAAAACTTCGAATCTCGCAAAGTATTACAAATACATCACAAATACTGCAGTACATACAACATGGAAATCATAAAGAAAGTTTATTCTTTCAGTTCTTGAGTTCTTGCAATTTTCGCCTATTAAGTTTTAAAAATTCGTATAAAATCCATTTCTTGAAATATAAGTATGAAAATTGCCCAAAGTGTTAATAAAAGTGTCTTCTTTCCAATGAACCAACCCGTTTTGAAAAATAACTTTTAGTTTTTGAAAAAACAATATTTGAAGTTTTGATAAAATTTTCGATGTTGCAATTTTCATCGATAATTTTCAAAATTCGCAATAAAATTCATTTCTTGAAGGATCGTTGTGAAAATATCGCCAACTATTAATTAAAGTATGAAATGCACCAGAAATTATAACCATAATGGCCGGATAGATATACCGGATATCCGGTATCCGGCTTTTCGGAGAATCACTATCCGTTTCATCACTACTGCAACGCATAACTAAAGTATCCCTAACGAAGTACGCGAAAATGTACAAGAACCATCGTGCTCATCATCAGATGCAGAAGTACCACAACTAGAATCCTCCATCTCAAAACCAAAACAATTTTCTTTTGAACAAGTAATTGAAGCAGAAATGTCGTATTTCGACAAACCTGGAAAAAGAGGGATATATTTGAATAAGGTGCATGTAATGATGTGATATATATGTTAAATTGAAGCTTAAAGATTGTAGTTTATGATATGATATAAAAACTATATAGTAATATTAATGAAATTTTCAGAAAGAAAGTATTAAAGAGGAAACTGTCAAATTTACGAAGATGAAATATCAAATTTTCAAAAAATCATATCATCTGTATTTTTAAAGGTAATGATTTGATATATACGTTAAATTGAAGCTTAAAGATTGTAGTTTATGATATGATATAAAAACTATATGATAATATTAATGAAATTTCCAGAAAAAAATTATTAAAGAAGAAACTGTCAAATTTACTAATATGAAATACCAAATTTTCAAAAAATCATATCAACTGTATTTTTAAAGGTAATGATTTGATATATATGTTAAATTAAAGCTTAAAGATTGTAGTTTATGACATGATATAGAAAATATATGATAATATTAATGAAATTTCCAGAAAAAAGTCATTAAAGAGGAAACTGTCAAATTTACGAATATAAAATATCAAATTTTAAAAAAATATCTGTACTTTTAAAGATTATGATATGATATATATGTTAAATTGAAGCTTAAAGATTCTAGTTTGTGATATGATATAAAAACTATAACATATTATTAATAACATTTCCAGAAAAAAATTATTAGAGGAAACTGTCAAATTTGTAAATATAGAAAAACAGAAAATTTTCAAAAAATCATATCATCTGCATTTTTAATGTTAATAATATGATATGTATATGCTCAATTGAAGCTTGAGGATTCTAGTATTAATAAAATTTCCAGAAAAAAAATGTTAAAGGCGAAACTATCATGAGTCAATGAATTATTTTGACATCTTCTAATTGTTATTTGTGGTGTTTGCGTGGTTTTAATCGGCACAATCTCCAATAACTATAGGTACTACACAATGGCTTGATACAATTGATTAAAGAACCTTATTAACAAAATAAATTAAGCATTTGCTAAAACATAGTGTGAAATAGTAGTTTCCTACCTAGGCGTGACGTCACAATCGGCCCGTCGAACGTGCACCTGTTCCTGGGATGTAGCAGTCCTCTTAGATTCTACCATTCTTGTATCAAACAACAATTTCTGACTCTATATTGAAACCTACTGACATTGGCTGGCTTAGGTTGACAAAACTAATAAGGATTAAATAAAAAAATATGTTAATTGGAGTATAAAATTATAAGAAAAAATTAAAAACATGTTGAGTATATTGAGTAATTCACTTAATTCACAAAAATACAAAAATATAGTTATTAAATACAGCACTAGTTAAAAATTCTTTGGTTTCGTTTACAAAATAATTGTGTAAAGAGGCACAAAAATTAAATTTTACATTGAAGACTAAAATTGGCAGTTCTTTGGTTTCAGTTTTACATTTCTTATTTTTTAATTAATCAATTAACAATACGAATTAATGTAGCTGATTGATATTCCAGTGGCATTTCTTGTTGGAAGACTAATTGGTCTCCAATACCACCAATTATACCATACTAAAACCAAAAAAGATTAATAAATTAAGTTAAAATTAGAGGGGTAAAAATTTCTTACAGACATAAGACGGTTTTAAAATGACAGAAATAGTTCTGCATTCACCAAAACATTCTTGAGTTGGTTTTAAAATAATTGTTTGTTCACCAGATCCTTGAATAACAAATACATAACTGCATTCAAAATTTGGGAGTTGATAAGGAAACGATTTTGGACCGTTAATCATTACATATCTTTCCATACTTTGTCCAGACCACTCAGAAATAATATAAGGTCTTGGAAAAAGTTTCCTAATTAATCGTATTGGAGTCATCCTGTTAATTCTCCAGGAAATATGCGTTTCAGAAGACTCTTTCAGATTAAATTCAACCAAATCTTTAATTTGTGTTAATGAGTTATTTGATGATTTTATTCTATCAGCATCTTTATCAAAAATTTCTTTATTATTTAAATAAGTTTCCATTAATTTTTCGTATGTTATTAAAGATTGATTTGTTTTTATTATGTAAGGTATTCCCGAATGATACATACTGTGGTTATTTGAGTCTGTTAAATCAATAACAGAGTAAACATTTTGGCAAGGCCAACATTCCATATCGTTCAAATAAAAATATGGATTTTCAACTAAACAGCTTTCATCGTACAATTCTAAAAACAAACTTATTTTGGATCCAATTAATGTTTTTTAATAAATACTTACTGGTTAATGATGGATACTTTTTAATAATTGGCACCATTAAAAACCTAATTAAACTCAATCCTGGATATATTAATCCTTGCACATTTCTCAAAACAATACTCGTAGTTGGTTGATGCACATTTATTATAACGTACAAAATCAGAATAATAATAATAAATAAGAAAAATACTTTGAGGAAGTTCCACACTATTTTTTTGAGCTTACTTTTCTCCTTTTTAGGAGATTTTAGTTGTGCAAAACACTCTTTAAATAACCCATTGATTTCTTCATCGTTTAAACTTAATTCTTGAGCTTTTCTACGTATATTTTCAACTTCTTTTACATATTTACCCAATTTTTCCTCACCAGGCATTTTAACCTCATCATGATCTAATTACAAACGTAAACAAACACCTAAATAAAATAGCACCATCTATTGGATGTTTTAGAAATTAAAGCGGATATAACCTCAAATGATTGAAGTTGTCAATGTCACATTAAATTAGTTGTCAAATAAGGTTATGTTTTAACCTTAATTTATTTAAATATTAATTAAAATTAATCAATTTCAAATTGTTTATTGTTATAGTATAAGTATTTATTGTAGGGCTATGTTAGAGTTGATAAAATGGTGAAATACAATTATTTTAATTTATCTAATTCTGATAAAAAAAGCTGTCAAACTAGCTATTAGAAAGATCAAAAAAGAATGTGATATATGATAGAACTATGTATAATACTGCTAATCAAATAAATAATGAGACATTTGATGAATATCTTGTATAATTGTTGTCTTTGGTTGAAACTTGCGAATTTAACAGTTTTACAAATTATCTAATAAGAAATGAAAAAAAAGCTGATTCAAATTAGAATAGTTCAGTAAATAAGATAATAAATAAAAGTAAAGAAAAAAACTTGCTTGTTTTATGGAAAGAAACACAAATTTTAGCACTGCATATGACAAAACTTGTAAAGAATGTGGAGGAAAAAACCATTTTGCAATAAGTAGTTTGCAAGAAAAAGAAGGAAATTTGGTAACAAAATAGTGAAAGATATAAAACAGGATTTAGAAGAGAACTGTAGCAGCAGTGAAGAAGAAGATACATAAAATTATTTGCCAGTTAGATACTGGATACTACTGAATGTTTGATTGGTAGGAATAGACTTTTGAGCATATTAGAAGAAATAGATGTGAATCTTGATCAATCAAGACATAAATTGTATGAATTTATGAAAAATTATTAAAGAGGAAACTGTCAAATTTACGAATGTAAAATATCAAATTAAAAAAAAAATCATCTTAATTTTTAAATGTTATGATATGATATATGTATATGTTAAATTGAAGCTTATTGAATTAGAAGAGAACTGTAGCAGCAGTGAAGAAGAAGAGGATACATAAAATTATTTGCCAATTAGATACTGGTGCTAATGTATGTTTGATTGGTAGGAATAGATTTTTGAGCATATTAGGAGTGACAGATGTGAATCTTGATCAATCAAAACATAAATTGTATGAATTTGGAAATAATGAAATACCATTAATAGGTGTAAAAGTTTTATTGTGTCAAAATAAAGGAAAAAGATACCCTATCAAATTTTAAGTAGTTAATGTTGATCATGGTGCTTTGTTGTCAGCTAGTGTTTGTCTAAAACTTGGACTTGTAAAATTTTGTAATGCTATATATAAAGAAAACACATTATTCGCACTTATTAGCAGTTTGGCGCTAAATCTTTTGACTGCTAAGGCTTCACTGAAGTTCATGGCAGATACACTGTCTGAACAAGAAAGTTCAATTGCTTTGAAATTGCTAAATGTATTAAAACTTCAAATCTTGTAAAGAATTCATGCAGGAAGCCATAAAGGAGTCGTTATCAACTGTTCCAAAACCAAAACAATTTTTTTTTGAACAAGTAATTGAAGATGAAATATTATCTTCAATTAGTAGTATCTTCAATTAGTTAATTTTTATTTCTGAAATATTAGTATTTCGACCAAACTGGGAAAAGAGGGATGATATTTGAATAAGGTGTATGTAATGATGCGATATATATGTTAAATTTAAGCTTAAAGATTGTAGTTTATGATATGATATAAAAACTATATGATAATATTAATGAAATTTCCAGAAAAAAATTATTATAGAGGAAACTCTCAAATTTACGAATATGAAATATCAAATTTTCAAAAAATCATATCATCTGTATTTTTAAATTTAATGATTTGATATATATGTTAAATTGAAGCTTAAAGATTGTAGTTTATGATATGATATAAAAACTATATAGTAATATTAATGAAATTTTCAGAAAGAAAGTATTAAAGAGGAAACTGTCAAATTTACGAATATAAAATATCAAATTTTCAAAAAATCATATCATCTGTATTTTTAAAGGTAATGATATGATATATATGTTAAATTGAAGCTTAAAGATTGTAGTTTATGATATGATATAAAAACTATATGATAATATTAATGAAATTTCCAGAAAAAAGTTATTAAAGAGGAAACTGTCAAATTTACGAATATGAAATATCAAATTTTCAAAAAATCATATCATCTGTATTTTTAAAGGTAATTATTTGATATATATGTTAAATTGAAGCTTAAAGATTGTAGTGTATGATATGATATAAAAACTATATGATAATATTAATGAAATTTCCAGAAAAAAGTTATTAAAGAGGAAACTATCAAATTTACGAATATGAAATATCAAATTTTCAAGAAATCATATCATCTGTATTTTTAAAGGTAATGATTTGATATATATATTAAATGGAAGCTTAGAGATTGTAGTGTATGATATGATATAAAAACTGTATGATAATGTTAATGACATTTCTAGAAAAAAAGTATTAAAGAGGAAACTGTCAAATTTACGAATATAAAATATCAAATTTAAAAAAAAAACATATCTGTATTTTTAAAGGTAATGATTTGATATATAAGTTAAATTGAAGCTTAAAGATTGTGGTTTATGATATGATATAAAAACTATATGATAATATTAATGAAGTTTCCAGAAAGAAAGTATTAAAGAGGAAACTGTCAAATTTACGAATATGAAATATCAAATTTTCAAAAAATCATATCATCTGTATTTTTGAAGGTAATGATTTGATATATAATATGTTAAATTGAAGAAATAAATAAAAAGCGGCATGTCATAAGATATGTGACCCAACACACTTCATTGTATTTAGGTATACAGAATACGATTGACGATATGGAAGATATTATTCAAGTTTTATAACTATGTATTTGTAATAGTTTATACCGTCAATAAAAAAATAAACAACACTTTGAAACAATAATCAATTTCAAATTATTTTATTTAAAACATAAACATCAAAATAATAACAAAACGAACGAAAAACATTTTTTTTAAATAACTTAATAATTGAACTAATTTCATTAGAACTAAATTGATTTGTTATGTTTTATTGGAATTTCTCTTTCAGTTGTCGTTTAAAAAATATAGGAATGAGTGAGAATACAGCGAAAACGCCCAACCAAAAAATAGATGTCCAAGAAAACGCGCTATCACTTGCCGACATCCTATGGAGAGTTTGTCCTGCTTGAATTGCCACAAACGAAGGTGGGGCGACTCCAACGAACGTTCCCAACGCGAAGGGTATCAGAGGAACACCAATAACAGGGGCAGTTAAGTTAATGAACCAATTTGGTAGAAATGGAGTTACTCTTAAGAACACCATATAATTAAACAAATTATCTTGGTGTTTTTCGACCATTGCAGCCCATTCTTTAGCTTTTTTTGGAAAATAAATCCATATCAAACGTTTCCCCAACAATTGGGATAGAAAGAAGCACAAAGTTGCTCCTAAAGCCGAACAAGTACAAACTAACGTTAACGCGATATAAAAATTAAACAAAAATCCAGAAAGTATCGATAAGAATAATGAACCTGGAATTGCAAAAGTTTGTAAACTACAAAAAATAATTAAGGAAATTAATACTTTGATTTATAACCAATATTTTAACATAATGAAAAGGATACAATATATAAGTAAAAAATACTCCGGCTAATACTGAATAAAAATGATCTTGTTTGTATCTATCTAAAATTATTCCTAAATGTTTTGCCTCATTAATATTCCATGGGATTTTTATATGCTGCCGTTCATCGCTAAAATAAAAAGAAATAAATAAGAAAATTGCCTTTTATCTCAAAAACTTACGGTTGTAATTTTGGAAAACTATTATACACTAAGAACAATGTAAATAGGGAAGTTAAAAATATAACCCCAACAGAAATTAAAGCTGTTCTTGTCCTTATATTGGATTGACCTAAAAAATATCAAATAATTAAATTAAAATAAACAAAAATATTAGAAATACCACTAATAACAAAGGAAGAAGATATTATACAAGGAACAAGATTTCTAGGAGGTTCATCATTTTCGATTCTTAGTCTCGGAATGGTTGATTGTAAGTAAATTGTGGATCGGTAAGATCTTCGACCTGTTGGGAACTGCGTTGTGATGGGAAATATAAAATTGGGACTTCTTGCAACGTCAGTGGATGAGGATATCTCAGGAGATTGGATATAATAACCTTCTAAATACTGTCGACTTGACATATCTTCTCCAAAACTCAATTCGAAAATATTCAAATCTTTTTATTATATTTAGGAATTCCCTTGTGGGTCCACAAGGTCAAAAATCACACCACTATCTCACGCGCACCGTTATGTTATCTGTAATACGTGTATTTTTTCAATAAAGATTATTAACCTCACATAACCTCCAAGAAAGGAGACTTAATTGAATTAAAATGAAACTCACTTTGGAACGGGCACGATTAATTCGTTTCTTAGAATCTAATCCATTATGAATTCGTTTGAAATTGATTCGCGTTACGGTAAAACTTGGTAAAAAATTGTAAATGTTTTATTTGTTAAATACGCCTGAAAGATTGATCACCAATACAACGAATTTGAAATGTCCAATTAAACCGTATTGTTCCTGTTTTATCGACTTATTTAATTGCAACTTTATTTCATAGATGGCGATAAATATAAAGTATGTGTAGGCAATAAATTAAAAGATTAATGAATAAATAATTAAATAAAACGTCAATTTGATATGAATAAATTAATATTATTAAATTTTTTGTTATTTTTGATAATACAAAGAATAGTACAACAATATTGAGTTGTATCATTAACAATAACTGTTTTATCGACAAATTTAAATCTATATATTTTTTAAATATATCTTTTTAGTTAGTAAATAAATTACTAAAAAACTAAAAATATTTTGTTGATATCTACTTTATAATTATTGTCTTAATCTTTTTCAATTAATATTAATTACCCAAGATTATATACCTACTTATTTGACCTTATTGAAAATTATAAGGTATTTTTAAAACAAATTCCATATCATTAGAAACAATTTAACTTGTTTAAACAACAAAAAGGTTCCATAAAGTTCGTAAAAAGAAAAACAAACACTTTTCTTTGAATAAATCGTTAACCATTCAACACTTCGTTATTGTTTACTTTAAAGTTTTTTATCTTTAATCTGCATAAGAAATTGTTTTTCGTTCTTTTTTGAAAAGATAATCTTTGAACTAAAAACTCGCCTAGAGGACAAATTATTTGACCTATAACACCGTTTACAAAAAAGAAAACAACAAAAACAACTTTAAAGGACATATTATGTGTTTTAAATAATTTTAACCATATTAAAAGGAATTTAGATGGTGGAAATGATTCAACATAATACCATAATAGATAAGAGATTGCCAAATCTCTAGGATACTTTGCTTGTCGTTGTTTCATTGCTTTAACAATTTCCAAGAAAAAACAAAAAAAATTTTATTTGTTCTCCCTTTATGTTGTATCTTCTGTGCTTTTACCATAATATTCTCATGGTCATACTCAACTTATTGTTTCCAATAGTTTTTTCCTATATCCCATAGAGTAATGCTTCTTAAAGCGGTCTATTTGGACTCGCATGAATTGATTTCCATTTTGAGTCCATGTCAGAAAAAACAATAATTGGAGTGCATACATCTCCTTCTCTTACAGTCTCCCTCAGTCGGCTTAATCAAGTAAGTCCTCTTACACTCATCCAAGATTTTCCTGCAATATCATCAGGACATAAGTATACAAGGTTTCTTCTTTGTGTCTCTGAAGAACATTTTTTGACAACTAAGCCTTAGGTTGTGCTAGATTCCACATCTTCATTACCAATAACATCATAATAACTCACAATACCTCATTCTTGTATTGTATACTTCTTGATTCTATCCCATCACGTAAGTCCTCGGTGGTGGCAGTTAGATTTGTAGTTAAAGATCTCAACAAAAGCGAGTTAATATTGACTATGACTCATTGATCCATTCTGACCTAGACATTACAGCTTTGGCATTCAAATCGCCCCCAATTACAATAGGCTTACCATCACAGCATATTTCTCCAACCGCGTTTTCATTTTTCGATTTGATCAGCGCATTAAGTATAATGAGACGGACTGAAAAAGACGGATACAGCCACTGAAATAGATGTTACAATTCTGCAACTGCAAAGAGAGTGTACGCTTAACAAGGACATGTTAATTTCCTTTCGGCAAAACCTTCTGCAACTAACAAAATACCTTCTGGATTTGAATACTCTCCATATCATCATATATTTATCGCGATGCCGATTAGGATTTGGCAAAGAAAATATCGTGGTGGTTTTGGTCCACGCAGAGTATTTATCGTGTGGGATTGCGTCCAATAGGTTTCAGTGTTCTTCGGAAATCCAACATAAACTTTCTTTCCTTAAGGCAGGATTCATATTGAAAATCCGTAGAGGCCATTATATGATTCCAAATAATAAAACTTTATATCAAAATGAGTGTTAATTAGCACAAACGACATTCAAAGTCAAAATCAGAAAACACCATTACGTCAAAGGAACGCCAAATCGGCCGAGAACGTCATCACTCCCCCTTCAAAGTCTGTAGGAGGATCAAAAGCAGTCGATTCCTCGCCGTGCACAAGAATATCTTGCGAATTTCTTGGGTCTTGCTCCCATACAAGATCCAACTGATCCAGAATCTTAAATTTAATGACAATAAACAACGCCGTTTCTGCACTGAGTGGGCTTAGTGTTTGGAAAATAACCCCAATATTACCCAAAAAATAATCTTTAGCGAATTTTGAATGAATGGCTATGTTAACAAGCAAAACTACCGTATGGAAATGCATCCACAAAAACGTTTAGTGTCCATTTTGAACCAGCAAAATCACTGGTACGTATTTCTACAAAAACGACGTTGGTAAAGCCATCACCGAACAAGCACTATAGATCAATGAGATCAATTTCTTTTGGGCCGAATTGAATGATACGGAAATAGATGCCATGTAGTTCTAGCGAACGCCATAATGCGTTCATGATATTCTGTAGGAACGATTTCTGCAATTTCAGCTCAAATTCAGCCGTATTTTAATGCCAGAATCATATTCCATGCATAATGGCATACATGACCATTTCAAGATACATGAGATTGGTTCTTGAATGTCAATTAAGCACGAGAATCACGCTAGGCTTGTACGTCAGTTAGGTTGGTTGCATGTCGAACTATCGAAATAACTATTTCCCCCTGGATTTTCCGTGGTAACTTTAATTACACTATCCAAACAGCTAACACCAAGTATTCTTCATCTCCTTCTGGCCAGCAGAAACAGAGACAGCACAAAATCCCCTTTTTATTTAATTATCTCAAATAGGCGATAACTTGGTTTCTTATACAGATCTACTCTCCATATATTATTCATTTATTATATGATCATATACTTGCAACTTGTCTTAGATAACTTTCAACCACGTTGCAATTCTATTCAGAATTGAACATTACTTTGATGCAGTATATGGACATTAGTAGCCCAGCTTTCTAGTTGCTCCAGATGTTAGTGATAAGTATAGATCTTGCTTATAAACTGAGTTAGCTGAACAGAAAAACTTTGGCAACTGACAAAACACTGTCTCCGTAGACCTGCTGAAGTTTTGCAAAAGATTCCGCTGCAGTGTCCTCAAGTCTGAATTAAAACTTGATGGCACAGCGTTGCTCGAATTTTTTAGAACTCATTTTTAGAACGCACTAGAAAAAGCTGTTTCATGAAAAAAATCGCTACGGACAACCAAATGACTTTAGTAAGTTCAAACTAGACTGGGCAGATTGTTCTAGTCATCTAACTGCCATCTATTTACCATTAATACAAGGCAACTATCCGATATCCGGCCATTTTTAAAATACGGCCGGATAACGGATAGTACCAAATTAATATATAAATATTAAAAAAATATTACTTAGTACTAGACCATTCACAGGAATTATTGCAATTTTCGCCGATTAAGTTTTAAAAATTCGTATAAAATCCAGTTCTTGGAATATGAGTATGAAAATTTCCCGAAATGTTAATGAAAGTGTCCTCTTTTCAATGAACCAACCCGTTTTGAAAAATAATTTTTAGTTTTTAAGAAAATAATATTTGAAGTATTGATAAAATTTTCGATGTTGCAATTTTCATCGATAACTTTCAAAATTCGCTATAAAATTAATTTCTTGAAGGATCCTTGTGGAAATATCACCAATTATTAATTGAAGTATCCTCTTTTTAATGCAAAAAGCCGTTTTGAAAAATCACTTTTAGTTCTTGAAAAATAAATTTTTGAAATGATCGACAATTTTTTCGAATTTTGCAATTTTCGCCGATTAAGTTTTAAAAATTTGGATAAAATCCATTTCTTGAAATATAAGTACGAAAATTTCCCAAAGTGTTAATAAAAATGTCCTCTTTCCAATGAACCAACCCGTTTTGAAAAATAACTTTTCGTTTTTGAGAAAACAATATTTGAAGTTTTGATAAAATTTTCGATGTTGCAATTTTCATCGATAATTCTTGAAGGATCCTTGTGGAAATATCGCCAATTATTAATTAAAGTATCCTCTTTTTAATGCAAAATGATCGACAATTCACTATCCGTTCCATCACTAGTCGTTAGTATATGAAACTAACTTTGTTTCCCCACTTTTTGTTCGTTTTGGAGCAATTTTTCCTGTTTCAAAGCGTTTCTTACACCTAAATTAATTAGCATAATCTTCTTACTTCCTGTAATTCTTCATGTTCATTCCTCATTATTAATTTTAGCTTAAAATTATTTATTTTTTTAAATTTTCAATTACCACACTAACATTAAAACATAACAGCAAAAAAAATGTAAATAAATCGCACACGATAACATTAAAAAAAGTACAACAAAACTATTCTAAGAACTTATTAAAAAATATTGAAATAAAAATAGATCCTGGGAAAGTAAATTTCAAAATAGCCTTTTTTTTAATCAAATTAATTATTTTTTGCTAAATTTTATTGATCATAAACGTAATACAAAATAAAAAGTTTAAATGATTCAATTTGTAGTAATAATCGATTCATATTTCTGCCTTTAAGTAAATCGTTCGAGAGTAGAAGTGGGGAAAACTCCTCGTGTGTTCTACTATAGTAATTTGCAACAGATTTTTAAGTGTCAGTTGAACAAAACGCGAGCTCGACAACGGAATCGTTTAAAAAAAGAAAATCTTGCGCGCATGCCACGAAGTTTATCCGGCAACTTCGTTTCGAAACAAAAAAGTCTTTATAAATGCACGTTTTAAATTGTAACGAAAACGCAACATGCCGACTGCTATCGAAATGAACAACAATTCCGATCATATCTCTTCGATTTATCGAGCCAGAAGCGATTCGAGAACTTCTTCCGTATCGAGCGCTTCAAGCAATGACACAAGTGAAGAATTATTGCCGTTAGAAGAACGATCTCAAGATGGTTTAAAAGAAAATGGAAAAGAGGTAATAAATTACTTAAATTAAATTTTTATTTTGTTTATCTGGTGATATTTGATTAGTGGTAAAATTGAACTAACAGACTCGACCTTTCTACTTAAAACCAATCGTAGCTCGTTAATTAATTCGTTCTCGTTGTTTTGGTTCGTTTTGTTTCTTTTTTTATTAATATTTATTATTCCTTTTGCAATCGCCTGCAGCGATTTGGTTTTTGAGTATCGAGTTTCTTGATTTTCTTGAACAATAACTCAACAATAAAGATATATTAGAGGTGGAGTGTGAAACCTAACCTTGGGTTTTAAAACGGAGAGTGACTGCGCTAAAAAAGTTTTGAAAAAAAAAAATATCATGTATACTTGGACACAGTACGCTAAATATTTAATTTCGAGACGTGATACTTCATGTATACAAAAATCCGAATGTTATAAAATTTTATGTAAAGTGCGAAATTTAAATGTGTTAAATCCGAAAGTTAAGTATTATTAAAGTGTTATTTTTGAGAAAATAATGTTTACCGTTTTAAACGTTTCTCCATTTTTTTTTATATCCCGTATAAACTTGTTTTGTTTAAACGATAGAAATAGAAATAACATTGATGATAATTAATCGTTTACGATAACACTTTTTTTCTTCCAAATAAATACTACTTAGTTTAATAATCGTACTAATAATGGCTTGTTTTGATTTTTTTAAACTTCTAGTATTATTTAAATCGTCTTAATCATACAAAATACTATTTAATGATTTTACAATTTCATTGCATAATAAAAAGAATAATAAAAACATCATAAATTATAATGAAATTTTATTATCAACAAGATTTTTTTCTTATTTATTTATAGCGGATGTTTTTGTGACTTGCAGAATAATTTTAAAACTAAATTTTAACGATTAAAGCATAAATGATGAATGGAAGGATCCCACTCTTAATACAAGATTTAAATAATAAAGTTGTCAAGATAAGTTAAAGTATAGCTTGATATGTTGTAATGATAAGAAAATTTGGTTTGGTTAAAAAATTCATAAACACATAGTCCAAGGACGACGGCCTAAAAGTGATTACTTAAAATCGAAAGCGTTTATGACAATTACCTATTAATTAATAAAAGGATATTTTACAAGAGTGATTATATAAGAAATTATGGTAATACCGAGATCGATACAACACGGAATTATTACATTAATTCACAAGGGAAATCACTTAAGAATTTTTCTCTCAAAATTTTCGAGTTAAAAAGGATATGGATTAATTCCAATAAATTTTCTATTTCCCCTTTTATTATTAACAATATAAGTATTAAATTTGAAAATAGAATGTAAAATTTTTATCCAACGTGAAGTTAAACACGATAAAAAAATTTTTTTGTTAATATTAAATTATTAAGTTTGAAACATTTTGATATCAATTTTAATATAAAAAGAATATATTAATTCTTAAATTTATCGTTTAAATCAAATTAATTGAACTTTTTAATCTAATTATAATATAATAGACCTAAAAAAAATAGATGATGTTACCAACCCAATTTTTTTTTTAAAGTGACGTTTTAAATTTAAATATAATAAATCGCTTTGTTAACAACTTTAAAAGCGTTTAAAAACAACTTATCAATTAAATATGAATGTTTGTTAAAAAGTGTTCATTAAAAATAAAAATTAAAAGTCAATGTCAACTTCATTAATAGACTTTATACGAATTGATTTTGATCAAATTGAGATTGAGGGAAAATAATTTGAAATGGTGAAACGTTAAATTATTGAATTATTAAGTTAAAGATGCGACATTAATAGAAATTCAAATATTAAGTTAATTTAATGAGAAATGTTATAAAAATGGAATTAACCTTAAAAGTGAACTTGTCAGTTAAACGTCAAAATGTAGCTGTCATAAAAGTGACGTTTAACAGATTGATTTTTTTAAGTTTCTTTTTATTAGTTATAATTGACTTTATTTTCTATGCATAAATCGATTTTGTCCTCAAACACATCATATTTTCAGCTTCAAAATCATCATTAATTAAATTATTGGAGAAGTACATCATTGGTATTCATTCATCAACAGCTTAGATACACAATTAAGCCGAGGTAACATTATGCATTTCCCATTCTATTAACACCGAGACGCAGAAATGTGAAGATCAGCTTTGGGTTATTATGACATCCATTATAGAGCCTCGTCTGCAAGCGACCTTGGCTAAATTATTAACTCGGATAGTCAAGATAGTTCCAAACAGTGTTCAATATTGTTATTTTATTGAAGCGGAATATGTAACAACTTTGTATTGGTACTGGAAACTACGCAAATTAACCAGAGCTAAAAAAACATGATAAATATAATATTCATAAGACAGCCATTATTTTAATCAGCAGTTGTTCCGAGTTCTTTGGGCAGACATCGTCAAGCAGATAAAATTCAACATCGAAAATTTTATCAATACTTCAAATATTGTTTTCTCAAAAACTAAAAGTTATTTTTCAAAACGGGTTGGTGCATTGGAAAGAGGACACTTTTATTAACACGTTGAGAAATTTTCATACTCATATTCCAAGAGTTGGATTTTATACGAATTTTTTAAAGTTAATCGGCGAAAATTGCAAAATTCGAAAAATTTATCGATTATTTCAAAAATTTATTTCTTAAGAACTAAAAGTGATTTTTCAAAACGGCTTTTTGGATTAAAAAGAGGATACTTTAATTAATAATTGGTGATATTTCCACAAGGATCCTTCAAGAAATGAATTTTATAGCTAATTTTAAAAGTTATCGATGAAAATTGCAACATCGAAAATTTTATCAAAACTTCAAATATTGTTTTCTCAAAAACTAAAAGTTATTTTTCAAAACGGGTTGGTTCATTGGAAAGAGGACACTTTTATTAACACTTTGGGAAATTTTCATACTCATATTCCAAGAAATGGATTTTATACGAATTTTTAAAACTTAATCGGCGAAAATTGCAAAATTCGAAAAAATTGTCGATTATTTCAAAAATTTATTTCTCAAGAACTAAAAGTGATTTTTCAAAACGGCTTGTTGCATTAAAAAGAGGATACTTTAATTAATAATTGGTGATATTTCTACAAGGATCCTTCAAGAAATTAATTTTGTAGCGAATTTTGAAACTTATCGATGAAAATTGCAACATCGAAAATTTTATCAAAACTTTAAATATTGTTTTCTCAAAAACTAAAAGTTATTTTTCAAAACGGGTTGGTTTATTGGAGAGAAGACACTTTTATTAACACTTTGGGAAATTTTCATACTCATATTCCAAGAATTGGATTTTACACGAATTTTTAAAACTTAATCGGTGAAAATTGCAAAATTCGAAAAAATTGTCGATTATTTCAAAAATTGATTTCTCAAGAACTAAAAGTGATTTTTCAAAACGGCTTTTTGTATTAAAAAGAGGATACTTTAATCAATAATTGATGATATTTCCACAAGCATCCTTCAAGAAATTAATTTTGTAGCGAATTTTGAAAGTTATCGATGAAAATTGCAACATCGAAAATTTTATCAATAATTCAAATATTGTTTTCTCAGAAACGAAAAGTTATTTTTCAAAATGGGTTGTTTCATTAGAAAGAGGACACTTTAATTAACACTTTGGGAAATGTTTATATTCATATTCCAAGAATTGGATTTTATACGAATTTTTAAAACTTAATCGGCGAAAATTGAAAAAATTGTCGATCATTTAAAAAATTTATTTCTCAAGATCTAAAAGTGTTTTTTCAAAACGGCTTTTTGCATTAAAAAGAGGATACTTTAATTAATAAACGACGAAACTGCAACAAGAGATTTTATATATCGTATTGGGATTGTAATTATAAATAAAGTTGTATTCAATGAAAAAAGTCCTATTGCGCCCTCAACATTATTCGGAGCGACATTCGGTTTTCAGACGTTCTTATCTTGTTACAGACATCCCTCAGTATCCAGATACCTCTTAACAGAGTCAAATATTAGTTAATATTGTCTGACAACCACCAACATCGACGCTGGATCTGTCTCTATATCCTTGAAAACTTATCAAGATCGTCTCTCAACATATATCTTATCATCTCTCAATGTTATGAACTCTCAAAACCGTCGTGGACATCCTATTATATATTATCTCATCCGTACCACACCTCAATATAGTAACGTTTTTGGCACCATGCAATGCTTTCTCTAACAACTGTTAATGTTATCACGTACATTAGTCAACATCATTCCAGATACTTTTCACCACAGTCGCAAATATCGCTCAATATTGTCTCTGACAACCCTCAAAATCGATACATGTTTCCAGTACTTCATCCCAGATCGAGGAGCAACTGAAGGCTAATCAAATTAAGATAAATTCATGGATGATGTTGCTTTCAAATTTAAATAAATAAGTTTTATGTCGGAGTTTAATCTTAATTTTAATCATTGTTATTTCAGTATATGTGGTAAAAATGATTCCAAAAATCACAAAAACATCCTATAGACAAAAAAAAGGTTAATATCAAAAGAATGTGGAATTATCACATGTTTTTGCTAAGACTAATGAGAACATAACGAACAAACAAGCAAGTAATCTACAGTGCGTTACTTAATTATGTTTTCGCTTTTTTCATTTTTAAAATAAACTTTGCGTGTACGTTTAAATTTTTATAACGATATCGTTATCGTCGCCAACGCTCATTTTATATTAATAAATTAATTACCTCCTCCCCTTTTTCGTTTAATTAATATAATCTTTACACAACAATTTCAATATTTTTATTTAGCTCGAATTCCAAGCACTTTATAAGAGCATTATTAACATTCTACTAAATACATGTTTATAAATAATTACGTCACCGCATGTTTACCTCGAACGATGGCATTTTATTTAAACCATACGGTTTTTATAAGCGAAATCGTTTTTTTTTTAGTAGGACACGATCGATTTTTAGATTTTTTAAAAATAACTTTGTTACAAGAATTACTAACTTCGTCAAATTAAAAATAAAGAAACCCCACGCGTTAATGACGTGGGTGATGGAAATTCTCCATTATAAAAAAGTTTTCAAACAAAAGGACGTTTGTTTAATGTTTACCCCCAAAAAAAAAGTTAAACGCAAAAAAAAGAATCCGTCGAATTGTACTCATACATCAAAGAGATAGGTTTGGAAATAGAAAATAACCGGAATTCGTATCATCTTAAAATTATTTAATACTGTGTTTACGTATTGGCGCAAATTTTCGAAACACGAAGTGCAAACAGTTAAATTTTAGTGCACGTGGAAGATTCAATGAGCGAAATTTTCTATTAATAACCCAAATCCAACCACACATCAAAAGCTGTCTGCATAAATAAATTCTCATCAGGATATACGTTTCGTCCTGATATTTTTTTCCTGTTCGTTGCCGAGAAAATAAACAATGGGAAAAATGTTATAAACTAAATGTCACGGTTTTACACGATATTTAGATTGTTCGGCGTTATATATACATTTTTTTTAATATTTTAGCGGAATTAATTCGTTATCTTATCTATAAAACATTGATTAAAAAGTAGGAAGTGGTTTAAAGAAGTTTAATAGCAAACTTTAAAATTAAAAAAGTTAGAAATAAATTTAGTACCATAATGAATTGTTAAAATAGATTAAAGTAAGTATATATTTTGAGTCATACATTAATATAGTAAATTTGATAACATATTAACCTTTCTTTCTTTTACCATAATAAATAAACAAAAACTTTTTGATTCGAATCGCAATTTAATTCCAAAGTCATTATTCATTCCAAAAACAAGAAGTATCCATCAAATAACACCACAAATTAAACTGGAATTATCTCGGATACAATTAACACGATAAGAAAATGTTTTTCATGTACTATTTGTGCAGTTCGTTTTGTAAAATCCGCGTAAAACCTAACACGACACTCAATGTCGTCAACCATACGGTGACCCAAACCGACATTTGCATTAAGATTTAGATTAAAGTAAAAAAAAATTTAAAAAAAAAAATCGGGTTTTAGTGAAAGTTAAAATAATTTGCATTAATTTACAGATAGCCGATAAAAGAAGATTTCGCTCTATGTCTGACGGATCACCGACAATCGCCGGTCAAGATGAACCTTTCGAAATCTTTCCAAGTCTTCCAGATCCCGTTTTAGAAAAGATGGGGCTCTTGGGAGATAGCCCAAAGTAATAAAAAATACACCCAAAAAAATTTTAATTACATTTTTAATTCACAGGGAAAGATTGAACGAAGAAGAACTAGAACAAAAATTTGTAGCTTTAGCTTTAGCGTTTCGGATAGATTCCGCGACGATTCAAGACCGTTGTTTAAGGCAGAAAAGATATCGCGATCAAACCGAAAAAAATCTTTTAGTAGAAATCGATCGATTAGTTGATAGGGCCTATAAATTACAACAATTGTGCGTCGACGCCGAAACCACCGAATTATTAACCGACCTTTTAGGACAAGTGGATGTTGTTATGAAAGCAGCTTCGCATGCCACGATTTCCGCGGAACGATTCGGGGCCGTTCAACACGAAGATAGATTAGCACAAAGCGTTCAATTGATGATCAATCACGTCACCTTGTTAAAACAACAAAGAGATTCAGCCAGAAAACATTTACAATACACAAAGTAATTATTATTTTCTTTTAAGGTATAGTAAAATCTCCATATAACGGAATAATATGTGGAAGTAAGTGTGAAAAGTCCGTTATATGACAAATTTTTGATATACAACAATGTTAAATAACAACTAATACTAGACCTAGAACTTGAAACATTCGGGTTTGTTTAGCCGTCTTAAGAGAGGTACGGCTAAACCCGAATGATTCTAGTTCTAGTTTTTATTCAATAAAAAATATACAACAATCTAGCACTCAATAACAACTAAAATTAGAACTGACACTAGCATTTGAACTAACACTCGACCTAGAACTAGAATCATTCGGGATTAGCCGTCTTAAGAGACGTGCGGCTAAACCCGAATGTTTCTGGTGCTAGGTCTAGTGTTAGTTCAATGAAGAATATACAACAATCTTAACAGTTATTAATTCTTCTCAACAGTTAAAACTAAGACTAACACTAGACCTAGAAGTAGAAACATTCGGGTATAGCCGTACGTCTCTTAACCCTTTGTGTCCCATGGGAAGTCAAAAATTTTGAAACTTTGTGACAGAATTAACACGCTATCAAAATACACTCAGTAAAGGCCTTTGGAATCAATTTTAGCAAAATATGCAGTCCCCCATTCCAGGGGAATAATGGTATTTGAGTTGCTTTGGCAGAACAATTTTCACAACTTCCTGTTTCTTTTGAATTTGCGCTACGACATTTTCGTGGACGCAGTAAATTTGAATATTTATTTATCAGACCTGTAGCTATAGAACGACGAAAATCAGATAGAATATTGAGAAAAAACATATTGAGCAAAAACTAACATTTTCGTATAAGCTAAGTGTCAAAAAAGATGCTAATTAAAAAATTCCTGGAAGTTGTGTTTATCGAAATTAAGAAATGAAACTTATTTTAAATTGAAGCTTAAAGCTTTCTCTTTAAAATGATGTATAATAATTGTTGGGTTGGACTAGAAAAATATTGAGAAAAAAAATGTTGAAACAAACCTTACATTTTCGTATAACCTAAACGTGTCAAAAAAAGATGCTAATTTAAAAATTCCTGGAAGCCGTATTTATCGAAATTAAGGAATGAGACTTATTCTATATTAAAGCTCAAAGCTTTCTCTTTAAAATGATGTATAATAATTGTTGGGTTGGATTGGAAAAATATTGAGAAAAAAAATGTTAAAACAAAACTTACATTTTCGTATAACCTAAAAGTGTCAAAAAAGATGCTAATTTAAAAATTCCTGGAAGCCGTATTTATTGAAATTAAGGAATGAGACTTATTCTAAATTAAAGCTCAAAGCTTTCTCTTTAAAATGATGTATAATAATTGTTGGGTTGGATTGGAAAAATATTGAGAAAAAAAATGTTAAAACAAAACTTACATTTTCATATAACCTAAACGTGTCAAAAAAAGATGCTAATTTAAAAATTCCTGGAAGCCGTATTTAATGAAATTAAGGAATTAGACTTGTTCTAAATTAAAGCTCAATGCTTTCTTTTTAAAATGATCTGTAATAATCACACCTAATAACCATTTATCAAAGAGATACCTTTTTGAACAACAGAATTCAACAACACCACTTTTCACTATTCTTCTATGATCTGGACGAATAAGTTTAAATATACCTAAAAACCCTACAGTGCGAATTGTGTCATTTTTTATACTGATTCTTTCTTGTATAGTAGAAAGTACCGACAGCTTTAAATGCGCTGAATATCTACAGTTCAAAATGAGTGTTTAAAACTACCGCTACTTTAAAGTACCGTCGGGACACAAAGGGTTAAAGCGGCTAAACCTGAATGTTTCTAGTTCTAGATCTAATATTGGTTCTAGTTTTAGTTGAATAAACAGTATACAACAATCTAGCGCTGAGTCACAACCAAACTAGAACAAATACTAGCAAAAGAACTAACACTACCTAGAACTAGAAACATTCGTGTTTAGCCCTCTTAAGAGACGTAGGGGTAAACCGTAAACTTAGCTCTAATTTTAATTTAATAAAAAACATATAAGAATCTAACGCTGAATAAGAATTAAAAGAACTAGAAGTCCGTTATATCAAGATTTTACTATATATCTTAAAAATTAAATTTTATCCAACAGAAAAGTTCTTCAAAATACCCCTCATAATTTGGATGAATCACAAAAATCTAAATCACCACAAGGAACACCTTTACTAAGTAAACGAAGAGCAAGTATAGCAACAATCACCCAAAAAGGTGGAAGTTTTGATTCAAAAATGCGAACGAGAAGGCCGTCTGAAATGGCGTTTCGAACTTCGGCTTTACCGAGAATTAGTCGACCTTCAAGATTAGAGTAAGTTGAAAAAAAAAAATGTAATTTTTAAAAATTTTTAATGACCTAAACCGGTTCATATTTTTCAACAATTTTCTTTCATTTAATTCCACTCAGCGTACTGAATCATCGTAATTACGACTTTTATTGCACCGATTCAAGTCGAATCTGGTTAATAAAAAAAAAAAAACGCAAATAAAGATCGTTTTATAACTGTTACAAAAAAAAAGTTTGAAATTTTATTTTTAGACTTGGTGTTGATCTCGTTAAAATTAAAGAGGGAACGACTGAAGGACTAGAAATCGTTCAAAACGAAGAACGCAAAGAGGAAATTATTAAAGAACCCGAATTATTACCAAATGATGATATTGAATCTAGTCAAATTGAACAAAATTACTCAGAATTAACGCCTAGGTAATTATTCTAGTCACGAAATATTTTTAAATGCCGATTTTACGTTTTTCCAGGGAAAAAGTTGTTTGTTATGTTAAAAAATTTAACGAGATTTCTACGATTAAATACAAAAATTGGACGGAAAACGGGTCAATTACGGAAATATTAATCGTAGCGACGTTTATTTGTTTTACTTTAGGTTTTATTAGCTTAGGAAACGTTTTAATTGAGCTCGAATATGCAAAATATAGCTTAAATAATCAAGAATACTCGATTATTATTTTCTTTAAAAACTTAATTGGTTATTTTAGCAAATTATTTGATTCTAGGTCTGTAGTTACTTAACTTAAATTGTATTTTTATTATAAATATTAATTAAATAAAATTGGCTGTTAACAATTAATAAATTCTTCTTAATAAATGATTAAGTCCGCCTAAATATGTCCTGTGTATATGAATTTAATGGTAATTAAAAACACAATTATGTTTTTCTTGGATTATTTCATAATAGAAATTATTTTAATGAAAAAAATAATATATATAGTATAAACGGAACTAATACATGTTTAATTATTTGGATAAAGGATGTCATAATGTCCAGGACGGTACAGTAAGTGAACATAAGGGTCGCTACCCTCAGGTAAATCATGCTCAGTAACTTGTTTGTTGTTGCCTCTGTCCATATAAACTACTCGCACGCCTGTATTCATAGCAGAGCAAGCAGCCATTATATGAATATGGTCACTTTCTTTATACATTGGCTCTACTTCTTGATGGCAAAAATCAGCCACCGTACGATCGCCTTCAATGAAACAACTATAAAAGTCTTGGTCACGCTGCAATTGTCCGCTAGTTAATAGTCTCAAATAGACAACCATGTAGTCTGAATAACCCTGTTCATTAAACAATGTATGCAACTCGCGTCGCGCATCATTTACATTCTTTGTTTCGCCTATACGCTTGAGCACTTCCATAAACTACAATTTAAGTTTAATTATACTTGTTAAATATAGTTAAAAAATTATACATACTGTATCGTAAAAGTCTTCAACTGTAAATTGTGGAAATCCTAGTTGGACTAAACTATTTTTACTGTTACTAGCTAACATAAAAAAGGTGTTAAAATCCTCTTTATTGTTAAGAAGTTTTTCGATGTATCCATAGCTAAACGCACGGAAGAAACAATTCCCATCTGGTCGTGTACGCCTGATAAACTTGTATTTTGATGATAAATCTTTGATTTTCTCTAAGTAAACCTCATCGGCGGCGTATTCAGCGTGTAAAGATTGAATCGTGTCCAGCTCACCCACCAGCGAAATCGTTTCGGATATCTGAATAAGAACGAAAAGCAAAACTTTAACTTTAACAGCAGTCGACATAACCTCAAATTTCGATTTTTACCTCCTGCTGGATTTGACGTTGTTGTTGCAGGATTAACTCGTCCTGATTGATTTGCCCTTCCGCTGGAACCATATTATCGTTTGTGGACTCTGTGTTATCACCCATTTGTTATTATTGTTATTTTTTTTATAAGAAATTTTTAAGTTTTTACAGAATTTTTTGACATTTACCGGTACCAACTTGAAAACAAAGTCATTCGATCTAAACGTCATTATATTTTCGTTATTTTTGCTAAAGATTTATTAAACTAAATAGAATTTATTCAAAACTTGTAATTAAATAAACGATTTTTATGATTAATTTAATAAGAAAAAAATAATAATCTATGTGAAATGTATCTTATATATTATTGTTTTATTTATTAATGAGTTGGAATGGTTGACGTCATTAATTGTCATTTGATCCAATGTGTCAAAAATTGTTTTGTAGGTTAGAAATGATTAAAAATGAAACTGGTAATAAAATAAATAATATCGTAGAAAGTAAATTATGGAAAACATGTTTTAATTCTTAAGAGTGTTCGATTCATCAACTTATAAATATCCTTTAATGATGGGAGATTGCAAAATGATGAGTAATCGTAAAAGATTTTGTCATCAATTATCTGGGAATGTAGAAAAATTTGATGGAAATTTAATCAAATCGAAAGCTGCATACATGGTGGAGTGTATAAAATGTTTCTTAGCACAAAAAGGAAATTTTCACTCTTTGGAATTATTGCACAACATTGAGAGTTCGATAAATCTGTCTTCACATGATGATAGAAAAAACATAGCTGTAATGTTTTTGTTAACAACAACAAGAGATAAAACGATGAAAATGAATGATCCCAAAATTAAACAACTTTTCGAAAGTTTCTCCTTTCAACATTTACAGAATTTATTTAATATGGCTGAGCAATTAAGAAATGATCTTCCCAAAAACCTTCTAGATTATGTGTTGGGAAAATCGAATAATGTAAAAGAATGGAAAGGTTATAATTACGTTACAGAATCACTTAGCAATCATTGTAATGAGATTCCAAGTTATTTTTTTGCCAAGATGCAAAAGATTGATGATGCAAAGAAGTCTTCAAAGGCAGATCACTCATTTAGTATGGCTTATCAAGACGACCAAAAGAAAGATTTAAATGTTAATGATAATTGGCTGGAAATGGCTCACGAAAAATATGAATCCATTTTACCAGGATTTTCAAAAGAAGATTTCTGTAAATCCATGTTTCATATATTAGCATCCCAAAGAAGTGATAATGAGCTTCAAAATGAGTTATTTGAAATGTTGGGGTTTGATGCCTTTGGGTTGATATCTGATATGTTGAGTAATAGGAATAAAATAATAAATTGCGGATTGGATTTATCCAGTAAGGATTATTAAGAATAAATATTTAAAATAAGTTATTGTCTTTTATTGTTAATACTGTTTTTTTTTAATTTTCTTAGAAATAAATGCAAAGCCTACCACAATGTTAGAAAACGATTTTAAACGCCAAAAGAAATCAACACCAGTCGTTACATCACAAGTTACAGTTGAATTGGAGAGCGAAAAAGCGAACAAAAAGATGATGAGAAAATTGGAAAAGAAAATGGAAAAAAATAAGGATTATTACGAAACGCAAGAAGAGGAAAAAAAAGTTTCTGAAAGTGAGAGTTTAACAAAAATGATTCGATCAGCAGCTGCCCTACAACATCGACAGTATCCTCATGTCCATGATTCGCAAAGGGATGTTCATATTAAAAGTAAGTTTCACTTTAAAATAAAACTTTAACCCTTTGTTGCTGACATACAAAAAACGTTCATAATTATACTGTTAAACTATACAGGTGGTTCAAATTCGATATCTGAATAGGCTATCTTGGAAACTATAAGAGTTAGAGAAAAAGTAGCTTACATATCTTGATCTCTTTTTTTAAATAAGTTCCAATGTCGAAAACCTCAAAGCGCTACCGTCTTTTCTTTTTCCCCTAGAGGTCAAAATTAAAAATATCATAAAACCAGCAAGTGCAATTATCTTGGTTATTATTATAGGTGGAGTATTATAACTAAGACTTTATATGGACACTTTTTTGCAGAGAATTTGATGACGTAGCCAAAAATTTTTTCGGTTTTAGATTTTGAGATATTATGACAATTTTCGTTTTTTTAAATGGAAACAACCACTGATTATTCGCTTATTAAATTCGTTATTTTTTTCTGATTACAAAAATATAGGATTCTACAGGCCTATTTCTTATTGTTTTAGAATAAAGTTAAAAATAAACCTTTTTTATAACATTTTTAAGCCGCCGAAATCTAGTGTCGTCGAAGAAATGAAATTTACAGTTTCCTGTAAATTACGGATAAAATCTAAAAAGTTAACAATTAAATAAGAAGATAACTGGTATTTAAAAACAAATAATTATGTTTATTATACCAAATCTTAATACGGAAATATTTAATGGATTGCATTGTTTTGGATTGGAGAAATATGTTTCTTTTTAATTTTTATAGTATCATAATTTACAGGAAACTGTAATAATACTAAAAAAAAAATTTATTTTTAGCTTTATTCTAAAACAATAAGAAGAAACAATAATCAGAAAAAAATATCGAATTTAATAAGTATTATATAATATTATATTTAATATAGTTTATGGGGTATATTTCTTATAGTTATTGAATAATTAACAAAAATTCATTTTGTTCTATCTAAAACTAATGTATGTATTTAAAAGTTAATGTTGCTATGGTGATAACCATGTGACCATACCATCATGGAAAACATTGTTTCCAATTATTGCCAAAGTTTGTAGTAGTATTTAAAAATTCACTAACAACTCTGGCAGTATGTGCTGGTGCTCCGTCATATTGAAAATATATCATTTGAGACATATTTAATGGCAAATTGTCGACGAAAGGCTCAATTGACGAACGAAACTGAAATTTTCAATATTCTATGTGGAATCAAATCAAACTCTGTTGGTATGGATGGCATAAGTGTTAAAATGCTTTTATTGTGTTGTCCTGCAATTTTGCCCTTCTTGTGCCATATAATTAACTATTCCATTGAATGTTCTGTGTTCGCTGATATGTGGAAAATCGCCCTGGTGACTCCAATTCCAAAAACCCCAAATCCTCATGAATTGGGGGACTTGAGACCAATTAGTATATTGCCTATATTATCCAAGGTTTATGAGAGGGTCATGGCGGTCAGACTTCGCTGCCATCTTGAAGACTATAATGTGTTGCCCAGTTGCCAGTCTGGCTTTCGTCCGGGATTTAGTAGCGCTACTGCGCTTCTGGGTGTGACAGATGAAATCTTCAAAGCAATTGACGACAAACGGGTTACTATTTTAACACATTTGGATTTTTCTAATGCTTTTGATAGAGTTCATCATGGTATTCTAGTGGCTGCGCTCCATTATACAGGGTGTTTTGGTGACTCGTTAACAAATTTAACCAAATTTATGAATATCTTAAACACTATTTATGGTATAATAGTAATAGTAAACTAATGTCACGTAAAATCATTAGGCAATTTATGAGTTGGATCGGTCCGCGGGTACAACGCTATACGGGCTGTTCCTAAAGTTTGTTTGCTCAGAACTTTTTTATTCTATCATAACCCTACATTTATTTTTGCAGCTTCTGATAGTACATTTAGTTTAGAAACTTTTATTACTCTTAGGTAATGTTGATAAAAATCACCGTTATCAAAAATCGTCTTTTTGGTCAGTAAGTGCCCATAGCTTTTACCCTCTTTTGATCGGTTTCATGGGGTTGTATTGTTGTATTGTATTGTACAGATAATTCCCTTGTACCGAAATACAGTGTGTTAATTAATTATCGTACCCGACGTCATTATTGCAAGTATGCAACCAATATCACAGTATTGGTATTACAATACGCGATTTACGTATGATGCGTATTGCACTGTGATATTGGTTGCATACTTGCAATGATGACGTCGGGTATGATAATTAATTAACACATTGTACAACGTCTCAAAGATTTTACTATACCTTTTGTTGAAATTCGCAAAAATCGCAATAAGAATGTTTCCAATTTACACCTACTCGAACGTCTACCACGTCCACTGATTTTCTGTGTTTATCAATACAGCGACTAATGGCTTAGTTACGAAATCATCTTTTTACAGGCAAATAATAATGTATTTTTCAGTACTGTTAAGCCAAACGGTATTTTTAAGCTTGTTGTTCAAATATTATTTGATTTGATAATGTGGTACTTTTGAGTACCATCAGGCAACAAAGGGTTAAATGATACAATTTTGAACTTAATTGTAGCCATGGTTTGTGGTCAATTAACAAATATACCTCACGATGCAATAAAAAAATCAAACCAAACCTACGACGAAATAACGCTTCCTCCGCCAAATAAATCCAGCGAGCAACCCATAAAATTCGTAGACCGAATACAAGTTTCAACAATGGATAAAATTGGAAAAATGGTTTTCAAAGATATCGATTCATTCAATCACATTCAATCGGAAGTTTATCCCATAGCATACCACACAAACGAAAACATGTTGATTTGCGCCCCAACAGGCGCTGGAAAAACCAATATAGCCCTTTTAACAATCGTCCAGCAGATAAAAAATTTCCTCGAAAACGACGTCGTACGTTTAGATCGATTCAAAATCGTCTATGTTTGTCCCATGAAAGCTTTAGCGAATGAAATGACGATGAATTTTAGCAAAAAACTAATGCCACTTGGAATACAAGTTAAAGAATTAACCGGCGATATGCAATTAACTCGAAAAGAAATCGTCGAAACACAAATGTTAATTACAACACCAGAAAAATGGGATGTAATCACTAGGAAAGGAACCACCGATGCCGAATTAACGAGTTTACTCAAACTATTAATTCTCGATGAGGTTCATCTTTTAAATAGCGATCGAGGACCGGTTATTGAGGCGTTAGTAGCGAGGACGCTTCGGCAAGTCGTCAATTCACAAAATATGATAAGAATTGTTGGATTATCGGCTACTTTACCAAATTACATAGACGTGGCGCATTTTTTGAGAGTAAACCCCGAAGTCGGTCTCTTCTATTTCGATTTACGCTACAGATCGGTTCCGTTAACGCAAACATTCGTCGGAATAAAATCGACGAAACAAGTTCAAATCAATTTAGATACAGATGAGACGTGTTTCAATAAAGTTATTGAATTTTTACGCGGCGGACATCAAGTCATGGTTTTCGTTCACGCCCGAAATCAAACGAACAAAACTGCATTAACCTTAAAAGAAATGGCCACTAAACGGAATTTAATTAATTTATTTGAACCCGACGATTCCATGAAAGCGAAAAGAGCTTTAGCTAGCGTTAAAAATAAAAGTTTAGAAAATCTTTTGCCGTACGGTTTAGGAGTACATCACGCTGGTATTAAACAATAATTTAGTTGTTAATTTTTTTGTTAACTTTGTTAATTTTAGGAATGCTTCGAAAAGATCGAAACGAAGTCGAACGTTGTTTTTTACAAGGTGCTATTAAAGTTTTGGTTTGCACAGCTACGTTAGCTTGGGGTGTTAATTTGCCAGCACATGGTGTTATTATCAAGGGAACGAAATTGTATGATTCGAAAAAGGGCGCTTTCGTCGATTTGGACATTTTAGATGTTATGCAGATATTTGGAAGAGCTGGTCGACCTCAATTTGATAAATCTGGAACTGGAATAATTATTACTACACATGATAAAATGCATTTTTATCTTAGTTCTATGACTAACCAAATTCCTATTGAAAGTAAATTGTTGAATGCTTTAACTGATAATTTAAATGCAGAAGTGAGTTTTTTGCCTTGATATAGAGGCGTTATAGGGGGGAATATATTATAAGAATAATAAGAGAATGTTCATTTTATAAGAATTATTCTCTTGTATAATAATCTTGACCTAGTTTTTGCATTACGAATTTATAACCCAGACCCCAGGAATCTCGATTAACATATTTTATTACCAGTTTACTGCTTTATTGCTTTGAGGTGTTCTTTTTAAAATTAACTCTTTAAAATCAACCTCTAATATTCCCCCCGACGTATTTGCTATATTAAGGATTTACTATTTCATCTAAAATCGAGATTTGACTATACATTATTTTTTAAGATTGTCCTTGGTAGTATCTCAAACATACAAGAAGCTGTAGAATGGATGACTTTTACTTATTTATATCGAAGAATGCGTATAAACCCTTTGGTTTATGGATTGCAATATTCTGATTTAGAGGTAACTTGTTAAACTTGTTAAAATCCATTTTTTTAAAAGAAAAATGTTATAGGATGACCCTGATTTGAGAGGTTCAATGCTAAATTACGCGCACAAAGCCGCACAATTATTAGATAGGGCGCACATGATTCGGTACGATCCAAAGAACGGCGATTTAACTTCGACGAATTTGGGCAGAACGGCGAGCTATTATTACATTAATTTCGACACCATAGAAGTTTTTAATGAAACGATTAATCCTACAATGACTGAAGCCGATATCATAACTATGATGTGTTTAGCTTCTGAATTCCATCAAATACAGGTAAAAAAATTTATTCTTTAACAAATAATTACTAAATTTTAATTAAAGGTGCGTCAAGAAGAATTGGAAGATTTAGAGCAGTTAATGGAAACTTATTGCGAATTCTCAGTCCCTGGTGGTTCTGAAAACGTCCATGGAAAAGTTAATATATTAATGCAAACTTACTTATCGAGGGGATACATAAAATCGTTATCTTTAGCTTCTGATATGGAATATATCACTCAGGTAAATTCATTCATCTAAAAAAATTATTAATAATATTTATAATATTAAATTTAGAGCGCTGCAAGAATAGCAAGATCATTATTTGACATAGCCATACATCAAAACAATGCTTTATTAGCCGGTCGTTGTTTATTAGTTGCGCAAATGTTTGAGCAACAAATTTGGCCTTTTCAATCAGCACTCAGACAATTCAAATACCTCGAAGGTCCAGTAATTGGTAATATAGAACAATACGGTTTAACGATAGATCGAATTCGCGATTCTGATGAGAAACAGATCGCTCAATTAATTCGAAACGTCAAATCAGCCTCGAAAGTGAAACATTGCGCCGATTCGTTCCCTTCAGTTGATGTAGAGTCAACCTTACAACCGATAACGAGAGGAGTTATAAGAGTTAAATTATTCGTTAAGCCCTCGTTTAAATGGAGCAATACTTATCATGGAAAAACCTCGGAAAATTTTTGGATTTGGGTTGAAGATCCCGACAACGACACTATTTATCATACTGAAAGTGTGAGTGTTACAAAAGCAATTGTTGTTAAAGAGGACGTTATTGAATTAGTTTTTACAATTCCGCTTATTGAACCAAGACCGTCGCAGTATCTAATTAGGATTAGCAGTGACAAATGGATGGGTGCTGTGTACACCCACCCTTTATCATTTTTAGACTTAAAACTTCCAGAAAGTTACACTCCACACACGGATCTTTTAGAACTCCAGCCGTTAGAAATAACGTGTTTAAACAATCCCAAATACGAATCTTTGTATCCATTCACTCATTTCAATCCGGTTCAAACTCAAATATTTCACTGTTTATATCACACGGATAATAACGTTTTATTGGGGGCTCCGACCGGATCGGGAAAAACGATTGCGGCCGAAGTATGCATTTATCGTTTGTTTAACAATAAGCCAGAATTAAAAGTTGTCTACATAGCCCCGCTAAAAGCACTCGTAAGAGAGCGAGTCGATGATTGGAAGCGGAAATTTGAACGAATTTTGGGTAAAACAGTCGTGGAGATGACGGGCGATGTCACACCGAGTCCGCAAACGATCGCGGCAGCTCAAGTTATCATAACAACACCGGAAAAGTGGGATGGTATGAGTAGAGGTTGGCAGAATAGGCATTTTATTAGAGACGTCGGATTGATGGTTATTGATGAAATACATTTGTTGGGCGAAGATCGAGGTCCTGTTTTGGAAGTGATTGTATCGAGGACTAATTTTATTTCAGATCGTACTGGTAGAAAAATTAGAATTATTGGGTTGTCTACAGCGTTGGCAAATGCTAAAGATTTGGCTACTTGGCTCGGTATTGGAGAGGTAATTAAAGAAAAAAATTTTAATCTTCGAGCGGGCGCGCTGTCATAAAATTTATGACAATTTTCGTTTTTATATCTCCTTATATTATGCATTTGAAAGGATTTAACGCTAAAGTATTCATGTAACTATGTATTTTTGCTTTCTAGTTCTAGGTTTAGTGTTAGTTCTAGTTTTATACTAGCACTATCACTAGAACTAACAGAAGACCTAGAACTAGAATCATTCGGGTTTAGCCGTCTTGAGAGACGTGCGGCTAAATCGAAGTTAAATCGGATAATTCCAAACTATTTCTTGCACCGCAGTGTATGACCAAGTTGATTCCAGATTCTTCATTCACAATTTGGAATTTGCTAATCGTGGTTTCTGACTTTTTTTTGGATAGTGTGACATCTTACCAGTGTAATTAAAAGCTTTTTCTTGCAATCCATAATTTTGTTAGCGCAATTCCAGACTTGTTCTTGCAGTATGACATCTATCCAGTGTAATTCCAAACATATTCATAAAGTACCAAGTCCTGCCATTGCAACCCAACCCAATGTAATTACTAATATTTTCTTACAATTTTAAGTATAATTGGGGTTATTCCAAATAATTTCTTGCTCCATAGTGTATGATCAAGTTGATCCGAGACTTCCTCATCCAGTTTGGATTTTGCTAATGGTAGTTTCTGACTTTTTGGATAGTTTGACATCTTACCAGTGTAATTACAAGTTTTTTCTTGCAATCCATAGTTTTATCAGTGCAATTTCAGACTTGTTCTTGCAAAATGATATCTATCCAGTGTAATTCAAAACATATTCATAAAGTACCAAGTCCTGGTATTACACTTCCAGATTTACCTTACATTTTGAGGTTCATACAATGAAATTCCTAATATTTTCTTGCATTTTCAAGTCTAATTGGGGTAATTCCAAACTATTTCTTGCATCGTAGTGCATCACCAAGTTGATTCCAGACTTCCTCATCCAGTTTGGGTTTTGCTAATTCTAGATTCTGACTTTTTCTGAAAGTTTGGCGTCTTATCAATGTAATTACAAGTTTTTTCTTGCAATCCACAGTTTTATCAGTGCAATTCCAGACTTGTTTTTGCAAAATGATATCTATCCAGTGCAATTCCAAACATATTCATAAAGTACACAGTCCTGCTATTGCACTTCTAGATTTACCGTACAATTTAAGGTTCATACAATGTAATTCCTAATATTTTCTTGCATTTTCAAGTGTAATTGGGGTAATTCCAAAGTAGTTCTTGCATCGTAGTGCATCACCAAGTTGATTCCAGACTTCCTCATCCAGTTTGGGTTTTGCTAATTATAGATTGACTTTTCCTGGAAATTTGGCGTCTTACCACTGTAATTACAAGTTTTTTTCTTGTAAATCATAGTTTTGTCAGTGCAATTCCAGACTTGTTCTTGCAAAATAATATCTATCCAGTGTAATTCCAAACAGTTTGAGGTTCACCCAATGTAATTACTAACATTTTATTACAATTTCAAGTATAATTGGGGTAATTCCAAACAATTTCTTGCTCCGTAGTGTATGATCAAGTTGATTCGAGACTTCCTCATCCTGTTTGGATTGTGCTAATCAAATTTTTCTGAGTGTACAAAAAAATATATTAACGCTGTCTTCATGGCAAAAAATGTTATAAAATACAAAAAATTTACACATTAATTGCCGATTTATAAGGCCGTATTTAATTATATCAGCCGTGCGTCTTTAGAACCTTTCTAAGCCCGAAGCTTTCTAGTTCTAGGTCTAGTGTTAGTTCTAGTTTTACACTATCACTAGAACTAACACAATACCTAGAACTAGAATCATTCGGGTTTCGCCGTCTTGAGAGACGTGGGACTAAATTCGAATGTTTCTAGTTCTCTTTTTCCAAGCAAAACTTTTCTTCTGCAAAATTACCCAATGCCTGTACTATTAAGCTATGTTGCATAACGGACTATACGGATCTGATGTCATAAAATATATGACACGCGCCCGCTTGTGTTATAAAATCGGGCTCGCCCGCTCGAAGATTAATTTAATTTTTAATTTTTTTTCTTATTAGATGGGATTGTACAATTTTCGACCTTCAGTACGTCCAGTACCTTTAGAAGTCCACATTTCTGGATTTCCTGGTAAACATTATTGCCCTCGGATGATCTCGATGAATCGTCCAACTTACCAAGCGATTCGACAACACGCCCCCGATAGTCCAGCCTTAATATTTTGCTCTTCACGTAAACAAACTCGCCTAACAGCTTTCGACCTCATCACCTATCTAGTAACAGATTCCGATCCGAAACAGTGGATCCATTGCGATGACGATGCAATTTCAGCGATCGTTTCTAACATTATCGACGTCGATTTGAAACAATTTTTAACATTCGGAATCGGGATTCACCACGCTGGTTTGCAAGAACGCGATCGAAAAACAGTCGAGGAGTTATTTGTTAATCAACGGATTCAAGTTTTAATTGCTACAGCAACGTTGGCGTGGGGTGTGAATTTTCCAGCCCATTTGGTCGTTATTAAAGGTACCGAATATTTTGATGGTGCTATAAAAAGATACGTTGATATGCCCATTACGGATGTGCTCCAAATGATGGGTAGAGCTGGTCGTCCCCAATTCGATACTTCAGGGGTAGCTTGCGTTTTTGTTCACGATATAAAAAAGAATTTTTATAAAAAGTTTTTATACGAACCATTCCCTGTAGAATCTAACTTATTACAAGTCCTCCCCGATCACGTAAACGCGGAAATTGCAGCAGAAACGGTGCCTACTAAAATGAATTTGATGGAATATTTAACGTGGACGTATCTATTTAGGCGATTATTAGAGAATCCTTCTTATTATAATCTCCAAGACGTCGAACCCGAACGGGTTAATTCATATCTAAGCGAGTTGGTTGATGCGGTTATTAATGTTTTGATCCAAAGTAACTGCGTTGAGGTCTCACCTGGGGTAAATTACAAAAAAATAAAAATAAAATCATAACATTCATTATTTTTAAATCATTTTTTAGGATTCAGGAATTCATTACGAATCAACATTCTATGGACAAATCGCCTCTTATTACTACTTATCGCACAAAACAGTTCTACATTTTCAAAATACATTAAAACATGACAGTAGCATCATGGAACTTTTAAACGTTATGTGTAACGCCGAGGAATACTCTTTATTTCCGGTTCGACACAATGAAGATAAAATCAATATTGAACTAATTAAACTACATTCAATTAAAGCGAACGGACTCGCGTATGATTCTCCCTATTTAAAAGTGAAAATCTTAATCGAAATGTACTTAAATGACTTTGAACTTCCCAATCAAGAATATACAGTTGATTTAAAATCGGTTTTGGATCAAGCGCTGAGGATTCTACAAGCGATGATTGATGTCGCTTCCAATAATGGATGGTTGTCTTGTTCATTGAGGATAATACACGTTATGCAAATGATTATTCAAGGGCGATGGATTTACGAACCGGATGTTTTAACGATTCCTGGAATAACAAAATCGAATTTGTCGGCTTTAATGAAAGAGTTTAATAAAGATGGAAGACTTAGGTCAACGGAAAATTTGGCTGGACTCAAATTTTTAGAAATTCGCCACTCGAAAGGTTTAGAAGAGGCGCTAATAAACGTATTTGGATCTAAAAAAAGTCGCGAAGTGATTAAATCCATCCAAAATGTACCGTGGATTGATATTAATGTAAATATTTCGAATGCGGATGATGCATTAGATGCGAAAATTGATGATGAGAAAGATTTAATCGACGTTTTTCCTGGTAAAGAATTTGAAGTTAAAGTGCATATTAATAAAAAAGGATTCGGAAAAGATAAAAGTGTTTTGCAATCATCGAAATTTCCAAAGAAAAAAGATGAAGGTTGGTTTATGATTTTGGCTGAGACAACAGGCGATGAATTAATCGATATTAAAAGGTTTAATGTGCATAGAAAGTGTTCGGTTTCTTTGAAATTTGAGTCCCCTTCAAAATTGGGCACCTACCGTTACGCTTTGTATTTAATGTCAGATTCTTACGTCGGATTAGATCAACAAATCGATTTTAAAATACGTGTTATCTGTTGAAAAGTAACTGCGATTTTTGTTGCTGTGATGTTATAAAGGTAAACATTTATTTTTTTTGTTGTATTAACTTAAATAAAAAGTGAATATTTAATATTTCTTTTTTAACCTATAAAATCATTTATTCTATCCTATTAGGGAGACAAATTTAAATATTTTGCTCAACAGATTTCGATCAGATAAATTTCTCTTGGAATTTAAACTCAAGTTGCATTCAACCCAAAATGCGCATGATTTAGTCATTTATTTAGGTAAAACTAAATTAAGACAACTTGGAAAACTCAAAATTGTACTTAGTTCATAAAACAACAAATACTTTCATGAACTTTCAATCTTTTCTTTCTGATAGGTATTATGCTTGATGCTTAAGACTTTGTCATGAAATCCGTAATTAACAATTGCGTGGGGTTTTTTTTGCTAAATCTTTATAAACTTCTTCTCTAACCCGAGAGCTCGATCAACATTTGTGTCAAATTGTATGAAATGACGTACATTTCATACAATATATACGCTTATGATTCTTGCTGTGAACCCAACTGGTTCAGATTGCTTCATCTGAATCATTGTCTTCATCATGTTTGTTTGTTTCATGAATCATGTTAATCAAATCATCTTCATTCTGTTCTTCATCAGCTATTATTTCTTCAATATCTGCCTTAGCTAAAATCTTCAAAATTTTCTCCTTCTATGGTATGGGTCAACTAAGTTCAATTCATGCTCTATTGGTGATTCATCATTTTCACTTTCAACAAAATCCGGCCATACTGCTTTCCAGCAGGCGTTGATCATTAATTGTTTGATCTGAATGTATGAAAGTCCAACATGCTTAATACAATTTAAAATTGTAAATTTCTTCAAGGGTAAGAGATTCATCATTCTCCATTTGTTCTATGATAAACCTGAAAGTGCTTTAAAAGTTGAAATGATCCCTTGATTTAACGACTGTAATAAGGAAGTTGTATTTTTTGGGAAAAAAAACAACCTTTATATTTTCGTGTTGTAAATCTGGAGCATTATCAATTAATAGAAAAGCCTTAAACGGCAATCCCTTATTAGATAAATAATTTTTGACAACCATTTACTGTTATGGCAGTGATCCATGCTTTTTTATTAGCCATCCAATAGACGGGAAGGTTTTTGATGTTTATTCTTTTGAATGAACGTGTTGATTTTGACTTGTTAATCACCAATGGTTTCATCATATAATGGCCTGAAGGCATCAATTGCCTGAAGCATTGCAACAGAAAAGAATTGTTATACGACTTCTCGCCACTAGCTGATTTGCGAGCTTTGGTTATGAAGGTCCTTTCTGGCATTTTTTCTCAGAATAATCCGGACTCATCAGCATCAGAAGTGTAGGAGTTAACGGCAATGATTTTAGCAAATTTTGCCAGATATTGTTGTACAGCAACCGAATTCTTACCTTTCATCATCAAATTATGTAAATAATGTCTTTATTTAAATCTCTCGAACCACCCATGGCTTGCGGAAAAAGAAATCTTCTTTTCACCGGATGTAATCGACGGCGACTGATTCTAAAGTGATTGATAAATTTTTAAAGCTTTATTTGTAACGGCATTGGTATCGATTGGTATTCGCTTTTGAGTTTGGTCCTATCCATATCACTAACGCTTTTTTTATATTTTCAATTGTAACATCTCTAACATATGAAATCCTACTCATACTGCTGCACGTTCCAGTTTGATGCCCAATGCGGATATCCCACACCACACTGTTACTCCTGGTAAGTTTACATGATGTTCAAGTGTTACATGAGGATTTACAGGACTCCGGTACGTGCAATTATGGCGATTAATGGAGCCAGTTAATTTATAAGATGCCTTTATTATTAATAAGCTATTAATTCATAAGATCCTCATTCCTCCGCACAATTTTGTGTGGAAATCCTGCATCTTCTGCACATTTTGCCAGGTATCATTCACAGAATTGAATTCTCCGGTCAGGATTGTTTTCGTTGAGTGCATGGATTACAGTTGGAAGGTAGCATTTCCAGTCCAGACGCTTCATGATGCGATAAACGTTATCTTTTGAGATGTGAGTTTCCCGAGAAGTTTGTCGAAGAGATTTCTGTGGTTTCCTACACCTGCTCTTTTTTTCCAGGGCTCGTAGAAGTTCGATGGAATCGTCCAGAACGTCGAAAAGAAACGTTCTGGACGATTCCATCTGTTTCCAATTTGTCTCTGATGCGAGCAATGGTCCATAGAGTTGGTGGCGGTTTTTTTTAAGGACAAACTTCTTCTCTTCCAAACTAAGTTAATTTCCTGTCATGCTGATTAATTAATTTCACCTGCAATACAAAAAAGGCAGCATGTTAGCGAGTAGTGTAAGTACATTTTTTTGACTATGTATTTTACAACCCCGGGTATCCCTTGTTCTTTTCATCAGTGTATCAAAGGAAAAGAATTCAAAAATGCCACCAAATCTTTGTTTAGGCGTATATGAAGTAAAATATACATTTTTATTAGTTTTTTGAAATTTATCCATTTATAAATCGTGTAAAGTATAGGCAACCCAAATTGTTGATATTGTACTTATAGTAGGATCATTTATGTATAAATATTTTTTAAACTATTTTTAGCATAAATTTATATCAAATAATTAAAACAATATATTATAGATCTACATTATCTATAATATAGTATTTAATCTCTTAACGCATCAGTTTTAATATTTATTTATTCATACATTAATTTAAATGTATGCTATAAAATAAGGCGTTGTAAAAATAGGTGTTTTAATTTCACAAATTACATCGTTTTCATTTTAATAGAAGCAATATTACAATGTAATTAATAATTAATTACGAATACTTACCAAATTTAAAAGTTAACTTGTTGAAATATGACAGTTATTTGACAGATTAATTAATCATGACCAACATAAAAAGAATAAAATCCCCAAAAAAATTTAAATTATTTAATTTTTTTGTTAATAACAAATACATAAATGAATTATTTTAATCTTTGTTAGTTTATGATTATTAATTTTATTAAATTGTTTAATAAATCGCCTGTTTTAAACATATTTAATTTAAACTATGATGTTTATCATATTATTATTTCATAAGGCGTTAATAAACAGCTTTTTTAGTATAACAATAAGTAAAAATTAAAAACATTTGTAATTGGTGTTAATACGCATGTACAAATCAACAAAGGTTTATTGTGAGTTTATTCTAGCTGTTGGAGGTCACCTGGACAGCTGTTCCACAGGAGGTACTTCAGCTGATCGTTGTTATTACATACAGAGTTAAAAAAATACTCCATTTGAAGTCGATTAGATCCGATATATAAATAGATTCGAAACGTTTTATTTCGCGATCGCGAGACGAACTCTGTTTTAAGTTCTAAAGTGAAAAATGAAACGATTCCTGATCTTGTTGTGACGTAACGAGCCCGAAATTCTCTCCTCCTTTCTTCCTTTATTACTGTATGTTACCATTTCTTTTGATCGCGTTCGAGTTTCGGGTACAAAACGGAATTTTCTTTTTGTTCTCGAGAGAGACTATTTTTATTTTTTTGTATCTTATTAAACGGGATCCGGGGGAAATCTTGAACACGATACGAGACGTATGGTTTTAAAAATAAGGTAAACAAAGAACCGTGTCCGACATAATTCTGGCCTCAAGTAGTGAGTCGACGGGTAGCGACGGTGGTGAACCGCCTCGTAAAAAATCCCGGAGGAAAAGCAACAACACGACGACAACTACGACGTCTTCTACTTTCGAAGAAGGCAACATGCAGGCCCCGAATAGCAACGGTTGCGTGCAGCACAATGGGGCCACGTCCAATAATTCATCTACGACTCCTAACGGTTCATCATCGTCCTCAAATGGGGCTTCCGAAAATGGACATGCACTTATTACTGGGGATAATAATGGGGCTATCAATGATACAGTTGGAACTCACGTACAACTTAACAGAACAAATCAGGATATTGTTAGACTTATTGGACAATATCTTAAAAATGAGGGATTAGAGTGAGTTTCATAAAAACAAAGTTATTTATAAAATTATTATTAAAAAAAAGTTAGGTTATGTTTGAAAACAAATTTATTTTTAAAACTTTTTTAGCCGCACTGCCGAGCTTCTAATGATAGAATCTGGTTGTCGTTTGGATCACCCTGCTGCTGCAAAATTCCGCCAACATGTTATGGATGGAGATTGGAGTAAAGCAGATCATGATCTTCAAGAATTAAAGATGTTACTCGAAGGTTCCAATAGTTTAGTGGTAAATTAAAAAAAAAAATAACTTTATATTCCTACTTTTTTATTTTATTTATATACAGGAAATGAAATTTTTATTATTGGAACAAAAGTACTTAGAATATCTTGAAGATTGCAAAGTTCTTGATGCTTTGCATGTCCTTCGTAATGAATTAACCCCCTTACAACACAACACCGATAGAGTACATCAATTGTCCAGTTTTATGATGTGCTCAAGTGTGGAGGAGTTGCACGCGAAAACAAATTGGGAAGGAAAAGGTTCAAAATCGCGGAGAGCTTTAATGGATAAATTGCAGTCGTATTTACCACCAAGTGTTATGTTACCACCGTATAGACTGAAATCATTACTTTTACAAGCAATCGAATTGCAAACATTGAGGTGTACGCATCATAATACATCACAAACATTAAATTTGACAAATACTTCATTGTTGGTTGATCATGCTTGTTCGAAAGATTATTTCCCCACTCACACTATACAAGTAATAAAGGAATTGTTTTAAAGAATAAGATTTTGGAATGTTTTTTTTTGTAGATATTAAATGAACACACTGATGAAGTTTGGTTTTGTAAATTTTCCCCTGATGGTAAAAAGTTAGCCACTGGTTCTAAAGATTGTAATGTTATCATTTGGGATGTTCATCCAGAAACATGCACAATATCTCCAAGAAAAACTTTGGATGGGCATAATTATGGTAAGTTGATGTATAGTGAATTTTTGGCTAATGCAGTAAATTGTGTGTAATTGATGTAATTGATTTGGCTTCAAAATATGTATACAAAGTTTCATTTTTTTTTATCTTTCAGTATTTAGAAAAAAATTGCCTGGGATACATATGTCTCTGCAGTAGTGTCTGTTTAGGACAAAACCAGATATGATCCCGTGCCAATATAAATTACTAAATAGATTAGATTAGAGGGATGCACAAATAAAAAACACATTTTTTTTAAGAAAAGGTTTAATATGTAACTGTTACATTAAATTGTATTAGTGCTTCATTAATTTATCTTTTACAATCGTTTCAATATCAATATTGATATTAGTTGTTGCCAGACGTGTGTAAGTGAGTTATCTGACAATGAAGATCTATATTTAGATTTTAGAAAATTCATCGTAGAATACGCACTTTCACAAAGATAGGTACTGCCCATCATCGAACCCATTTTTAAACCAAGATTGGTTAATTTGGGGAAACGCTCGCCAAGGAGCTTAAAAAAATCTATTCCAGACTCTGTTCTACCCTTGTAATTGTAGGTCACATAATTCTAATTAATAACCACTCTTTACACCTTCAATTGCAATTGTTAATGGATGAGTGAAAAATGATATATCACTCTCTAATTCTTTGAAATCTGCTCAAATTCCACAATTACATCGTCAATATACTTCAGGTGATTCTTAAAACTACATCCTTCAAAATTTTTCATCTCTGTGTAATGTTCTTTGCAACTCAGAAAAAAAGAAAAATTCTGTTCTAGTGTCGATTTGAACAATTTTAGTTTACTTCTAAAACCATTCACATATCCATACAAGTTGGCAATATTGTGTCCTTTGACTTGGAACTTCAAATTTAATTCGTTCAAGTGAATAAGAAGATCAGCCAGGAATAAAGATCTTGCATACAATTTTGCAGCTCAGAAGTGTCTGATTTTATTTCATTTTTTAGAAATAAAGGTATTTCTTTTCGTAAAGCAAAAAAACGTTCAAGGCACCGCCCAGCACTAAACCATCTTATTTCGGAATGTAATAACAAATCTCCATAGGTTGCATCAATTTCACCTAAAAAATGTCGAAATTTTGTATGAGTCAAAGCTTTGTTTCCGCCTCTAATGAGATTTGTTATTCTAACAACAAGGCTTCCTGATGTATGATGCAGTGAATCAACAGGCAATTAATGCCATTTTCTTTCAGAAGTCCCGCGAATCCTGTCACTTTTCCCGTCATAGCTTTTGCTCCATCAGTTACAATGCAAGAACATTTTTGAAATCCTCCGTAATCGATTACAGTTTTATTGAGAGCTATAAAGATATCAGCGCCTTTAATTGTTCCGTGTAACGGTGTCAAATTTAAAATTTTTTCCGTAATAGTAAAATCTTTTGAAATGCAAGGAATAAATTTAATATTACTTCTAATAATTGACTGATATCTGTCTGGTTGGTACTTTCATCCAAACATATTGAGTAGTATTCGCAATCTAAAACGCAATCACATAATTTTTTCGAAACATATTCGCCCATATCATTTACTCGTCGCGCCACTGTTTGGTGAGATAATGCTACAGATTCGAACTTTTCCGCCAACTTTGGCTGCATGAAGTGTTGAGCCATTGAAAGTGCGCACTGAATGATTTTTTTGCTTTGGCTAATAGTAAAGAAACTTCATAAGACGCAGCCAAACTTTGTTCATTATCTGTATTTACTTTTGAAAATATACTTGTTTGATGTATTAGTTTTCTTTTATACTCGGCTACCATAGTTTTTCTCGCTTCACCGATATGTTTTTTATACTTTTCTTCATATAAAGTAGTATAGTGCCGTTTCACATTGTATTCCTTATTCACCGCCAAAACTTGCATACAAATCATACACTGAATTTTATTGTTATTGTTGCAGATCAGATAGTCTAATTCCCATTTTTCATTAAATGCACGATTTTCATCACTTATTTTTCGCTTCTTCACAGACATAATGAGGTTTGTTATTTTGCAATAGAGTTCTGTTTACTATGTAATTAAATCACACGTGTAGTGAGAAATAATGACATCGACAAGGTAATAAAGGAGAATGAAGGAGTAAGCTCGAATTACACACAATCACTACGATTAGTGATTAGTTACTACACAACACACATCAAATGACAACCATTAAAAATGAATAAATGACAATCAACGGCCAGTGCTGTTTCACTCTCCGATCGCGCGGCATTTTAGCAGGAAAGCGCTAAACACGAGTAGGGACGGGACTCACAAATACGAATACGATTTTAGTTATTTATTTATAATACCATATAAAATAAAATCATTTCTACCAACAAAATTTGAAAAAGATGGAAAAATTTATTCTTCCGTTATAATATTAAAAATACACCGCAGGCCGCATAAAGGTGGACCGTATTTTGGACAGCCCTGGTTTAGGATATACTATTTGTCCCTACAATAATGAAATAATTATTTACTTGCAATATGGGAATGGATATAGTATAGGAATGTTTATAGATTAATTGTAGAGAATTAAATTCTTCAGTTGTTGGACTTTCAGACTCATTGGAACAAATGTAGTCCTCATCACTGTCATGGTAGGGATCAGTCTCTGTACCTGACAAATTTTCCGCAATCTCAGCTAATTCTTTATCAGTCAGTGGACGATTTATACTAAAAAAATATGTTTAACTCACATTCTTCTTACGAAATTTGGGAAATGTGGCCATATACTATTATAAAAAATGAATACTCCTATATAACTTACCTTTAGGCAATATTTATAGAAACTGAGAAATTTATGTAAATATTATCACTACACGGAAATAATCCTAAAAACAATAGCAGTAGGAGCACACAAACACCCACCTGGTCTGTAAAAATCTGCTGATAAGAGCCACACGTGTTCGTAATCTAAACTAAATGTGACTCACACATAAAGTGAAGCCAGAAGTACTAACAAATTCCATCCAAGTGTATTTTAAAGCCATATACTAGACTAAATTACTTAAAATGTCTGAATGTTTCTAATTCTAATGTTAGTTCTAGTGACAGTGGTAGGTAGCGCTAATTAAAATAAGATATCACTATCTTGAATATTTTTATTGAACTAAAATTAGAACTAGCACTAGACCTAGAACTAGAAACATGCGGGTTTAGTCGTGCGCGTTCAGACACGCGGCTATATCCGATACTTTCTAGTTCTAGTGTTAGTTCTAGTTTTACACTAGCACTATAACTAGAACACAAAAGCTAGATCTAGAATCATTCGGATTTAGCCGTCTTGAGAGACGTGCGGCTAAACCCGAATGTTTCTAGTTCTCGGTCTAGCGTTAGTTCAAGTTTTACACTACCACTGTCACTAGAACTAAGACAAGACCTAGAACTAGAATCATTCGGGTTTAGCCGTCTTGAGAGACGTGTGGCTAAACCCGAATGTTTCTAGTTCTGGGTCTAATGTTAGTTCTAGTGACGTGGTAGGAAGTGCTTGTTAATATAAGATATCAGTATGTTACATATTTTTATTGAACTAAAACTAGAACTAACACTAGACTTAGAACTAGAAACATTTGGGTTTAGCTGTCTTGAGAGACGTGTGGCTAAACCCGAATGTTTCTGGTTCTTAGTTAGTTCTACTTTTAATTGTTATTCAGCGATAGAGTATGGTATATTTTTATTAAATGAATAGTATAACTAATACTAGACCTAAAATCAGAAACATTTGGGTTTAGCTGTGAATCTTTTTCCATACAAAACTCATATATTGCGAGTTATATGAAATTCCTGGTATAATTGAATACAGTAAAACCCTGATATAACAGACATCTTTTTTTTATTAGGAATAGCATATATTGCTTGGAATCCAGATTCTATACATTTAGTCGCTTGTGGTCCAGAAGATAGTCAAGAAGTATGGTTGTGGAATACAGAAACAGAGAAATGTCAGAAAGTATCTCAAACCCCCGAGGATATTTTAACGTGTTGCGCATGGAATAAAGATGGCACGAAATTCGTGGTTGGAGGCATCCGGGGACACTTTTATCAATGTGACATGGATGGGAATATTTTGGACACGTGGGAAGGGGTGCGCATTAATAGTTTGTGGTGTAGAAATGATGGAAAATCAGTTCTTGCCTCGGACACTCATCATAGAATTCGAAGCTATATTTTAGAAGAACTTTCCGACCACACTTTGTACGTAAAATATACTTCAACATTTCATTAATTTTAATATTATTTTTTAAAGGATTCACGAAGAATCATCAATAATGACTTTCACCGTCGATAAAAACGATCGTTTAGCGTTATTAAACGTGGCAACGCAAGGTGTTAACCTGTGGGACTTGCAAGATCGAGTGTTAATTCGTCGTTTTCAAGGAATTACTCAAGGTCATTTTATGATCCATTCAACATTTGGGGGTCCAAATCAGGATTTTGTGGCAAGCGGAAGCGAAGACACGCAAGTTTATATTTGGCACATACGGAATGAGCTTCCAATTGCGGTTTTATCCGGTCATTCGCGTACCGTTAATTGTGTGAGTTGGAATCCGGTTTATCATGATATGCTTGTATCGGTTTCCGACGATTACTCAGTGAGAGTTTGGGGCCCAAAGGATAAATTGAACGGCGATGGTGCTGGGGTTAGTTTGGGGAATAATAATTCAGTAAGTTGGAACGACATGGTTTTTTAGAGAAATGAAACAAATGTAGAACGAGGGTGTGAGCAATAAAGTAAACGAAAATGGTGGAGAAATTGTTCTCTTTTTTTAATGGAAGACATTTGATTTTTTTTTAATATCGAGTAAATTAACGTAAGTTAATTATTAATAAGTGAATGAAAATAATGTTAAGTGTAATTGAGTATAAATAAAAAGTTGATCTGTACGCTACTAGGTAGATTGTACTTTTTTATAATAATTATTATAACGATGATGTTATACATAATGATTTAACCGTGACTTTAATTTTTAAGCGAACCAAACGTTTCTTTTTCATTAAAAAGATGTAGGTAAGTAACTGAAGGTTTAAAACGACGTTTGACAAAACAGATTGTAATTTATAAAGAGATGCTTATCTATTAAAAACGAATATTATATTTTATGGGTAGTTTTATTTTATTAAAAATAATTACAATAAATCCTCTGTGTATTTATTAATAGATTGATTAATAAAATCTTTTAAAACAATTTTTCCTTTAAAAATCATTTTAACCTCGTCGATCTTCTCTCTATAACGAATTAAAATAATTAAATTGATTCAGAACTTACATAATAACTTACATTGAATCAACAATAACCAAATTAACCGAATCATCGAGTTTATTTGAAATTCGCCCACCCCAAAACTTAAATTCCAATTCGTCCAATTTCGAATTATTACTAAATTGATAAAAAAACGCTACATAATTCTGAAATAGACTTAAATTATAATTCGCTTGGATTTCATTACAAAACTTATCGATTTCTTTTGGTAATGGGCGTATAAAAAAACTTAATCCATTTATGTTTTTTTCTATTGCTTTTAATTTCTTTATTGTTAACTCCTCCGTGAAGGAATCTCCAAATTTATCGAATTTTTCCATAAAAACGTTTTTAGTTTTATTAGTCGCATAAATTGTGTCGAGAGGGGTATAATCAAAAAACTTTTTCTTCTCAACTAAATTCAAAACCCAAGATAACTTAACGATATCGATATCACCTCGATAATAATTAACGCGTTCATGTTTATCCCCAATTAAAATACAAAAAGTCCTTTGCGACTCAATTTTCGTCACTTTTCCCCCATTCTCTTTCAAAATCTTTTCAATATCCTCTTTGGAGTACTCATTATTTCCGGTCCAAACACAAAATTCCAAGTTATTAAAGATGTTACTTATTACGTTATCGACATTAACTTCATTCACCGTGTATTTAACGCGGATTTTTTTCGTCTTTTTAAAATCGTATTCAAGATCTTCCAAGTTTAGCTTCCGTTTAAATAATTTTTCCACCGGTAATTGAGTTGATGTTAAATTTTCTAGTTCTAAAGTTGTTAAACAATCGTAATAAGGCTTATCAAAACGTAATTTTTGTATACGAGGAAATCGTAATGTATAATTCGATTTATAATCGGATTGTGCCTTTGTTTTTATTAATTCTGAAGCACGTACCTTAAATTGTATTTATTAATTTACTAATATGATAAAACCCCGATATAACGGATCACGTCTCTTAAGATGGTCAAACCTTAAGGGGCTATACCAGTGCGAAATTTTCAGTTTGTGACTGTTTTCACAGCTATTAGCAATTTAGTCTTATGTAAAAATTGTAAAAAAGACATAACATTCAATGAAGCAAGTTCACGGGGTTTAGGATTCAAAATTGCTGTAATGTGTGAGTGTGGTGTTTCATATATAAATTCTGGACCAATGATTAACAATGCTTATGAAATAAATCGACGAATAGAGTTTGTGATGTGACTTATAGGGGTTGGTTTGAATTGACTCAATCTATTTTGTGGCTTGATGGATCTTCTTAGAAAATTCAATAACAATACCATCGCTGAATGCAGAGCGTAAAAATCGCCGTGGACGAAGAGAAAACTAAAACGTTTAAAAAAGAAAGTTCAGATGTAAATTCATACTTCTCCTTTCGGAATTACAACTCTTGCAGGTAAATTTTGCAAAAAAATATTAATTCAATGGTAAAATCAACTTGCTGTAAAAGTTGTGAAATATGGGAAAAGAAAAAACTTACACATCCTGAAGAATATGATTCGCTGCGGAAATGTTTAGTCGCTCGATTGACGAATATGGCATAAATTATAGGCGTTATATTGGTGATGGTGATAGGCTACATACAAAGGAATAATAAGTCTAAACCCATATGACGTCGAATTAGAAAAATTAGAGTGCTATTTATATGTAAAAAAAGAATGGGAACGCGATGCCGAAACCTAAAAAAACAAAGTAAGGGCTTAGAAGGAAAAACTGCCCTAAAGGTGCGGAAAGCTGGTGCTCATATAGTCCTGTGGTGGCTCAACAAATGGACACGACAAATTTCAAACGACAAACATCTGCTTTAGTATTTTTTTGTTCTTTTTTATTTATTACTATTTGTTTATAATTTTATTGTTCTTGTTAATATTTTTGTTATGTTCTTGTTTGTTGTTACCGTGAAAATTAAATGTATTGTTTTGGAAATTACATTCTTTTATTCAACTAAAATAAATTAACACTGGATTTAACTAAATCTGCACTTAGAAATTTATGCAAATAATGGTTATTAGCTCAGTTCGTTTTTCAATTGTCATCGCCAACTCAGATCTTGCGGAATATGTTTCCTTTTTTTGTTTGTTACGATTGAAATCGAAGCTTAACATTTTCGCGTATAACTCGAAAACGGTCAATGTTATCAAAATTTTCAAAGAGTGATAAAAGTTTCTAAAATACATTTTCTATTGAAAAGTACAGAAATAAATGTAGGGTTACGAGCGAACAAAAAAGTTCTGAACAAACAAATGTTAGGGACAGCCTGTATAGTATGGTTGCCGCCGCCCGATCAAAGTCAAAATTGGTTCAATGATTTTGCTTGATATTTGTTTACCCTGTACCAAATTTCAACGCTCTACCATAAATGGTATTGGAAATATTTAGAAAAATGTGTTAACATTTCTGAACTTTGATAGCCCATATCTTAGCCATTTGAAGACTTTTATAATAATTTTTTTTCACGAATCGTCATCATTTTTGCTCTAGTATATGAGGTTAATTTTATGCCCTGAGTCACCGGAACACCTTGTATAAAATATCTTGTTGCAGTTTCGTCTAGTTTTCTTCTCTTCGCTTGTAATTCATCACATTCATTACTAACAGAACTGTCGCTGTTATCACTTTCATTATTAATTAAAGTATCGATTATTAATTATATTAGAATTTTGCAATTTTCGCTGATTAAGTTTTAAAAATTCGTATAAAATCCAGTTCTTGGAATATGAGTATGAAAATTTTCCAAAGTGTTAACAAAAGTGCTCTCTTTCCAATTAACTAACCCGTTTTGAAAAATAGTTTTTAGTTTTTGAGAAAACAATATTTGAAGTTTTGATACAATTTTCGATGTTGCAATTTTCATCGATAACTTACAAAATTCGCTATAAAATTCATTTTTTGAAGGATCCTTGTGGAAATATCACCAATTATTAATTAAAGTATCCTCTTTTTAATGCAACAAGCCATTTTGAAAAATCGCTTTTAGTTTTTGAGAAATAAATTTTTGAAATGATCGACAATTTTTTCGAATTTTGCAATTTTCGCCGATTAAGTTTTAAAAATTCGTATAAAATCCAGTTCTTGGAATATGCGTATGAAAATTTCCCAAAGTGTTAATAAAAGTGTCCTCTTTCCAATGAACCAATCCGCTTTGAAAAATAACTTTTAGTTTTTGAGATAACAATATTTGAAGTTTTGATAAAATTTTCGATGTTGCAATTTTCATCAATAACTTTCAAAATTCACTATAAAATTCATTTCTTGAAGGATTCTTGTGGAAATATCACCAATTATTAATTAAAGTATCCTCTTTTTAATGCAAATAGCTATTTCGAAAAATCACTGTCAGTTCTTGAGAAATAAATTTTTGAACTAAACGACAACTTTTTTGAATTTTGCAATTTTCGCCGATTAAGTTTTAAAAATTCGTATAAAATCCATTTCTTGGAATATGAGTTTGAAAATTTCCCAAAGTGTTAATAAAAGTGTCCGCTTTTCAATGAACCAACCCGATTTGAAAAATAACTTTTAGTTTTTGAGAAAACAATATTTGAAGTATTGATAAAATTTTCGATGTTGCAATTTTCATTGATAAGTTTCAAAATTCGCTATAAAATTCATTTCTTGAAGGATCCTTGTGGAAATATCACCAATTATTAATTAAAGTATCCTCTTTTCAGAGTTGCTTCGTTAGTTACATTCGCATAAAAAAAAATCATTTTGTATCTTGGATCCAAATAAGTTTACATATCTTATCAGCTTCCTTATTAATTTCATTTTTATTCAAATAGTAGCACTTCAGAAATGCACCAATTCCGGGTTGCCAAATATCCGGTATCCGCAAAATCACTATCCGTTCCATCGCTAATCTACAGTTGGAAATAATTCACGAGCACATCCTGTATAATCTGAACGCGTGAAGATAAATCAATAATATTTGCTTGACATAAAGGTTTACTGTAGACGAGTTTATTCGGCGAGTTTTGAGTTTTTCTTTCGCGGCAAGTGGAACATTCCGTGGCTATAGAGACCGAAGTGGGTGGGAGATACTGGTCGTTTTTGGTGTGGTGTGAGGAACCAGTTTGTTATCGTACTCTGTGCGTAATGCACGTTGAGGGTGTATCGTTTCGTGAAAATGTGCGTCGTTATCGGCAGTGCGAAAATGGAGGCTTCCCTGGCTAACGTTGAGGAGCTATGGAGGCGAGTTGAGGCGGTTGGCCATCCCTCTCACTATAATACAGCGACTTATCGACTTCATGCCACGTCGTATAGCGATGTAAGTTACACTATTTTAGTACTACTTCCATTCCAAATTTCATTACACTAGACACACGCGTTCACATTATACAGGGTGTGCTCGTGAATTATTTCCAACAGTGTATTTTGAAAATGTTTCGAGCGATGGAAATCACTATTGGTTCAATTGCAAATGTGAATATGCGAAAGATAGAGATGATGCTAGAATTTATCAAGCTAATTTACGTCACCAAGCGGCATCAAAGGAGGGTAGGGCTGCTTGCAAAAAAGCTTTAGTGGCTAAGTAGGCGTTTTTTGAAACAGAGGAGGGTCCATTATATGGGACAGGAATAGTGGAGTGACATTTCTTATAATAAATATCATTTTATTGATAGATAAAACAACTTTAACGCGTTTTTTTCGAAATTTGCAGCAGTTCTAACTCAAAGACAGCGAAAAAACGGCGATTTTTTTAGAGAAAAATAAAAGTTTTTCTTCAAAACTCCGCCAAAATCTCTAAAATCCTGAGTCATGATAGGGAGAATATCTTTTAGTTTAACATTGATATTTGTTTTTTCAGTTGTTTCAGGACATATGTCGCTAAAATGTTACTATTTTTCTATGAAAAAATTATTGATAATAGACAAATACATTCTTAAAGTTTAACAAACATCACCTAAATTTTTTAGCAATCACACTGGTATAGCCCCTTAATGTTCCTTCTGGTAGTGTTAGCACTCCCTTCTCAGTATTAATCCATTATATCAAGGTTTTTAATTTATTGTACTTCTAATATGAATGAATCCTCAGGTTTGACCCACACATCAGGTTTCTTTTTCCCAAAAATTAAACCAAATGATTCAAATGAATTATTCTCTGAAGTTTTAAATAATTTATTATTTAATTTCTCCTTTAATTCTTTCCATTCATTCAAATTTAATCCGGTGTAAACAGTGGATAAAGAATGAAATACAGTTGGATGTGATCCTGAAATCTTAATAACATTATAATTAAATAAAATAAAAGAATTTGCTTTTTTAAAGCACCTCTTTTTGATGGAACACCGACACCAACTAAGACTTTCTCAATTTGTTGATTTTTTCCGGTAAATCCCCCCATAATTATTACATCTAAATCGGTCATAACATCAGAAAAATACTAAATAAAACAAAATTAAGTAAAAAAATTAATTTTTAATTCAATTTAGATGTAATTAACCTCTAATTTCATCTTCCACCACCCATCATTTCTACTATTTGTAATATAAAATGAATCAGGTCGTTTAAAAACAATTCCCTCCTCTTTATTTGAAGCAGAATCATTCAAAGCATTTATAATTTCTCTTTTTCCATAAACTTCTTTTAAAGAACTAACAAGAATAACCCCCTCAATAGGAGTTAATATTGACTCTAACAATTTTTTTCGCTCCCTTAATGCTTTGTTTGTTAAAACTTCATTATTTAGCAACAAAATATCGAAAACACAGAAACAAGGTTGATGATAACTTGTATCTGTTAAGTTTTTTACATCAAAATTCATTCCTTTTGAACCAAATATTTTTTTAACTGGGTCCCACCCCATCATTTCTCCATCTAAAATAACACTTTCTGTGTTATTTATAAAACAATTCCTTAAAAGTGGTGTAAAAATCCCATTTTTATAATTACACCCAAATTTTGCAGTGAAATCAAACCCTCTCCTAGAGAAATATTTAAATGATCCTTGATTCATGTGTAATTGAAATCGTTCCCCATCAAATTTATTCTCAACATAAAACAAAGACTTATCATCCGGAACGGTTTTAAATAATTCTTTAACATCACACCGTTTTGATAGCATCGGACAAAACGCGTTAAAAAGTGCTACATTAATTTCGTTTAAGCGTTCGTTTGGGTTAAAAAGTTTTACACAAACATGTTCTAAATCGTTGGTTTTATCAAATAAATCAACAGCATCCGGATGGTATAAATTTAACATCTTTTTATCACTCAACCCCAATTTGAGATCTTTTAAAATAATTCTTATGATCCATTTTTGCTCAAACGGAGACGTTTTTTTAAATAAAACCCCCAAACGGCACTCATCATTATTTTTTGCAGCAATTTCATCTAAAGCTTCATTAACTTGACCGATATTTAACAACTTTCCTTCGTCGTAATATTTTCTTAAAACATTAAACGCGGTCGTAGAAAAATCACCGGATTTGTTATTTAAAATTTTTGAATCACCTGAATCTTTGGTCAAAGATAAAATTTTTATGATCTTTCTTTTTAAAGTGTCTTCTTTCATCCCATAACTTCGATTCCTTTCGAAAGATGGTAATAATAAACGTAAAATTGGGTGTAAATTTGTTGTTGAGGTTATGTTCTTTCGAAGATTTGAGTAGTAAAGTTGCAATGTTTTTATTTTATAATCACGATTTTTATTAGTTTTTATATCTTCGAGGACGTTACAAAAATCTTTAAAGTTTATATTTGACATTATTATTTATTGCTTATAACCTAAAAATCAAAAAAAAACTTAAACTGTCAATATGACAGCTTAGATGAATGTCATTCTGAGACATATACAGAGTGATTAACATAAATGCAACAAAGTTTATGAGGGAGTGTTCGTTAAAAACATTGTCGACTTAATTTTAAAAACTCAAGTTTTTTTATACGTGTTTTAGAGAGGATTTAAACTATTTTTGCCATACCTATTAGCTATTTTCATATAAATTCGACTTTATTATACAGTATGATAAAAAAATTTGAACATATTCATAATTATTTCTATGAAAGAGATTAGTGTTTTCTTTATCTTTATTCTATTTTATGTACTAAATTACCGCGATCAATCGCTTTTTACCTCTATTTTACACCTTTTGTACTACGATCACCATGAGAATGACACCGAAAATTTGAGTTTAAGCTATTTCATTCAATCGCAAAGAAATAACGTCGAAGCTTTGCTTCAAAGCTATTCAATGCCATTAATAACTTATACATTTTTTATTTGTTAGCTAACGGTCTACCACGTTCAGTATTATACCGGACTGTTGGTTTTAATTAATAGGCACTTTAGGCATGTTTCTGATTAAGATAACAGTGGCGAGAAGGTTGATGTTGCCAAATAACTGTACTCCACACATCATTTTTGTGTTGTATATGATTCTCTTGCTGAGCCGAGAGCTTTATGCTAAGAAAAAGAATTAAATGGAGCTCATCTTAGTCTTTGTATTGTTCCTTAATACTGATGTAACAAATTTTTGACACTATAATAAGATCAAAAATGTAATATTAGGGATGTATACTACACATCTTTACTTACCTATTACTTACTACTCCATCATTCGCAAAAATTAGTATCTCTTTTAGGTGTTGGGCAGATAATAATCAAGTTCAACCCCAATAGGACCTTTTTCATTGAATACTACTTTATTTATATCAGGTTTGTTTTTAGCAACCTCATATTAACAATTCCAATACGATATATAAAATCTCTTATTGCAGTTTTGTCTAGTTTCCTTCTCTTCGCTTGTAATTCATCATCACATTCATTACTAACAGAACTGTCGCTGTTATCACTTTCAATTATTAATTCCTCTTTTTAATGCAAAAAGCCGTTTTGAAAAATCACTTTTAGTTCTTGAGAAATAAATTTTTTCAAATCTTGCAATTTTCGCCGATTAAGTTTTAGAAATTCGTATTATATCCATTTCTTGGAATATGACTATGAAAATTTTCCAAAGTGTTAATAAAAGTGTCCTCTTTCAAATGCACCACCCCGTTTTGAAAAATAACTTTTAGTTTTTGAGAAAACAATATTTGAAGTTTTAATAAAATTTTCGATGGTGCAATTTTCATCGATAATTTTCAAAATTCGCTATACAATTAATTTTTTGGAGGATCCTTGTAGAAATATCACCAATAATGTAACAAGCCGTTTTGAAAAATATCTTTTAGTTCTTGAGAAATACATTTTTGAAATAATCGACAATTTTTTCGAATTCTGCAATTTGCGCCGATTAAGTTTTAAAAATTCGTATAAAATCCAGTTCTTGGAATATGAGTATGATAATTTCCCAAAGTGTTAATAAGAGTGTCCTCTTTCCAATGAACCAATCCGTTTTGAAAAATAACTTTTAGTTTTTGAGAAAACAATATTTGAAGTTTTGATAAAATTTTCGATGTTGCAATTTTCATCGATAATTTTCAAAATTCGCTATAAAATTAATTTCTTGAAGGATCCTTGTGGAAATATCACCAATTATTAATTAAAGTATCCTCTTTTTAATGCAAAAAGCCTTTTTGAAAAATCACTTTTAGTTCTTCAGAAATAAATTTTTGAAATAATCGACAATTTTTTCGAATGTTGCAATTTTCGCCGATTAAGTTTTAAAAATTCGTATTAAATCCATTTTTTGGAATATGAGCATGAAAATTTCCCAAAGTGTTAATAAGAGTGTCCTCTTTCCAATGAACCAACCCGCTTTGAAAAGTAACTTTTAGTTTTTGAGAAAACAATATTTGAAGTTTTGATAAAATTTTCGATGTTCATCGAAAACTTTCAAAATTCGCTATAAAATTCATTTCTTGAAGGATTCTTGTGGAAATATCGCCAATTATTAATTAAAGTATCCTCTTTTTAGAATTGCTTCGTTAGTTAAATCAGCATCAAAAAAGTTTATGTTGTATCTTGGATCCAAATAACTTGACATATCTTATCAGCTTTTTTATTAATTTCATTTTCACTTCAGAAATATATCAGAAATTATAACCATAATAGATAAATATGCCGGATAACCGGATATCCGGCTTTTCGCAAAATAACTATCCGTTCCATCACTACTACACAATAATAAAATTATTCAAATATAAATGCTAATGATAGGAAAAATCTAAAAGTGACATTTTAGTCGCCGTATATTTATCATGTGGCTTGAAATGCCAATGAATACATGCATTTAAACTGTTTCTAACTTCCACATCAAAGGTGAAAATGTAAAAGGGAATAAGTCGACTTTTGGAACATTCTATATGTATATGGCGAGTATACGGATTGGGCAATTAAAAAACGGTTTTAAATCCGAGTTTTATCGAAGGGGGATTTCCTTTCAATCCGGTATATTGCACAATCCGTGACAGTTTATTGCGTTTCGGATATTCTTTGGATGCCCTAAAATGGGGTTTGGTGCGATTCCCATACACAATAACCGCCCGGCCATAAGTTACGTAAGGATTAAACTTCATTTCACTCTTAAAATTTATTACATAAAGCCTACATTTAACGATTTTCGTTAATAATCGAACGTATTAAACGCAACGCCTGGAGGTGAAAACCCGGTTAAGGCTTCGTCTTTAATCTACCCCAAATGGTACAAATTGGAAGCCGTAGAAATTTTCCTAACCGCACATTACATTTATACGTATGCCTTTAGAATGCGTCGTCGTCGCGTTGATGAAATATTTTCAATTCAAAACGACGACGTCGACGTTTCATGACGCCCGGAGTCTTAAGAATCAACCGGATTTCATTTAAATAACACGTTGGAGTGAGATTTTGGGGGGGCATAAATTTGTTGGGTTTCAACGATAAATAGTTACGTGGTATTTTCAGGATAAACTTGGGTTTAGAACTATTAATTACTATCCATTTCTCTCAACCCTTGGTTTCGAAACTAAACCTTTTCGTGTCTTGAGTTAAATAACAAAATTATTTATAATAATCAAAAAAGTTAATTTGAAATAATTTGTTCGAAAGTTTGGGAAAGGATACAAACCAGTAAAAGCAGCATAAGTCTTCTATAAGAAAGATCGAGTCTTCCATTGGCAGTATCCAGTCTTGTTGTAGTCCTAGAGTACTGCTGCAAGCTCTAAATAGGAATGGAAAAGGATACAAAACTCCAGTTAGATAAAACTTTTGAAAGAATGACATGGTAGGTGGAAAATCTACGCTGTGTGCACATCTCTTTGACGTTAGGTCAAAGAGATGTGCAGCGAATATCTTCTTTTCAGGTTGGTCGAAATAAAGGATAACTAAGATAGCTGGTCTAGATGATCTGAAATTATGTGGATAAGTTAGATAAGTTGTGTTGTAAACTTTTTAGCCCTTCTGAAGAAACGACTTGCTGGGCGATAGACTCCTAGTAGTTATATCTAGTCTTCTTCCAAGCAATATCTAGTTTTCTGCCGGCATTATTTAGTCTTCTATAACCAGAGTTTTATCTTCTGCCAGTAGTATTTAGTTTTCTGCCAGCAGTGTCTAGTTTCTGCCTTCATCTCTCTCAACACTTGGTTACGAAACTAAACCTTTTGGTGTCTTGAGTTAATTAACAAAATTATTTATATTAATCAAAAAAGTTCCATTGAAATTAACTTGTTCAAGTATGAACTGGTAAGTTTAAATACCTCAGTTCGACCAAAAAAGGTAATAATTCAAAGTTGGCGGTAGTCGAGGCCGCCGGGGGCATTTACATAAATAACGCCACGCGGAACTTTCATTATTTTTTTGCGCCCCAAAAATTTACGACCTCCACGGCGTGCCCGTTCATTTGAACACCCACGGGAGGCATAACAATAACAAAGTTTTCGTTTCGCGAGAAAAGCTTTCGATGCGAAGCTTCATCCGCGACCGCACCGGTTACTTTAATTAACCGATAACATCTAGCGGTGCAAAAGGAAGCCAAAGATTGCATCCCGATATTGCATCCCGTAGAATAACGCAAAATAGCGGGTTTGTTCAAGCTGCACCAGTCGGAAAACTGCCTAATTGTGTACGAGAGATTTTTCTTTGAAGATTGTGTGTATAACCCTTTTGTCTGTACTACGCTTCATTTATTCCTTGCGCACTGCAGCAGAAATATGTTTACTCAACACAAAAAGGAAATCTTTGGTTTCTATTCTTTACCAGATATAATTGGTACGATAACATAATTTGATTAATTTTTTCGATTTACTTTGAAAGCTGTTTTACAAACTAATCCATTAATTTTAAATATATAGGTATATTGATGTACGCAAAAATTGTATGTAATTACGCTTTCCCCACGGTCATCTCTTTGATGTTTTGTTAAAATTTAACTCATGCAAAATTAAATTGAAATTTTGTATCTATTAGTCATTTAACATTAATTAATATTATTCCATCTTGGTAATTTAATTAAATAAATAAAATAACTATATTTTTTGATATAGATAGTTTTATTTATATTTTTCGGCTCTACCGGTTTCGACTACTATTTGTAGTCATCTTCAGGAGAAATCTTTCTTCTTATGTTAGAAGAAAGAATAAAGGAAAAGACATAATAGAAAAGTTTTTAACAGTGATTAACAACAAGAACCAGGAATCTAGATTTAGAATATTCGAAATACATTTGACGTGGCTAATTTCTCCTGAAGATAACTACAAACATTAGTCGAAACCGGTAGAGCCGAAAAATTAAAATAAAACTATCCATCTAGAAAAACTTAGTTATTTTATTTATTTAATTTAACATTAAAGTTGCAATAATTCTTTATCCTTTATCGCGAATTAAAGATAATTTAACGAACACCACCGGAAACGTTCCGGTGCTCGT